TCTGGTGGCCATGGCGAGCCCATGATTGATCTGCAGGTGCATTGCTTGAATGGTGCAGGATTCACCTTCACGATCCCCCCTGGCACCCTTGGCCGGGAAGTGCGGAAGATGGTCTCAGAGAAGCTTCCAAAGCCAGGCGCCAGGTTTACGCTGCATCATGGTGCTTCAAAGCTCATTCTGTGGCAAAGCCTGGAAGAGCAAGGCATAGTGGGCAAGGCGACAGCGGCGACACTGTCCTGCACCTTGTGTCCAACAGATTTGTATGCTGCATGGTCTTTTGTTGAAGGACATGAAAACGATGAAGAACACTGCGCTCTTGAAGGGGTGACGTGGCTTGAAGGTGGCATAGCAGGTGAGTACTTGAATAACCTGCCAGAGTGCCTTGAGAGCTTGAGATTTGGGGACAAGTTTAACCAAAGCATTGACCACTTGAGATGGCCAAGCAGTCTGCAAGAACTGACTTTGGGCTATGACTTCAACCAGAGACTAGAAGGTGTGACTTTTCCAAGCAACCTCCAAAGCTTAACTTTTGGTGTCGAGTTCAACCAAAGTCTGGAGGGAGTAGCCCTACCGAGCAACCTTCAATGCTTGACCTTTGGCCATGACTTTAACCAAAGTCTGGAAGGAGTGTCTCTGCCAAGCAGTCTTCAGACTTTGACCTTCGGTGGCATGTTCAACCAAAACTTGCAGGCAGTCAAGTTTCCTGATTTTCTGCGGAGCTTGACTTTTGGTGAGCGGTTCAACCAAAGCTTGGAGTGTGTGAAATGGCCTAGCAGCCTTCAAAGCTTGACGTTCAGTTGGATGTGCAACGAGAGCCTGGAACGTGTGACCTTTCCGAGCAGTCTGCAAAGCTTGACTTTCGGTCTTGGCTTCAATCAAAGCCTGGAGTGGCTGTCCATTCCACATGGTGTTCAAAACTTAATTTTCGGATTTGAGTTTAACCAGAGCCTGGAAGGAGCAACCTTGCCGAGTAGTCTTCAAAGCTTGACTTTCGGTGGTGAGTTCGATCAAAGCTTGGAGCATGTTCTATTGCCGAGCAGCCTTCAAAACCTAACTTTTGGATACGTTTTCAACCAAAGGATTGAGAAGGTGGATTTTCCAAAGAGTCTTCTAAACTTGACCTTTGGGCGCATGTTCGACCAGAGCCTTGAGGGAGTGACGCTACCTAGCAATCTTCAAAGATTGACCTTTGGAGATGACTTCAACCAGAGCCTTGACGACGTGATTTTCCCCAGCAGTCTTCAAAGCTTGGCTTTTGGTCAGAAGTTCAACCAGAGCTTGACACGCATGACCTGGCCAAGCGGTCTTCGGCACTTGATTTTTGGCTATGACAATGGATTTAACCAAAGCCTGGAAGCAGTGAGGTTGCCAGAGAGCCTGGAAAATCTCACTTTTGGGGGCGGCTTTGATCAAAGTTTGGAGGGAGTGACTTTTCCAAGCAACCTCAAAGACTTAACTTTTGGTTGGAAGTTCAACCGGAGCCTGGAAGGTGCGCTTTTTCCCGGCAGCCTCCAAAGCTTGACCTTTGGGGATGATTTCAATCAGAGCCTCCAAAATGTGACTTTGCCAGACGGTCTTCAAAGCCTTACTTTTGGTCTTGAGTTCAACCAAAGCCTGGAAGGAGTCACCCTGCCAAGCAGTTTGCAAAGCTTAACATTTGGCTTTGAGTTCAATCAGAGCCTGGACGGTGTGATCTTGCCACGCAGTCTGCGCATCTTGACTTTCGGTGGTGAATTTGATCAAAGCTTGGAGTACGTGTCACTACCAAGCAGCCTTCAAGATGTGACTTTTGGCCGCATGTTCAACCAAAGCCTGGAGCGTGTGACTTTTCCCGCGACTCTTCAAAGCTTGACATTCGGTCAGCAATTCGACCAGGGCCTGGAAGGAGTGTCATTTCCAAGCAGCCTTCAGACTCTAGTCATGGATTGTGTATTGGTGAGCTGCGCCACTGAAATTGTGCTGCTTTTGCAACTGGAAAGGTGGGTGACCCCAAATGAAATCAAATGAATTGGGACGGTGTGGCCAAACCCACTTTGGTGCTTTTGAGAGGTCAGTCCGCCCCCAAATTGGTTGACCATTTTCACAGTTGACGACCCTGACTGCAAGCTGCTATTCCAAATGTTCAATGTCAGGTTTGTCGCCTGTACGCTTGCCACTCTACAACCTTGTTCCCAGCTCATTGGGGGGGAGTGGGGCTAGTTAAGTTGGTTTAAAGATGTTTTTTCAGGCCCTTTGCCAGAATTGTAAGGATTGTTTGTTTTGTTGTGCAATGGTCAAACGTGAGGATCCCATTGCTCACATCGGGGGGGCAAAATTTTTGGGATCCCATAATGGGATGAAGGACCCATAAGGAATCCATATTTTGACACGTGCACAGATGACCACGGCCATTTGTTAATTATTGCAACATGAGCTCTTGCAAAAGTTTTTTCTGAGTCTGCAGAACTACTTGTAACTTAATTGACTTTTGGCAAAAGACATGGGGGCGGTTCTTTGCTCGCGAAAAAAAAACACTAGAGTTTGCGAAAGTTTGGTGAAGGTAAATCTCTTTTTCTGGCGAAGAATGAGCATTTTTGGGATGACATAATCTAGATCAAAACCCACATCTTTAATCATCTTTATACTTTATACGCGTTTTTTGGGTAAATGTTGCGTTTTGGTGCGTGAATACATTCTTTCTCCCGTGCGATTTGGGCAATATCGCTGTACGAAGCATCAACCTCTACATTAACCTTTCTCAATCTACACCAAGCTACGTCAGTATTGTTCATTTGTTGTGTGTGTGTGTGTCAATCTACCTATTGCTTATCCCTTGGCAATCGATTCCAGCTATCAAAATCGACATCTAAGACACACATCACCAACAAGTGATAGATTCACTCCAATTCAATGCCTTGGATTCCTTCAATGGACTTGGAGTATATATTAATATTATTACTGTTTTATTGCCATTCGTTTTATAGTGGTTTATATTGTTTCATTAAACATATTCTGTTTAGAATTTATTCTATCTAGTTTTATGTATATAATATACTGGATATATATATACACATCACTTTTATCAGTTGGATCTACCATGACAAACAACTTGTATCTGTGATATAAATAAATAAATATATATATATATATATTATATGTGAATCAATACTCTCTCTCTCTCCATATATGTATACTATATATATATACACTATATATATACCATATATATATATATATAATATATATATATACCATATATATATACACTATATATATATATATCACTTATACATCACACCGAATGATTCCTTCTCCACGTCTCGGGTCCAAGGTCTTCGTCTTCGACCCGGCAGAGGTGGAGGATCTGGGCAGCGCCCTGGCACTGCTGAAGCAGGCGACGAGTCCATAGGAAAAATGGTCGATTTCATGGTGGGTTAACCGTTGAAGCGTTTAACCAACCATGGTAGGGGTAAAATGGGGAATGACAGGGTTTAGTATGTCTACTGGATTTTTCAGACTTCAGATGGTTTCATGGTGAAAAAACTAGGGTCAAATGGTGATTTAACGGGATTTCATGGTGATTTAATGGGAGTTAATGTTGGTTGAATGGTGATTTGAGGGGATTTAACCAAGGAAAATGGTGATCTAAGCAACAAAAATGGCGACTTAAGCCACTTCACAGACAATGGATAATCAAATATATACATATATATATACGTATATACAAAAGATACAACATATACTAAATATATCAACATATAATACATATTTATATATATATATATATATATTAATATGATGTGGTAAACCCAATGCCATAAACCTACCATTGGAGGATGGTTGATACTGTACCACCCAAAGATTATCCTATTGGGGATGATTTACTATTGAATTTATATACATTTCTATGTGTATACATAGGTAAGATTAGATCAGTATCCGTAGATAGATAATGATACATTAGTATACAGATTTATGTGATATGAGTGATCTGTGCATTTGTGACAGGTTGGAATCTAGACATGATGATATGGAATATATCGCCAGAAGCAGTATTCAATAGTATTCCGTCCAAGCACATCCCACCCTCAAGCTGAGCCCAAACGGAACATCCCCACAGATGCCGCTTCCGGCGAATCTTCACTTCGTGATGACTACTGCAAGTTGCTTGACTGAACATCAGCGGGGCCCAAACGGATCCCACCGATCCCACGTCATAGCCTGATAGCATCCCATGGCCAGGTACTGCAGAGTTGGCTTGGGAAGAAGAGGCGCTCCGGAGATGGCGCAGGTGTCGAGAAATGACTTCACTGGTCACTGGCGGTCACTGGCGTGCAGGTTCTTGGCTCCAAACCCTCGTGGCTTTCGAGTTCCCAAGCAAGGCGGGAGGGATTGCGAAATCACATGGGTCAAAAAATATGTTGACACCCAAAATGGATCAAAATGGATGGTTTAACATGGTTCAATGCTAGAAATTGCCACACTTGGGGTCCCTATAGTCTATTGACACCCCAATTTTTTTCCATATCCATAGATTGGCGATGTGTTGTACCAATAGAATGGTGATGTGGGGAGGGTAGTAGTGGTTGGATTTCTTATGAAATTACATGAAATTACATGAAATTATAACATATAATATGGGGAACCATCCATTCACCATGACGTTTTTGCCGTATCTTATCCCAGCGCACGTCACGTGGCACCCATTTCGGCTCACTCTCAACGCGGCGTGCAACGCCGAGTTTGCGGCGAGGCCTGGGAGCGGTCAGCTGTGTAGGGAACGGCAAGGTGAATCAACGAGTGTTGCTAGTGGCCATTAGCTAATCCACTGAAATAACTAGGGTTATAACCTACTTAACTATGGTTTATGGTAACCCTGGTTGCTGGTTTTCAGAAATATTGAATTCTTGCATTATTCTGAAACTAGACAGTAGAAAATGGACATGGTCAACACCACGATAGCAAGCACCAGAATCCAACAGTGCGCTGCAGATGTCGCGCCCCTTTGGACCCCTCCGGTGAGGACACCAACGGCCGTGTTTAAGACATGATGTTCAGCGTTCTGGTGAGGTCCTTAAGACTACGCTGGTGCAGGTTGCGAACTCCTGCAGGGTAACTATTGGGATTCCTATGAAACACTGCAAATAATGGAATTATAATGGGATAAACATAGATAAACCATCTAGCAACTGGTGCAGGATTTCGCAACTATCCAGAGTATGTTGAGTGACAACAACCAGTCTGAACACAGCTTGAATCTTCTTGGATGGTCAAATTTATCAATCTCCTTGAACTGAATATCCAACAACGGCTCATGACTACTTAGTTGTTACTGTTTCCCATGGTTTTCAATGTGTTTGATGCTTGGTTATTGTGCTTGTCAAAGGCAATTTTTTAGATTTTCAAAATCATTGAAGAGCCTTCGACTGCTGAGGTACTTTCACAGCACCTCTTGGCAGCTGCCGAGTTGGCAATTGTGCACCAGAAGCAACTAGAGAACTTTAGAGTCTGGATTTCAATTGCAGCCGTTCAGGGAAAACATGGGAAAACCATTCAGTCCAGAAAGATCCAGAAAGCTATGACATAGCATGACTTTTGACTCTTGTCATCTCCATCTTTCCATATCTTTCCTGTGCTTCAGGCTGGTTTACCTCCAGTGCCGCCACCTGTGGCACCCCCGGTGGCCCCGGCCCCGGTGGCCCCGGTGCTTCCACTGACGCGGGCCCTGCCGGACCTGCCTGGTGTGCCCCCGCTGGCGACGCCGCCGCTGCTGCCAGGGTCTCCTGACCGGGCCCTACCAGGGGCGAAGTCTGGGATGATCGATGCACTGGCGTCAGATGCCATCTCCACTTCACCCGGGCCAGTGGCTTGGAACGAGTTAATGAGTTCAAAAAATGGAGAAGTACGGTATGAAAACATGGATTTACATGGATTTACACAAAAAGAATCAACAAAAATACAAAAAGGAGTTGCCTTTTGGAGACTTTACAGATCTTGACAGACTGAACGTGTTGTAGAATTTGAGCATATGTGGGGACCTTGGATTTTATGGGGTACAAAGCGAAAGTTGCAGAAGGCTGCACCATGTACTGTACCACCCAGAATTCTAGTAAATCTGTAATCTTACAGCATACGATTTATATGTTGCTGTTTTTTCTTGAGAGGGCGCTGATGCCCGCAGGGACCTTTGTTGACGCTTTGCGCTTAAAAAAGTTAGCATTTCAATCCACCAGAGCAGACAGCTTAGCATCTCAATTGCACGTCGCAATAGTTCTCATTGAGCAAGTTTTGGGGTGGTGCTGGTGGACTGATTTGTATGGCCTCCAGCTGCATTGGGACCGCTCTACCCAGGGTATGAAGATTAGCATCGACATGTCAGGTGATGGACCTCAGTCTGATGGGTTGAGTAGTGTTGAGTGCATGTGCATTATCATCAGTATCTCATTATCAACATCAACATATACATCAACATCGACATCATCACCATCACCATCACCATCACCATCACCATCACCATCACCATCACCATCACCATCATCATCATCATCATCATCATTATTCCCTTGAGCTGTGGCCAATGCTTTCCACACATTTGCTCCATTTAAGGACTTGGAAACACAAGTGTTTTTGTCGTTCCCAACCCCAAAGTCTCCCTGGCATTCATGAGCACCTGACAAGATGAACTAAGATGATTGGTTTCTAACTGGTAGATTGATATCCACTAATCCACTGTTTAAACTACAAGTATGTCCCAATTTATGGTTGTTTTCTTGCGGAAGATGACAACGAACAATTTTGTTCCCATAGCTTTACACCAGCACTGAGGACTGCACATGACTGCGGATGAGATTCGAGAATCTGAAATCAAGTTGAAGCAGGAAACGCGTTGTTTTTGTGCAAGGGTTGAGTAGCTGCTTTCCTGGCTTTGTGATGCTTTGTGGGGATGTTTAGGCCAAATAACTTGTTGTGGGAGTTTCATGATGTTTGAATATATATATATATACAATATAATAAAAATATAATCAAAATATAATATAATATAATATAATATAATATATAATGTCATTTATTATATATTATATCAATATATTTGATCTTTAAGTTATTCAATCTATATGTGTGAATATTAGATTTCAATATATTTAATATTCTCCAACTGATGGGGTTGAAGTTGATACACCTTTTGCCACACACCTGGCAGTGCCTGGCAGGAAGAAAAAGATGAGGAGAGAGTACAGCGACAGGAGCTGCAAGGGTTCCTGGGTTATCCATCAAGACTTACCCAATCAGTTATATTATATATATATATTCTACTATAATACATGTATGATAATATTACAATGCTTATATAATTATTTACGACTTCATATGATATCAATATTATTATTGTATATGATATGTAAAACATCCATCATGCATAGGGATCGGCCGCCAGGAGATCGCCTTTAGACACGAGGCCTACAACTGGTTGAAATCCCACAAGAACGACATAGACTCTTCGGTCTGCAAGGTCCAGATTCCGGAACGGGAATCCCGAGCGCCAAGCTCATCAAGCTCCAATCTTTGGAGGGTTGATAACGGTTACCTGGTTGATACCACCTATTTATGGGGATATTTTTATGGATATTGGGATATAAAGGGTTGATGATTGGGGATATACCCACAGTGGTCGATTTTGATTTTGACCACGATGTGAAATCTCTCGACCTTGTGCGCATCGACAGGCGGCAGGAACCTTCTTCAACTTCAAAGTGCTGACCGAATTGGTGAAAATGGGCGGATCCGCTCCCTGCCTGCAGCGGGGTTCGTTCCCGTGGGTCTTCGCTGAGTCATATCCACGACTCTTTGGGGTTCTCAAAGGTGCAACCATAGTACCTGGCCATTGTGTGTTAGGTTGTAATCTATTTTAATCTATCATAATGCATTGTAATATATTGTAGTCTATTCCTGAGTTGGAAAAGCCTAGGGCCATTCGGACTTGGGGAAGGAACTTACCAGGATTCATCAACCGAAGCATAACAGTGGCCCAGTGGAAAGTCTCAGGTCAACAAGCAGATGTGCGGCGAGGATTCTGGGACTCCCTTGCACTCAGCTGCCTATTGGGGTCTATCCAAAGGAGCCTTTCCCGGGCAAACGGGGGGGGAGGAATCACCCAATCCGATAGAGATAAAACAAATACGCATAACAATGACAGAATTCACAACAATAAAACAACAACAATAATAATGATAATGATAATGTTAATGATAATGATAATGATAATAATATGATTATAACAATATATATATGCACACACATAATTGTGAATATGATACATGCACTGTCAAATGGTACTGGTCCAGATGCCATGGGTGTTCACTACTCGGCTTCTTGGTGGTTGGCCTGCTGAAGAATCATAAAGGATAGGCTGCATCAGTTATAGTCCTTCATATTGAAGACAATGTGACAATCACAAACCACACCCAACAAAAAACCATAGAGTTTTCCAGCATTTTGAGATCAGTACAAGGCCCAACTTGACCACTTTGGATGATCGTCTCTGGGACATCCCAGCCAAGTCGGATGTCGGCCGCCCATCCCATCGCAGGCGTGAAGCGCATCATGGAGGAGTTGGGAGGCGATCCCAATCTCTGCAATGCCAAAGGCTTGCCCCCCGTCTACGAGGCATGCGAGAACGTCGACGGCTCCAGCAACAAGGACGACAGATGGGGGATGTGGATGTGGTGGCTTGTGATAGTTGGGGGGGAAACCGTGATTCACATAGTTGACCTGATAAAGGATGATAAAGGTGGACATGATCATTCGGTGCATAGCAAGATTTGCTTGAGATGCGAAGCATGAGACATGATTTTTTTCGCTTTTTTCGGCACGTAGAGCCGTGCCGCAGCATCAGCTGCTCAGGTGGTGCGACTGTCGGATTTTTTTGATATCCAAGCCATCCAAGCCATCCAAGCGCCAGTGGTTGATCAGTAGACCATGGTTGATTATACAAACTATACCATCTGGTTATTTAACATAGCCATGGAAAATGGTCCATTTATAGATGGTTTACCTATTAAAAATGGTGATTTTCCATGGCTATGTTAAATAACCAGATGGTAGATGATTTGATGTGATACGATATGACATGATATGATATTGCCAATAATTAATTGTAATATGCTGTAATATCAAATGATATTATATTGTATTATGTTTTGTTATATTATATATTGTAATATTGTAATATTGTATTGTCTTGTCTTGTATTGTCTTGTCTTGTATTGTATTGTATTTTATCTACTATGGTTATTTTATACTATACGAGATATGTATATGGCTGTGTCTTTTTTTCAGGTGTGCAGATTTTAGTAAGGGTGGGAAGTTCGAGTTCTGCGAACCATACCCACGAATCATACCCCGAACCATACCCCGAATCATACCTGCGAATCATACCCCCAAAAATCACGATTATGAATGTTTCTTTTGTGATCGTTTGGGATTGCATGGCCTCACTAGTTTTAATGGACGTGACAAGCCAATTGACAAGTGTTGGCCAGATCCGATGATCCCTGGCTGCCTTCACATACCTTCACGACATGAGTGGTGAGGCTGGCTGGCTGGCTAGGTGGCTGGCTGCGTGGCTGGCTAGGCTAGGTGGCTATGGCAATTGCTGCTGCTGGTTGGGTGGCTGGCTATAGGGCTGGCCAGTTGCGGCTGGCTGGCTGCGTGGCTGGCTGCTTGCTGTGTTGTCTGCTATTAAGTAGCAGTTGTGGTAGGTTGACGGTGGGAAAAAGAGACTCAAGCAACAAAGCTTCCTGAATTCCAAAAAAACATGGGTTCCCGAACCATACCCCGAATCATACCCGAATCATACCCGAATCATACCTCAAACTTCCCAATTCTGAACCTTGGTACACTTGCAAGATCAGAACTTGTGTTTTGTGAGCATAAATCTTTTTCTTTGCAACCATTCGCCACGGGCTACACTACGCCTCCTGCTGCTTCTGAGAAAAATCCGGGAACGGCACCCTGCAGTGGCATCCTGCGATGGCACCAACATGCCAACTCCAAAGCGCACACACCACTTTGACTGCAGCACCTTGAAGCAGCACCCTGCAGCAGCACCACCAGCCAGCTCCAGAGCGGACACGCCACTCTAACAGCTGCACCCTGCAGCGTGCAGCACACCCTTCACTAGCACCATTGCACGCAAAATCGATCCCAGGGCCATTGAGACCCATATACTCCATGCATGATATAGATAGCATTAATTAGCAACATTCTGATGTTTTTGGGATTTTGGGACTAAGTATAGGTACATAAAGGGCCGCGAACCATACCCCCGAACCATACCCCGAACCATACCCCGAATCATACCCACGAATCATACCCCCTAGTCAAACTTCCCGGGCCGCACTCCTCATTTTGAGACATACCCATATATATATATATCACAGTTGTCCCAATCAGAATGACCAGAAATTGCTGGGTGTTTATTCCCCTGAGCCTGCAGGAAACAGTCACGGCCCTTGTCGAAGGCGCGACTCTGCCCATGAGAAATCCTGTGAAGTGATGGTGAATGTTTATGGTGAACCCCATTTCACATTTTTTCACTAGGTTGCAAGGATGGGTTGAAAAGATAATACATTTTTGTTGTTGCTTCCACAAGTATGTGTATATATATATAACTACCGATCATTTGGCCGCGAACTTTGGGTTAAAATGGTGGTTCTGGTCGAGCAAAAATGCAAGCAGAGCAACAGGTCAGCAAATGAAGCTTCAAATAGCTGGGATTGATCGATGTTCATTTCTCTCAGAATATGGCAGAATGTGGTAGAATAGGGTTTTGACTCATCCACATACAGAAATGTGTAAAAGGATATAGACATGTATACGATGGCAACCAAGATAGCTATGGACGACATGGGGTCAAAGTTCCAGTGATTTTTTTTTCAGACTCCCAGAACAAACGGCCCTGCGGCCCATGTGTACTTCAGCGACGCTGCGTCAGGTGGTGCAGATCTCAATATGGAGGTGGAAGGATTGCTGGTGAGACTGTGCTGGGTGCATCCTCGAGCTGTTTTGAAACCTTTCCCTGTCTTGGGGATGATATGCTTCACTAATTTTACTATTACTAGGCATCTCTAGGTTTTTTTTTCATATACAACTTATATCTGTACATGCACAAGATGGGTTTGACTGAGATTGGGGTATCCCATAAATCTGGGTATATTATATATATATTATATTACAGTGACCTCTCTGTGACCAAAAACTGGAATCATGGTGAATGTATAGGCTTCATCATCCCAGGATCACCACCTTTTCATTTTAGTGAATATGTATAGTATATATATATATATATGTACATACATATTATATACATAATTTCCCCAGATCCATAGGTTTTCCGCCATCTTTCAGACAGGAGTACCCTTGGTGAAGGTGGCCATGCAGAAAGGCTACTGGAAGGCGGCCAGGCGCCGAACGTTTTCACCACATTTTCGGTAGATCATCGAAGAACATGGGACGATTTACCTATGAAAATTGAAATAAATAAATATTGGTATATTTTCATAGGTATCCCAATATGTTCCAAATATCTCCGAGGCAAATTTGGAAGATCTGATCTTCGATATTTGGAACATAGTTGAAGGATTCCGTACAAAAACGGGTGTGACCCTATAGCTGGATGGTTTATTTCATGGACAATCCGACACTTTTCCATGGATGACTTGGGGCGTGACTTAGGAAACATCCATGTGACTTAATGGTGCTTAGGAGGGAATGGATGGGAATGGGGGTTGCTGGGATGATTATTACTAGTGATTATGGATCATTCCCTCATTCCCTGCTAAGCACCAGTAAGGTGATATCTATCTATTTTGATATGGATGTTCCCACTGCTACTTACCTTAGATGATAGCTATTGGACCATTGGAGAAATTCGGCATCCGCCAGATGTCTCCTGGATGCTGGAGCGACGTGGCCGTTTGTCTTCAACCAAAATCTGCGACTTTTTGGGAAGGCTGGTAACATCTGGTCTACCCTCTGGTAAACATACAAAAAGCTATTGAAAACGGCCATAGAAATAGTGGTTTTACCCATTAAAAATAGTGATTTTCCATAGCTATGTTAGTTTACCAGAGGGTATGTGGATCTATGTGGTAGATCATGGATTGAAATGGATTGAACATGTCCGAAATGGGGGACCCTGGACCCGAATCCCTTCCTGCCAATGGCTAGTGGGGGTAGCAGCTTAGCATATTTTCAGTGCGAGATGGTAACCCAGAAAAAAACATCCCATTGCCAGGACTACACAATGCCCGACACTCCATTGAGCAACCAGGGGGCGCATTTCCATTTTTGCGATGCAGCAAGGACTGGCAACGTCAGTGCTGTGCTTCGGCATGCAGTGTTTCTGAAAGGGCCAGGCAAGTTACCCCAAAACACCCAGTCACCCTCGACTTGTTTCTCATATTTTCTCATCATGTTTTCATGTTTTGCCTTGGCTTCAAGACAGCCATTTTTATTGGGCTCTCCTCTTGGATCTCTTGGCCGATGCCCGGATGCCCAAGGTCGTGAGCTATGCTGCCTCCGGCATGGACATTGATTATGGCTTGCTCGGAGCCCAGCCGGTGGTGATAAAAATGGTGATCCCCTGAGCCTCGAAGCCGTCCCAGCCGTTGAACAACTGGTGGCATTTCATACAGAGCATGTAAGATTCTGAACATTCTGAGCCCTAATTTTTTTATAAAATTTTATAAATTCCCCAGTGTTTCTCTTCCTTTTTTTTGGGCAACTTCACCCAAAAAGACCCAGGAGCTCCCAACAACCTACCTGCCCTTGCCAGGTGCTGGTCGGCTCCCTTCAGATGGTTGACCAGTGCCATTGGCCATGCAGCCTTCTATCAGCAGAAGGCCGTGGTGGATGTTTGGTGGGTTACCTCCATGAAAATATCGTGCAGTAAAACCTGCAGGTCTTTGTGGGCATAAATTCAACATGGAGAAATATGGGCGAGAACAGGTTACATATATATATATATTATATATTATATATATATTATATATTATATATATAATATATATATATTATATATATATGGGATGGTTCTGTTCGATTTGACAGGTGGTTTCAATTTTATCATGTTTGTCATTCCCGACTGGAATGACTATCACCTGTTCTCATCTATGTTTTCTGATTGCATCGGAACTCTTATTCTGCAAATCACTGTTTTCTAAGGTTAAATCACTGTGTTTCCTGGTGAAATCTATATGGGAAAGCATGGTTTTTCCGCATGAAATATACGTAGGAGTGTCCTATGATTTTCCACGCGGAGGACGTGATCAAGCTCCTCAAGCACTTTGGAGCCTCCTCAAAGATGGCGCGCGGGGGTTCGTATATGTCTGAAACTGAAGCACATTTGGGTGGTATCCACCCTCTTAAAAAAGGCCCAGATGTCCCTTCAATGAATGTTGATAATGGGGCTTTAAGCACCACTGGGGTTTCTGATTGGAAATCTAGGTAGCCACGCAGCAATTTGGGGATGGACTGTTATGACTGGGGCACTTTCGATCATGTCAAAAAAATATTGGGAACATAAGTGAAAAATAATGGTTAATGATGGTAAATCATTGTTAATCATGGTTAATAGGGGTTAATTATCTGGTTGGTGGTTTGGAACATGGCTTTTATGACTTTCCCATCATATTGGGAATGTCATCATCCCAACTGACGAAGTCCATCATTTTTCAGAGGGGTTGGTTGAAACCACCAACCAGAAATAAGTTCCAAGTAAATTTCCTGTATCTAAGGAATGTGAAGACTCCATTCCCGAAATCTCAATCTCGCAATGAGAGAAGGATTCATTCAAGTGGGTGAATGATTGGACTAACAATGCGCCCACATCTTGACGTTTCGGCAGAAATACTCATGGATTGTTCTTCCTCTGAATTCTGGATAGGCTTCAATAAATTAAATTTGCAAGCTGAGTGAAATATATTGCATTGGCATGCGATGTTTAAGTACCTATAGGTTTCATCTTTCGAGACGCGGCATCAGACAAGAGTGTGGATCACATTTTTTGCACCGCCAAGTAGACGATCATATGATATAGGATATGAGATTATTCTATGTCCCATAGGATCCATGGATATCCATGGTGCTGATATATATGCTAACATAAAGGGGGTATATTGATGGGATCCATGTTACCATATATAGCAGCACCATGGATCCTATGGGTATGATTCTTGGCATGTTCAGCGTAACATTCTCGAGCCGATCGGCCAGTCGGAGATGTGCAAGTGGAAGCAACTGCATTGCCAGGGTTCAAGTTGCCCCTGGACAGCAGGAGAGTGCCGGCTGCAAGCAACCATTTTTGAGGATAGGCTGTAGGCTCAACCACCATGAAGCAATTATACAACAAGCACGACACCTCGTGACACTGAGTTTCCTCAGGGTTTCGTCCATTGACTTTCCTATGGGGATATTCCCAGAAATCGAAAACGCATAGGAAACTCATAAATGGGCTGCAGAAGCAATGAAACCGTAGTACGCGTTGATATTACGCAGTCAAGGTGTTACTCATCCAAAATTGGATTAAGATGAGGGCACAGGTCGTAGAAACCCCAGTACCATCAGTACCCCCCAAAAAATCCCTTGAAGCTCTTGTAGGAAAGTTAGGAAGGCGGGTGGCCCAACAAAGACCAAGAAATGATGTCTTTTCAGACTTGGAGATTCATGGGTCCATACCTTATAAGGTCCTGAATTCCCTCAATGGATTGGTTTAAGGGAAAATCTACAGGAAACCATCGATTTTCCCAGTAAATATGGGGTTTTCCTGTAAATTTTCCCTTAAACCAATCCATTGATTCCCGGGGTTGACTCCAGGTTTTTGCCCAGCCTATAGCTTCACGTCACGATGATTCTCGTTGAGTCTGAGGCTTTAGTTGCTTCTCAGCCTGCGAAGCGTACCAAGCGAAAGATGCGCCTTGGCTGAAAACTTTCATCCCCTTGAAACATGTGATTTCTCACGCCCATGTGCCCTGAGTGCCCTGACAACATCTGACAACCATACCGGTGTTGAGGAAACATGCACAAAAACACTGCCGTTTCGACTCAGCTTGTTTACAGCCGGGTGAGGGATACAGATTCAACGCCGTTCAGCTGCACCTTGCATAGAAAGACTGCATTCAGAAGCAAGCGTGCCAGGGTTGAAAGTTCTTAAACTAATTGTTTTGCAATGTTTTGCCACTGAAACGGTCAAGACCTAAATATGGTTTGGTGAAAATGGTCGAATGCGGGTGTCGCTGTCATGGCCTGTAGCCTCATCAAACCTGGTGCTTCTTGGAGTTTTTTTTTCCCCCTTAGCCACTGCTCAGAAAACGCAGTTATTGTAAGCCCATATGTAAAGAGTTCTGAATTTTGATCAACCACCATATATATATAATTATGTATATATATATAATATTATATGTCTATTATTATCATTAGACACCCATTAGTGGCCTTGCTTTACCAACTAGGATTATTCACTAGACCATCAGGAACCATTGAAGCCGTTCAAGAAGGCCAGGCTGGTGCCATTGGGATTTATTTGTTGGTGGATCATCTGCAGGAAAGTATGGTGAAACACCCAGACAGATTGGGTTTTCCTGTAAACTATCCAAAACAAAACCAACTCTTGAACATGATCATAAACCCTGCGATTATCTGCGATTATAAGATTATTATAACTAGTTTCGATAGGAACCTGTTACGAAATGTGGACCAGTTCATTCCTCCTAAAAAGAGCCTCATTGGCTGAGAGGATCCTTTGTCAACTATTGTTTTTTTTCCGCTATTTGATGTCTTACTTTCCTGCGGTTGCAAATCAGAGACACATCCGTTGCTGTGTTGTCGGTGCATACCAGTTTGCAGTGTATATATGGAGGTTTCCTAAAAATAGGGGTACCATGGGGTACCCACGAATGATCCATTTTAATAGGATTTTCCACTGTAAACCATCCATTTTGGATATTTTGGGGTACACCCATTTGTGGAAACCCCCATTATCGATGATTTCAATGAAACTCATTGATTCATAGACTCATCGTCTTCACGTAGGGACTACACCTCCTGAGATGTTTGAGCTTGGTTGATCAGAGTCGCTGCTATGTTTATCTTTTCCAATGGAAAAGTCACCATTCGGGGAATTCGAAGATGAACCGTTTTTTTTTTAATATTATGATTATACCAAGTTGGATACCTCTTCAATTCGATATGTTGTATCTTGCTACGGCATTAGGAAAATTAAAGAAGTATAAGTATATATATATATAATAATATACTTATGATCCACATTGATATGATCTTGAAGTAGGTCATGCTAGTGGATCTAGTGATCAACAGCTGCAGGTGCTCGATCCTGAGATAGCCCATCTTCTGAATTGCTAAAAGCAATTGAAGGATGGTGTTTTTTCCATGTTTGTTTCTTCTGAGTTTTTCTTTGGTTTTGTTTTCTTTTTGGCTGAACAATTGAGACGCAGAATTATGTATTCTCGATGTTTTGGTACAATCAACCTTTATGGACTCATTTTTGGCATCAGTTTTAGCTACAGACTGCGGGAAACCCGCAGAACAAGTGCCTTCCGGAAGCCCGCAGACCGGAGCATTCCGGTTGTGTTTTCCCAACACAGGCAGGTGCTGTCAACCATGCTGTCTGAAGGTTCGGCTTCCACGAGATCTAAGGTTTTGAGCGTAAGTCCTTTTTTCAGGCACGAAGCCGGTCTTGGTCAAGTTCACCCAAATCAAATCTATGATAAATGACTAAGATATCTAAAGATGACTAAATTAATATGAAGTGATTGATGCCTTGTGAGCTCAGCAGATCGAGGTCAGCAGTTGGTTTAACAGCGTTCCGGATGATTGCAGGCAGCACTTGCGAAACCATCAACTTATTGATGTTATATAGACATGATAGACATGTCTGGGGCTCAAAACAACAGAAATGACTCATGTTGACGAAATCATATGACCAGGCAATGGGATTCATTCAGCTGTTGTTTTGCCAGATTTTGAGCCGTCAGAATCATCGGTCATCAGCTTCTAAAAGGACGTCGTGACTGACCGATGTCGTTTTTTTCCCGGATGATCTCATGCGACTCCGAGTACATAGCCGGCGACTGCGGAAACCGCAGACGGAAGTGCGAGGCACCACTCCATCCCACGAGGCATTTTCAAGTCTGGAAATATTCAAAGGCTGTCAATCTCAAAACAGGAACATTCATAGAAATCATAGAATCTCTTCAGGAAACCCCTATATTTGATTGTAAAAACCATTGATTTCCTGTAGATTTTCCCTTAAACCAATCCATTGAATACCAATGAATACCAGAATTTGCTGAACTTGGATCTAGTCAAGTCCTGTGTGTCTATATCGATGAGATTGTACGCACGTCAAACGCAGGTTACGAATCAAGATTGTCAATCTCGAATTTGCGTGCAGTTTTTTGTATTTGTGTTTCGCTACGCTAACACATTTCTTCTTATGCAAAGGTTCAGACATTTGAGTTTGGTATCACAAGCATTCGTTTTGGCTGTCTATTTTTAGGCAAGACACAAGAAGTTATACATGTTTAACATTCTTTGTTTTTGCCTGTGGTTTCAGCTATTCCATTAATATTGTCCATCGCTATGGGATGGTAAGAATTCACCAAATATGAACCATCCCATTAAATGAGGTTTCTGACATTGGGCATAGCCCGTCATTTGAATCTATGACTGAGATGATGTTTACTTATGTTTACTATGATCCCCCAGTCATGGTGAATATGGTGAATGGTGAATGGGATGGTTGGGATTTGTTGGGTCATGTCAAGGGTCGACATGAAATGACATGTTCTGTCCTGAGCCTTCCGAATCTGCGACGCTCATCGCCACGCGGGTCAAGCGCTTGGCTCGCGGAATTCTTGGCGCGGGGCAGGGTCGGGAGAACTCATGTTGGAAAAAGTGTCAACATCTGAAAAATGGCATAAAAATAAGGCTTTGAATTTTTGGCTTTGCATGGCTTTGCTTTAGCTTCGTTTTTGGCGCGTTGAATTTCTGCAAATTTTGTCGGGTACCTAGTTGATATAAATGTACATTACAAAACAATACAAAACAATTTAGATTCAACTTGAAAACCATTTACTTACAGTATCAGTAACATAATTTAAGACTAATTTACAATCAACTTAAATTTAATCGAATGTGCAATCAAATTCGTTGTAACTTAAATCTTCTTCGATTTTGATTTAATTTTACTTAGAAATTAATCTATTTTAAATGTAATTTAGTTATTACTTCAGATTCAATTTGAAATTATTCTCAATATATTTAACGAATAGTAAGGAGCCAAAAACCCAAAAGCCAAACTGAAAGAAAACAAAACAAAACAACAACAAATCCCTCAACAAAATGCCGCTTCCATTCCTTTTTCAAACTTCGTTGAAGGACCTGGTTTTACGGGCTAGCTCAAGTGCCTAGTCTCATGGCCATCCTGCAGGAGTAGCCTATGATTTACAAGGCGGCACAGTTGTATCAGGATGTAATACGAGGGTTTTTAAGATAATTGTTCAATGTATTTCAATGTTATCATGTTGATCATGTTGATCATGTATTGTAGATCTTATACTTGTTCTTGGTTTTTCCCATTACCTGGGTGATGTTTAACATGTTTAATTGCTTAGCTTCAACATTTAAACACGCATTTCCTTTGGTTTTTCGATAGTTTTTCCATCCTGCCCAACACTGCCAGTCATCGCCGAGTGGTCGACCGGACAGTCTTCCTGCGCGCTGAATTTTAGTCGTCTCAAAGAGACGAGAACTGCTTCACAACCGTCAAAGGATGTAAAAAAAGTGGGGGTCCCCCGGGCTGAAGCGCTGATTTTGAAGCTGTCATCCGGGTGCTTCTAAAGTGCTTCTAAAGTTTGATAAGTTTAGGACCCTACTAAAGCTCCGAAAAAATGGGATCAGATTTCCCAGCCAAGTCCCGCTTTTTTTCATCACCAGGTTCTTTGAACCCACAGCCGCCACAGCCCCAGGTCCGAGAAGGGCCAGGTGAGTCAAACCTTGGCCTCTACCTTCGCCTACATGCTGGCCAAGGTCAGGGGGATGCCTAGGATGCCGATAGCATGAACCAAGGTTTGGAAGATGTTGGAACCAATATTAGTGTCATAGGCAGACCGTATGGGTCAAAATCAACACATGATTACTCTATGTATATATATATAATTATATATACAAAATATACATAATATAATATAATATAATATAAAATATAATATAATATATAACATAATATAATATAATATAACATAATATAATATAACATAACATAACATAATATAATATAATATAATATGATATAATATAATATAATATGATATGATATAATACATAGTACATATATATATGTATATAACTAAGTATATGTATATACAATACCCTTTTTCAGGCCCAAACCATCACCATTCTAGGGTATTCGGCATATCATCGATGGGCCAGGGCCGCAAGCGTGTACAGAGCTTCCTGACTGCTGCGCACGAGGCGGAACATGAAAATGTGATATGCGTAGTGAAATAATGAGAACTAGAGATGAATAACGATAAACACACTCTAGTTTTTTCTCCAGAAAACAATTTAGATAAAAAACAATCAATTTGCATGTACATTATAGACATGACATGTACGTGCGAATGATGAGATTGTATTTTACTCATGCAGAGCTGCCAGGAAGTTTGGGCCATGCGATGCTTTGGAGTTGTTTGGAGAGTGTTGTACACGACATGGAGGTTTCCATAAATGGTGGTTTATAGTGGAACATTTTTCTCATTTGGGGGGTACCACCCATTTTAGGAAACCTCCATATCACATATTACAGTTTGTTATGTACCATGCTAGATCTGACTGTAGTTTCAGCAGTTCATATGCAAACCATTGTGATTTAGTGTTTATTTCCCGCTCTGCATAAACTCGTGTGTTTGGCAGCCCAGAATGATATCATGAACGTATTTGAGTTCGCATGGTCTTCAACCCGATGTTGGGCACTTGAAGATCGATTTGAATGCAGCCCGGGGACTCATGTCCCATTCCGCGCAGTGGGTGTCCAGTCTCAACGTCAACAGATGGCCAGAAACAGAGGCGGGTGGCCTTTTTTTGGCCCGAGAAGTTGGGGGATCATGGGGGATTCGCATCCGAACACCCATAAAAAAACCAGCAACCAGAGCAAGCAGAGATTCCATGAGATTCCTTGAGATTCCGAGATTTTTTTCGTGATTGAGCGATTGATGACTAACTTGATTGACTGATTTATTGATTGATTGACCTTTTCATTGATTGGCCAACTGACGGACTGAAGAACTAAAGCCATGACAGCACAGATGAGTCGTCCTGCCCAGGAGGGCTTGCAGAAGATCAAGGAATTGTGGTTGGCGTCTTTCAAAAAGGCCTGGAGGATATGAGTGGATATGCTGTTCACAGTTGATGGCTCCCATGGGGTATCCATGGGGTATCCATGACTTGGTGGACAGGAGGCCCCTACGGAAGACACCTGGTTGGAATTGCTGAGGCGATACCAAGCTGCTGAAACGCTAGGGCCTGTGCTGGTGCCAATCCACCAAGATCCAATAGGATCCAAGTTTGAGCCTTATCCATCGGAGTCTTGGAAACCACTTAATTTAGCATGCAATGGCCAGGTTGCATTTCGTTCAAGAGCTTTCACATCTTCCTTCTTCATTCAAATGTAGCCATGAGTCTTGAATCATTGAATTGGACAGAGTTCACCAATTTCCATTTATGATCATTTATGGACACACACACATATATATATATTATGTCAGGGACTTGATTTTGATCATTTTGATGTTTATAGGTATTTTAATAAACATATCATAAACATCCATAATAATATATATATATACGCGCAACGCCTGGGTTTTGCCCAGGCGTTGCAGCGTAGAGGCTTCCCATTCCCAAACAAATGCTGATGCAACTTCACAAAATTCCTATGGGAAAGAACAACAAAGGTACTAGGGAATATTAAACTCCCACCCCCGTAAAACTTTACATTCAATTGGGAAGATCAACAAAGGTACTAGGGAATATTAAACAGTTACTCCCGTTAAACCTTAAATTCCTATGGGAAAAAACAACAAAGGCACTAGGGAATATAAAAATCCCACCCCCGTTAAACTTTACATTCAATTGGGAAGATCAACAAAGGTACTAGGGAATATTAAACTCCCACCCCCGTTAAACCTTACATTCATTGAAGATCTTCAATAAGGGTTTAATTCTCCCAACCCCGTTAAATTTTACATTCATTGAAGATCTTCAATAAGGGTTTAATTCTCTTCTACATTCATTGAAGATCTTCAATAAGGGTTTAATTCTCCCACCCCCGTTAAACTTCTTCTACATTCATTGAAGATCTTCAATAAGGGTTTAATTCTCCCACCCGGTTAAACTTCTACATTCATTGAAGATCTTCAATAAGGGTTTAATTCTCCCAACCCCGTTAAATTTTACATTCATTGAAGATCTTCAATAAGGGTTTAATTCTCTTCTACATTCATTGAAGATCTTCAATAAGGGTTTAATTCTCCCCACCCCGTTAAACTTCTACATTCATTGAAGATCTTCAATAAGGGTTTAATTCTCCCCACCCCGTTAAACTTCTACATTCATTTCTACATTCATTGAAGATCTTCAATAAGGGTTTAATTCTCCCACCCCCGTTAAACTTCTACATTCATTGAAGATCTTCAATAAGGGTTTAATTCTCCCACCCCCGTTAAACTTCTACATTCATTGAAGATCTTCAATAAGGGTTTAATTCTCCCCGCCCGGTTAAATTTCTACATTCATTGAAGATCTGCAATAAGGGTTTAATTCTCACCACCCCGTTGAACTTCTACATTCATTGAAGATCTTCAATAAGGGTTTAATTCTGATGATGATGATGATGATGATGATGATGATGCGTCGCCTGTCGTCATTGCGGGTCCGGGCAAAACCCAGGCATTTGCCGTATATAAATATATATATATAGCCGATCCACAATTCTTGTTGGCATAGAATTGGATGATATGAAAAATTACAGGAAACCCCGATCAATTTGATGGTAAAAACCATTGATTTCCTGTAGATTTTCCCTTCAACCAATCCATTGATGTTGGCATCTCCAGGAATGGCTCGGCTGTGGGAGGCTACGTGGCCAACTGCAGTGACTATGCAGCCTCAACAGGTGGGGATGGGATGCTGCCATAGCTGCCATAGCACCAATGGAAGGGGATGCTTATGATGGTGAAATACTGGTGAAATACTGGTGAAATACTGGTGAAATCATGGTTATGATGCTTATGATGGTGAAATACATCGTTCTACACAGCCATTTCCCTGTGAAATTGTGGGTCTATGATTGATATTGTTGTGCTTACCACATTACATTGAAACGCCGAAAAAAGACTCGCTGTTCTAAACAGGCGAACACAAATTGGAACCTCGAAAACAGACAGCAAAAAGGAACGTGGGAAAGCCATGAACACCTGCTGATTTACCCAAACACTGATTCCTGAGGTGTGCCGGTGCCATCTCTGCTGGTCAATGGGAAGGCGAAGCATTGGAGAACAGGAGATTCATCACATTCCACAGTGGTGGGGGATTCCTATATAGTTCATGGATGACAATAATCATCCCTAGTTTAGTATAGAATCCCCTACCATCAGCAACCAACCTGGGGTTGTTTGAATAGTGACACCCACGATTTTCTTCAATTGGGGCCGTTTGGACCTATGTCGCCTCAGCTTTGGACCCAGCATGGACACAGCTACACTCACGATTGGGTTTCTACCCAATAAGTGGACAATGATTCCAAGATAGCCTTGAAAATATATAGCATGATTCCCACCCACCTGCCTCATCCTACCTCACCCTGCCAAATTCTCACAAAGTGATATAAACTGTTGGACTTGGCTGCATTCAACCTCAGAGATGTTACATTGAGACGCAGTCTACCAGAACAAGCGTTCCCAGATAAATTTTGGGGGCATTGGCCCAAGTCTAGCACGCTTTGAAGACATAGTCCACTTCACACCAAGTACTTTCCGTGTCCCAAACCCATGGGGGCAGCCTTACCAGCCACAAATGCGCGGGTGCTCAGATTGCTTGGTATTTGGGAGGGTATCCATCAGGTGTTCAGTGTTGAACCAACAGGTTTGAAGTGCTCAGTTTCTACAATCATCAAGGGGAAAGCCAGAAAATCTCATGGATGTTGGAGGACCACAAATTATTACAAACGACTACATTCTTGAAAAGATCCCAGGCCTCAATTGCCAACAGGTTCAGAGAGTCAAGGGCGCATGTCAGAATAGCCATGCACATCTTTAGTCCAACAGTAGTTTCAATAATTGGGCATGAGTCGAAATTCAAGATCCAGACACAGATTCTAGTTGAGCACTAACCATTCAATTATTATTCAATTATTATCAATTAGTCTGGTTCAATAATTGATAATAGTCGAGATTGTTAGTGTGAACCATTCAATTATTATCAATTATTGGGGTTCCCAATGACTTGACCCATACCCTCTTGCGGAGCGGCCATTCAAAAGTTTTGCTGAAGCGTAGCTCCAACGACATTGGGAACTAGTTGCCAAAAAACTCGCACCTAAAGATTATTAGATGGGTTTACAGGTGGCTGACCCTCAAGTCCGTAAAGTCTGAGCGGGTCCGTCCTCAGATCAAGGTGTCTGGGATGGTGGCAGATGGTTTAGGCCTGGACAAGCGACTGTGCCGACAGGCACCGGACAGGGCATGGTGGATGGGGTGCTATGCGGTGGAAGGTGGTTCATCCGTGAAAGTGAGGAGATTACGGTATAACTCTACGTTTATACATAATATAAATAATATACATATAGATATATCATAATGATATGACTTGGCTGTAGACTAAAACTTGCAGTGCCCATAGTATCCCCTTTATATACAACCAAACTTAAAACCTATAAGATTTACTGTATATAGGTGGATCTATGGGGATGCGGAAGCTTCGGCTCCAGTTGAAGCTACAGACATCGTCGTTTTGTCACTGGAATGATGGGAATTGGATTCGGGGAATCGTCCCCAAATGGCCCAACTCAGCTAGAGGTTGGAGAATTATTGTAATTCAGCCATGTTGAGCCAGAATAGATCATAATAGTATATGGGTGTGTCTGAAAATAGGGTATATTCCCAATTATAGCCATTTAATAGGGATAATGATCATTAACCATTGGGTTTAGGGGTACACTATTTTCAGACACACCCATATTACTCATAGTGCATGTACTGTGTATATACCCTCTGGTTATGTCAAAATAGCTATTGGAAATCCACCCATGTTCAATGGGAAAATCCACTATTTCGACTGGGCCATTTTCAATAGCTATTTTGACATAACCAGAGGGTATTTGATATTACTGTGTATATATTTGATTCAATGGATTGGTTTAAGGGAAAATCTACAGGAAACCATAGATTTTCCCATTAAATATGGGGTTTTCCTGTAAATTTTCCCTTAAACCAATCCATTGATTGATATTGTCATTTCTGCCTATCCTAGTTATTCTATCTATCGCCAGATGATCCCAGCTCCACGAATGTAACACCTCCGTTAACTGCCGCAGAGCTACGAAGATGGCAGTGAATACTACGGCCAGCCGGGCATCTCAGGGGCGGGTACATCATGCAAGGGATGCTATGGTGATAAAATGGGTTCCCACCATTTTTAAGAAAAACCCATATTAGTTAGAATATGTTAGAATACGTTAGATAGTTTGGGAAGTTCTCAACATGTCTGAACTCGTTTTTGTCTCGCAGCATGTTTTTTTTGGTTACATACATGGAGTTTCTGAACCACCAGCCAAGATAACCAACCAAGTTCACAGGGAAGACATTCACCAGATTTTTGCGCGCAGCAGCAGCTGGTCAGTGACCATGGTCAGGAGTCTGGAAGTTTCCCATGTGGAACATAGAATAACATTACATAAGACAATATACTATAATATAGTGTAAAATGATACAAGGTAATATACTATGATAAGGTATATATATACAATATATTACAATATGAAATCATGTCACAGCATATATGTTTTGTGGCCCAACCTTGACACAGCCAATTTCCGGTTCATCCCAGGTTCGTGAAGCGCCAATTTCATGGCCAGGGGCGGATGCGATGGAACTGCGGTGATGGTTTGGTGGATGAGTACAATGGCCCCATGGCGGCATGCGGCAGCCGAGGTTTCGGTTTAGTCATGGTCCCAAATCATCCAGTGATGACCATGACTTAGTATTGAAGTATATTGAAATGTATTGAAACAACATGACTTGGGGATCCACCCATTTTAGGAAGCCACCATATGGGGGTATGGCACACGAACCATTTGGGTGGAACTGTGATGTTGGGGATGTGGAACGAGCAAGTATAGGTACCTAAGCAGCAAGCATGTGCATGTTGGCAATGAACACGTAGGCAATATTCGACAAAAACTACAATTTGATGATTTACCGGCAATTTACATCAATTTACTACATATTTCTGGGGATTTACCAGCAATTTCATGATTCTCAAAGCTGTAGCTGACAGCTTTCCAGTAAAAACTATGTCCAGTAGCAACCCCTGGGGCTCTCCAGCGTGGCATAGCGTGGCGCCTTTTCAGGTTTCTGGGAGAATGGCAAGATGCATGGCCAGGGTGTCTACAAGTACTGTAATGGCCTGGATTCACTGCTGTCCGTTGGGGGTGGGTCCCGGTGGCTGCGAGGACTGGCTATCAGATAATTTCAGATAGCTACACCGGTATCAGATGATCCATGATGATCCCAATTTATCCATATTTATCCAAAAAATCATATCCAATTCCTCCAACATGTCTCCAGCACTGGTCAGTCACTGGTCGCCAGATGTCGCCAGGTACAAGATACCAAGGTGAGTTCAAAGAAAACCTCCGGGAGGGCTATGGCGTCTTGACGGTGCATCCCGGGACGAGTTCTGTCCGCGTGTTGGTTTTGGAAATGACCAATGACTTGACCAAAATCGGTCCGCGTGCTCTCCTCCTCCGACTTGATCCAACTTGACTTCTTAACAGTTACATGTAATTATCTGCCAATTTGTAGATATAATTAAGATGCATTATGATATATTATGATATATGAACTGATGTTAGTTTATATAGATATAATTATAGATCATACAGACCCTAATATACAAATATGATCAAGTATGGCTATTCTTTAATATATATATATTATATGTATATATAGATATATTCCATAGCATGCAACTGAAAAGCCATCCACAGCCATGCCCCGGTGGACCGCGTCACCTCCGTTCAGTTCACCGATGGCAGCCTCTATGAAGGCGGCTGGCGAGAAGATGTGCCTGAGGACAGGGACCCCAGGGATCCATGATGATCCATGGTCCATCGGATCGATCCAAGAATGTGGGGAAGATTTTTTGGTGAATGGTGAAAATAGTTATTACTTGTAGTTATTAGTTAGTATGGTGAATGGTGAAAATAGTTATTAGTTATTAGTTAGTATGGTTATGTGAAAATAGTTATTAGTTATTAGTTAGTATGGTTATTAGTATGGTGAATGGTGAAAATAGTTACCAGGCTATAGTGATTAATAATGATTAATAGTTACCAGGCTATTATCATTAACCAACCAGGCTATTTGTATGGAGCCATTATATATATATATACACATGTTACCGTCCAGTAAATTAACAGTTTGACCCTGAAAATCACCAATTTTTAGTGGAAACTAATCTTCCATCCCCTATCTGCCAGGGTCTATGTTAATTTACTGGAGGGTAATGGTTATAATTAGTTATTATATAATATCATTATTAGTTATAGTTAGTTGTTTATGTTAATAGTTGATTATAAATATCATTATCAGTTATAGTTAAGTATCATTATTAACCATTAAGTATTATTTACCATCTTATCAACTATCATTAAGCATTAATTATTCACTATAGCCTGGTTGGTTGGTTAATGATAGTTACCCTCCGGTATACCAACATAGCAAACTGTAAAATCACCCTTTTATATAGATCAAAAATAATCGGCAATTTTCCATAGCTATGCTAGTTTACCAGAGAGTGAATATCATTAACCAATCAACCAGGCTAAAGTGACACATTAATGGTTAATGATAGTTAATGATAGTTAATAATTAATGGTCACCATTATTGGCCTGGTTGATTGGTTAATGATTAGCTAATAATGGTGAATAATACTTAATGGTTAATAATTATAGGTAACTATAATTAATATATATATATACATATACAATATATATATATATACATATACAATATATATATATATATACATATACAATATATATATATATATACATACAATATATATATACATATACAATATATATATATATATATACATATACAATATATATATATTTTTTCCAGACTGCACTCAGTTGCGTCTCTCGCAGCGGCAGATTCGATGGTCCTTGAATTCAGAAAAAAAGCGGCTCACGTGACTATCCATCGTGGCCGATGTGCTGCCCAAAAAGCTGGCCTGCCATATCTTTACACCTCTGGATCAGGTCAGCCGGCAAGCATGCTGCACCGCACTCCGTGCAGGTGAGATCAAGCATGAGTGATTCCGCCATCGCCTTGCATAGCGCTGGCGGATACTCTTTTAATGGAGCTGTTCGAAATTGACCGTCTTGGTCACGGCCTACTGATGCACCTGTAGGAAGAGTTTTGGCCAGCATCTGCTTGTGGAGTGCCTTTTCCAAAGATGTCATTCCTAGGACAAGCAGCGTAGTTGGCTTTGCAGATGGCGCTCCGAATAATCCCTGTGCTAGGTGCACTAGGCGCAAATTTGGCAGCGTCAAGATCATTCGGAGTATTGGCAACCGCCAAATACTCACCTTCTCCTCCTCTTCTGGGTCACGAGGGTGTTCAATGAACCCTGTGCCCGATCTGATGGCCAGAGCAACAATGCACTGGAATGCGAAACCTAGGAGCAGTGTGCCCAAGTTGACCTGCGCCAACTCCGTCAACCTCAATGACGAGCCACCCCAAGGCTCTGTGGGGGTGCGTACTACTCTCGGTCCCCTCAAGGTGCTTTCAGGAGGGCCCAGACAGTGGTGTCGTGCTTTGCTCCACGTGTTGCATGGAGGCCCAGCAAAAAATCCCACAACATGGCCTTGAGCAATGTGGCTGACCCAATATGTTCGGGTGTCTTCTCGCGAGATGTCACCATAAATTCCATCAATGACAATGTCGACTGACGCAACGAAAATCTGAAAATCCGGGTACTTCTTGGCTACCGCCTCGATGTACCACTCCACATCTCCAGGCCTTCGTCTTCCTGCATAAGCATGCAGGACAACCTTCTGTCTGCACAATGTCCTTGGCAACGGTTGCAGTTGGTCCCATGCATTGGCCTGATATGCAATGTCAGTACACCACGCTTCCCAATCACTGATATCAGTGGAAAGATGTTGTCCCTCTCTGTAGCATTTCTGCTTCAGAAACGGCCAGGCATCAACATGGCAAAGCTGTTGCAAGCATTCACATACTTCTGCATGGGTAAAAGAAAGAACCTCTGCATCCTGCAATGTGAAATCTTCCAGGAAGTGGAGCAAAGTGCGCCTACATGTCGTCCAACTAACTGGGTGACGCTGGATTTCATTTCGCAGCACCGATTCCAGCTGACCTCGATCATGTAAATCCAGTAAAGTCAAATACAGATCTTCGAGGAGTCGAATGCAGTACTGCTCAAAATCACGCTGCCGAAGATGGATCTGTTTGGGTCCTTGTGCTTGTTGGAATGGGATTGCCCCATCTGTGTGAGCAGCCAAAATCTGGTCCTGCGTTGAGCCTGTTCCAGGCGCTGTGACACATTGCATCCTCTGCCCAATGAGTCGTTGTCTGCAGTGGTTCGCAGTTCTCAAGTGTGCAAGAACTTTGGCCCTGGTGTGATACTCTCGCAAACACGCTGGGCAATGGGTCTCTGTGAAAAGATGACGAGCTTTGGCAATCTGTCCATGGCACTTGAACATATGAACACTTTCACCGCTGCGTGAGAGATGCCTCGATTGGCATTTCATGCAGCCATAGTGCTCTTCAGGCTCTGCAATGACTGTGTTGCATGGCAGGCTGTCAATCCAGTTGTGCCGCAATAGGGTCATGCCCACGTCCTGGTGAAGGCGCAGAGCAACTGCATAGTTGTCTCTCTGCGCAACCGCATGCATGATACCCCTCTTGATCAACTTTTTCCAATAGCCTCCATGATGGATGAGAAGGTCTTTCCAAGCAGGATAATGTTCTCTTGGATCTCCGATCGATGAGGTGTTGGAAATTTGAGCCCAAAGCCAAGTCATGTCATCCTTCAACAATGTCAACCAATCATGATCTTCCTGCAGCACTCCCCATAGCGCATCTCGACCACAGTTGTGCAACGTGCCATAGTAACGCAGCCTGCACTGTCGCAACAGTTCATCAGGTTTGGGCATCCCAGCACGCACCAAGAGGTCAAGATCGGTCACATGGCAGTCATGAGGAAGTTTGAGGAGTCTGCGGTATAACTTCATGACACCACTGTAGAACTGGTCCTTGGCCTTCTGCGCTTTCATTGTCCATGACTCCAAGCCGTACACAAGCTTACTGAGCACATGCGTTGCAAACATATCTTTTCTCTTGCTCCAATCAATGCAGCGGTTGTGGAAAAGGATCTTGCGATGGCTAGTGAAAGCTTGATGAGCAATGGCAATTCGTCTTGTGACTTCAGCTTTGTCGATGTCTTTGTGATGGAGGAGTCCTCCAAGATGGAGATACCGGCTCACTACGGATACCTGACTGGTGCCATGCTCTCCTACAACCGGAAGCGAGGAATTTTGGGCAAAGTACTTCCTGCGATACGCCCTTGATGCTGCTCCCCTAAAGGCGAACATGACTTCAGTTTTGCCTTTGCGTAGGTTCGGCTTCATGTACAGGCTTTGGCACTTGTCAATGAGAATGCCTAGAGCCACACTTGCTTTGCGTTCAATGCCTGCATTTGTGTCTGCTGCGATGCAGACGTTCAAGTCGTCCATCCAATTTGGCCCTAAGAACTGTTGTGTGTCAACAGCAGATGGATCCACGGGGACCAGATCAGGGAAGTCACAAACCGGGATAATCTCCAAGATGTCGTGCTCCGCTAGTGCATTCACATATGAGTGCAAAAGTTTGGACCATAAAAACCCAAACGCCACATCTGCATATGAATCACCCGGTCTCGAACCGATTGTTGTTTTGACAATGTCTTGTTGGTCTCCAATTCTAAACCAAGTCTCAGCATGGATGGCTTGGAGAAATCTTTGCACTGTCGGTGATGCACCAGCATCCGCAAGGGCACTGGGTTCTGCTAATTGGGCATGGAATTCATGTAGCGCATCACCTTGCAGACCCAGTTTGTGTGCCATCTCAGCCACATGCTCGTCAGATAAATCACCCCCCAGAGCAAGTGGTCTGATGATGCGATAAAAGGCTTCGGTTAGATCAAGGAAAATCATTGCTGTCGGCCTGCCAATGCGGGCCTGCCATCTCATGAATGCACGGGATGCATGCAATGGGATCCCTACTGGCATTTTGGGTCGACCCCCAAGCTGTTGGGCTTGCATGTATCTGGTGTACAAGGCATTGTGCTTTTGTCGCAAGGCTCGATGGAGGGTTTTTCCCACGTGACTCGAAACTAGCAAAGATCTATGCGTAGAACAGTCACGGGCATCCCCTCTGTGTTTCCAAGCAATGGCCAGGCGGCCACCCTTGTGTTCTGCAGCCTCTTGTCCAAACAAAAGAACTTTGAGCATCATGGCGTAGGTCAATCTAGCCATGTCAACAGCCTTGTAGTGACACAGTTCTGGCGGGACCCTATCTTCTCCAATCGCCTTGCCAACTGCTACTCTTCTGTATGCACCCTCGAGGTCCACAAGGCTTGGCACTTCTCGGACATCAATGCTGAATGGGGCAACATTTCTGAACTGGGCAAGGCTGTTCAGCCAATGTTCTCTATATTGTGCATGAGACACTCTGTCACCGCCTTCCATCTGGCTGAAAAATCGAATCCAGCGGTCCCTGGCTTCTGCTGGCGTTTGGCATGGACTTCCATCTTCATTATTGACAGCAGGTAGTCCTTTTTTCTTCAGCTTCTTCGGGTTGGAGGGACCTAGGAATGGACGGAGACGATGCAAGATTTCCCCTGCAGCAGTCCTGGCATCCATGGTTTGGACTTCTTGGATCAGTCGGGCTTGGCGGCTCCGCTGCAACTGTTTCTTGAGGGCTTTGGTCAATTTATAATACCGGCAGGACAGGTGGACAATTGCACAACAAACCGTGTCAACATGTCTCTCATGCTGCCTGAGGCAATCATCGACTTCTGGGTTGCTGCCATTGGACCATGCCCAAAAGATGAGGCGGAGACAATCAAGGCTTTGCTGCTTGCGTGCTGTGTGGAGTCGTTTTCGCAAGTGCAATTTTGCAGATCTGAGCTCCCAGACTTCTTTGGACAGAAACGGCTTCTTTGGCCCTTGTTTCTTTACTGGACATTCTGTCTGCAAAATTTGCATGACCTGCTGGTTGAACCCCTGAACATGCGCCTCAATGTTCTCCTTCCATGTGCCAACATTGACGGTGGTCAGATCAATCTGCTTTTGGCAATGTTGGATCGCTGTCCGATTGTGTTGAGGCACTCGACTGACAAAAGTTCCAGGTGGCTCGACTGATCCCTGCCATGTCAGTTGAACAGCGGCTGCGCAGTGATCTTCGGTGCCATTTCCTGGATCTAATTCCTGCAGGACTCTGGACATCGTGCAATGCTGCAGTTCCGTGTGTGGGATCGCAACATAATCAATGCGATGGGTTGTTTGGCCATCAATGGCGGTCCACGTGGCTTGCGTTCCCTCATGAATGTCAGTTGTGCAAGGCAGGCAAAGCTCATTGACTTTCAAGAAGTCCCTCAAGAATTCTGTGTTGACTGAGCATGTATCATCCTGAGCATGAATGAAAGGCATCTGGCATGGGCCCGTCTTTGCATTTGCATCCATCAGGACATACAATGGCAATTGGCCTTGATAGTGATGAATAATGGTCTGTGTTTCATTCCACCATGCTTGACGTTCTTGAAGAGGACGACCGCTTTGTGGTGCATGAAGGACTACGAATAGTCCATCAAGACTAGAATGGGCCAGGCGTACGACAAGGCGGCGTGGATCTGAATGAGTCACTTGCACATGTCGTGCTTGAAGTTTCTCGTCACGACCGTTGTGTTTCCCAATTGGTTGGTTTGTGTTGATCCAAAGTTCAACTCCATGCTGCCCCTTGTGTGCTCCACCGGACAACCGGATCACCTGGTCAACTTGGGTCATGCCTGCCGGACTTCTGGCTTCTTGCAAACCTAAAAAGTTCAAATGGAGACTCTGCATTTGCTCACGGATATAGGTCAATTTACCTCCATAACCCTCAGGTCCGGTGAACAATGATCCAACATTCAAGGTTGCAAGACTGATGGAGATCCTACATGATTGCCTCTCATGCTTCTGCTGGGACTCACCTACTTGATCTGGCTGTGTTGGCGGGAGCGTGGGGGGACCAATGTCAAACCCTTCACCAGTAAAGGCCGGGAGTCCTGCTGCACCATCGAAAACCATCCAAATATACGGAAGCATTGGCAAGAATTCACGCAGGTCAACTGCCTGTCTCTTGAGTTGATGTCCCTTGGCAGCTTCGGATTTCGCCAAGTAGTCTGCCAGCTCGTTCCAAGGGTCACCTGTGTGACCGCGAACATGGCGAACGTCCAAACACTCAGCAGGCATGGTGGCTTGAAGAGCCTGAAACACACCTCGAAGGTGATGAAAAGTCGGATGTTGGTCACTGCAACCCGCCAGGCCTAATGCTTGTTCTGTGGTGGTCACAGAATCAGACAAAAAGACTGTGGGTACATTGATGTTAATGGACAAGCGCCACACTCCCGCCCAGAACAGGGCTTCTCGTTCTGCATACTCAGATCCGATCTGGTCAGTGCCTAAGAAATGCGAAAGGTCATTTTCGTATGTGACTTGTTGCGCATGCCAGCCAAGAAAGACAAGTTCAGGGAAACTTGTGGCACTTTCATATTTCTCACCTAACACAACGAACGACCATGCATCTGGCGTGTCATGCTCTTGAACCCATAGTGGAGGTTTGCGTCGATTGGCCGTCTTGGAGCTTCCATCAGTGTAGATGATCACTCTATCAAAGCTTGACCAGTCAATGTCCATGACAATTGCTGGACGCTCCTCGGGAAGACTGGCACGAATCACCTCAGGCAAGTCTAAATCTTTTCCTGAACGGAAAAACTCATTGAGGCAAGTGGGTGATGGTCCGAGTGTCAAGTGATATTCGGGAGTGTGTACCTTGGCTAAGGGCTCTTTGAACACCGCATCAAAAGGCAGCCGTGGCATTGGTGCCGGCCATGGCGTTTGGGCTTTTTGAGACACAGCTGGTTGTTCAAGCGTTGGTTGGTTGTTGTGATATTGCACTAAGACAAGTCCCTGCCGGACTGGACTTTCCAGAATCACAACAGCTCTGCTGTAACCCAATGAATGCAAGAAGGCCATGTGCATATGTTCTGTGGGCGGCACATGCGCACTGTGAACAATGATATCAGATCGACTTTCATACCTCCATGGATAATACACAAGGGTGGTCGTGTCTGATGGACTAGTCCACGAAACAGGTACACAAAAGGCAAAGCCAGTGCCGTCAAGCAGGTAAACATGTCGCGGGCATCCCATTGTCTCGAGCATGGCTTCAACTTCTGCACAATTGACTGGGTCTTCACACACAAGATGATTTGGTAGACATGTTTGGTCCGCGCCATCAATCAAACCTAATGGTACATGCTGGATTGCAGTTGGCTCTGGATCAAGCAGGCATGTTTCAAGTTTGATAGTGGTCAACTGCTGTCCTGATGTCTCATTTGATGCAAAAATCCTGTGATCTGCCTGTGGCGGTCGTCGTCTGACTTGCAACACAATGCTGTATCCCGATCTACCCGGCAGAGGCATGCGAGGTTGCAGGACAATTCGATCATACCATGCACGGCATCTGATCGGCGAATTTGGCTGCAAGCAAGTCAAAGCATAATTGCAAAACATCAATATATGCTCCACATAGATCTGTGCAAGGGTTGTAATATATATATATATATACATATACAATATATATATATATACATATACAATATATATATACATATACAATATATATATATATATATATACATATACAATATATATATATACATATACAATATATATATACATACAATATATATATATAATGAAATTGTTAATAATGGTTAATGGTGATGAATGATGACCTTTTTCCTGGATCTCATTGGATTTACTATGTGATTACACCAACTATCAACCATCAGGGGGCTATAACTGAGGCTTTGACATGCTTTGACTATCATAGCCGTGGGGATGTTGTGATGATAAATCTCCCAAATTTGGCTAAATTGGCTGCAGCGAATTTGCTGTTCATGAGCTGTTCATGATTCCGGTGCTGGATCCAGCCGTAGCTTCGGAAGTCTTTGGGCGATTTTGGGGGTGTCTTGTACCTTCGAGAAGGAACTTTTTGGATCCGTGGATTTATTCCAAGAAGATTGGGGCAACCATTCCAAGATTCTGCCTGGTGAATTTTTGTTAATTATATAATATCATTTTATATCATTATAACTAGTACTAGTATAACTAGTATATATCAATGATATTGATAACTAGATTCAGCTTCAGATATATCAGTTTATATCTATGTATCTAGATGGAATGGACCATCAACTGAACTGTAGTTGCTTCGGTAATTTACGATAGGAGAATTCGTGATTTAATTGATCAATCGACCAACTGGTGAATGAATTGGCCAAGGAATGTGACAAAGATCCCTTCAAAATGGCCGGATTCATGAATGGGTCTGGGAAATTGTTGGCAAAAAAAATGGCTCCAGGACGAGGAAACCCGTGATTTTTGGCCACAACATGGGACACCCCAGAATTTTCAAGAACACGGGGACAAAACCTGTCGGAATCATGAACCCTAAACTGGATAGGTCTGAAAAAACGACCTGCAATCCACTGTGCATGATTATTCTAAGTACTATATAAGTTACGTAGCAGGAAACCGGCACATCCATCGCGCCAAACCAGGGCGATGGTCGAGTGATCTACTCCAATGGCGAGGCAGGGATGGTTCCCGATGTTGTCGATTTGGCCAGTCTGCGAATTGATTTTGCGGTTGAGCCTGAACAATCAATATGGAGGTTTCCTAAACTGGGGATACTCCTAAATTTTAATCGGATTTTAATCATATATAGCTATATGAAGCATCATCCTTTTTACTTGGTAAATCAACTATAAATGGCCATTGAAACAATAGCTATGTAACGAAAATGACCTTCTGGGTATCCGGGTATCCCCTGGGCTTTGTTTGCCCCGAACAACTGACCATCTGACCACAGATCTTGAACACGACCTTCCGAGCTGGGCAGCAAAGTATGGAAAAACTCGAAAGTTTGGTCAAGGAATCGGTCTGGGCTCTCAGATGGGATCGGTTGGGCGGGCTCGATGGATCGGTGGATCACCGGAAGCCAATGGGGCTGGAAATAGGGATGGAAGGGTGGGGCGGATTCTATAGTAATCCTAGAGTATTCAATGAATAGAATTCTATACAAGTCTATAGATGAATAGTTACTTTAGATGTAATCCCTTCCTCCTAATACTAACCCCCCCCCCCTAATACAAAACACGGCAGGTAGTTTTTAGTATTAGGGGGGTATTTATTATTAGGGAACCAAATCGAAGTCATGTTAATTAATTAATTAAATTTCCTTATATAACGCAATTAAAATATTGCCAAAAATGGCAGTTCGAAGCTTACCCCTAATACTAAATTAAAACCCTTAATACTAAAAACTATTTTTTCCGATCTCAAAATCAATTAAATTTCCTTATATAACGCAATTAAAATATTGCCAAAAATGGCAGTTCGAAGCTTACCCCTAATACTAAATTAAAACCCTTAATACTAAAAACTATTTTTTCCGATCTCAAAATCAATTAAATTTCTTATATAACGCAATTAAAATATTGCCAAAAATGGCAGTTCGAAGCTTACCCCTAATACTAAATTAAAACCCTTAATACTAAAAACTATTTTTTCCGATCTCAAAATCAATTAAATTTCCTTATATAACGCAATTAAAATATTGCCAAAAATGGCAGTTCGAAGCTTACCCCTAATACTAAATTAAAACCCTTAATACTAAAAACTATTTTTTCCGATCTCAAAATCAATTAAATTTCCTTATATAACGCAATTAAAATATTGCCAAAAATGGCAGTTAGAAGCTTACCCCTAATTGCTAGAGTAGCTAGGCAGCTTGGAGTGAGGGATTGGGACTAGGCCCCCCTAATACTAAACACCCCGGGGTGAACTAGTTTTTAGTATTAGGGGGGAGAACCCACAAATGGTAGGTTGATTTTTAAATTGTTTTTTAAAGGGGATCAATTAAAAGTCAAATTGGCCAAACTGAAATTTTCGGAAATTGGAGATGGATGCCTGTTTTTAGTATTAGGGGGACGTTTAGTATTAGGAGGAAGGGATTATTATCTATACAATTCTATAGATCGATGTAATTGCCAGCATTTCGCCAAGTGGCGCCCCTGCAGGGGGCCAGACCTGCCCGGTGAGGTTCCAGAAGCACCTCCTATGGCTCTGTGGCGTCCTGAGAGCCCTGGAGATCGGAACGGGGTTGGATCCACCTCAAGGTTTTCATGGGAAATCCCACACAAAAAATGGATGAGAACTGGGGTACTGGGGTACCCCCATGACTTTTCGGAAAACTCCATAACAGAGACAGAATCTTCCAGAACTTGGAAATACTTGGAGAAGCTCACTGAGCTCACTGAGCTCACGTGATATACAGCAGTGTTGGATTGGTTTCTTGATGTTTCTTGGCTCTAAGGGAATTTGCTGCTGGTAGTGGCATCGCTGAAGCCTCGGTGCTAAAGCAGTTTCTGAGGCTGTCATCATTTGAGGTTGAGCCCATGGCGAATCAAGAAGTTTTGAGTACAGTTTGGGTCTTTCCGTTTTTCCGTGTTTGGTTGAAAATGAAAGGTATTATCAAGTCTTGGGCCGCAATCAAATCACTATTCCCACCTATTCCCAATCTTCATGGCGGCAACTGATAGACTCTGATAGACATCTCTGATCCATGGAGTTTGGCCGAGTTTCTACAACAGGTTACATTATGTTACATTATGTTATATTGCAATATTATATAATATATATATATGTATGTACATACTAGTACCTCATCAATCGGTACGTTTTATCGCTTCAGTAACGATCATTTCTACCCAAATCACATCATAAACACAGGTAGAAAGAAAACATGTTCAAAGTGTTCAGTTACCAAATAATTCCAAATAGCATCATGCCCCATACTGTCACTAGATATTTTCAGAATTCCTCTTGTTGATCATGTCCCAAGTTTCCCGGAAATTTCAAGGCTATTTATTTGTCTCACAGCTGAAGCCAAAACTGAGGTGAACCCTGCCCTTAAAGACGCGCCGAAGACGGAAGCTGCACAACCAGCGCCGCCGCCGCCGCCACCGATCACGGGGTGCCTGGAGTAGAGTTCGAACTGAGGGAAGAGATCACAATAATTCCATCCCCTTAAGAAAAGCCCAAGAAACTATGGTCGAATAGGTGAGTACTGATTACACAAATTACACATATTTGGGACCATTTAAGGATTTTTAATTTGAGGGGTATGGGATTAGTTAAGGTACCCTTGGGGAATCAAACCTAGCAACGGGTGTGTGGGACATTTACACGCTTGATGTTTTTGGATGTGACTTAAGTTGACTTAAGGATACAGTATCATCAGAGAAGATTTAGTCAATCTAGCTGATCTATCCTGAATCTACTTATAGAATATTGAAGACCAGTCACACCCAAAGGCAAACATATATATTTGTAGATATTTGAATCAACAAGACCACATCAAATGGGTCTCACCCCTATTATCCCTTTCCCGTAACTTTAAACAAACCCCCTTGAATTCATGAATTGTGACTTGCAGTTTGAGGCATTTGGGTGTATTTTGGTATTAGGGAGAAGCGATCATACATTCCTTATAATGGGAAAATCATGTTCAAATGGGAAAAGTATGGAAAATGAAGGTTCTATTCCTTCATTTTCCATACTTTTCCCATTTGAACATGATTTTCCATGATTTTCCCATTAAGGCATCTAAAAATGCCAGCAGAATTTGAGGATTTACCGGCTACCCTGGGGTAAACTAGCATAGATGTGGAAACTCCACTAGCTGGAGTTAATGTTTTTCCGAAGTATTCCCCATGGGTTTTCCAGAGCTTTTTCTATGTTGACCCCAGGGTAAATCCCTATGGAATCACCGATGGCATAAATCCCATCGTCCCAGGACGTCCCATAGCTGGTGCAGGATTTCGCAACCATGCACAGGTAAATCCCATTATATAATATATATATATATGATTACAGTATCAGTATCCCATTTTCTACTAATGTGGTTAAAACATGTTAAAACAATAATATATCATTCCCAAATTCACCATTTTTATGGGTGGTATAAACCATCAAGTTTATGGGGTGGTTTTAATTTTTGTTTTAACCACATCAAATCCCATTTGGTACCCTCTGGTAAACTAACATAACTATGGAAAATCACCATGTTTCATGGGTAAATCCACTATTTCTATGGCCATTTTCAATAGCTATGTTAGTTTACCCACTATAAATGGCCATTTTCAATAGGTTTTTGTATGTTTACCAGAGGGTACTAGGTAAATCCCCCATGAGATCCCCCATTTTTTAACCGCTTCCCGGCCAGGCTCACTGGGGATGTGGCCTTGGCGCTGGAGGGAGCTCGACTTCCGGCCGCGCGGTGGTAACAAGCAAAGTTGAAACGAAGGATGTAGAGACATCGACATCGATGATATAGTGGTTATATGATGTTATATGAGTGTTAATGATTAATATGATTTACTGTCAATATAATGCTGTATATTATATATAATTATATAGACATATGTATGGAGGTTTCCGAAAAGTCATAGGGGTACCCCAAAATCATCCATTTTTTGTGTGGGATTTCCATGAAATAAACCATCCAGCTATTGGGGTGCCCCCATTTTAGGACACATTCATTTAGATAAATCGATTAGATAGGTGTACATATGGATATATAGGCAATATATGTCATATATGTATAAATACCGTGTTTTTACACAAGGATATATATATATATGTATACACATGTGTATATATATATATATGTATACACACTCAATGTACTTGGATGCATGAGAGTCAAGAATCGCAAACAAATTTACAATGCCTGCCATGGTTAAATAGAAGTCTCTACTCTTACATGTTACAGCCCCACATTAGTTGTTGTTTGGGTCGAGATACAACTCCCAATCAGATGTGGGGTCATTTTCCTTGCATTTGCTGGTTGTTTTTGTTGCAATCATGTTTGTACAACGATACATCCTACACGTAGATCTGTGTGTATATCTTTCTATACATTTGAGATGATGACCAAAACCCTTAATAACAAATGAACATCACCATAAATCACCAGAAATGACCATGAAATCACCATGAAATCACCAGAAATGATCATGAAATCACCAGGGTTGAATCCACCCACCAGATCCGGTAAATCGGCCGACAGATCCTGGCACTGACCAACTTGCCACCACCACCGCCTGGCAGCCGAGTGCTGGGAAGGGTCATGGTACCGAGTGAGGAAGCAAAAAAAAAGGGGATGAAGATCCATCACTTGACTTTGGTTGAAACAGCAGAGTATTTTTCGGCTTAATATCATGTCAAATCTCATTCCAATCTTTCTATATCTAGGTTTTGATGTGAAAACCAGGCTATCAGGATGAGCTATTTCCTGTGTTTGCATCTTCCTAAAAAATGACTACACCAGCTAGACCTCTTGATGTTGATCACTAAACATACTATGGCCATATGCAAAAAGAATATGCTTTCATTTTTTTGTTGTTGGATTCAGATCATCTGGGAATCTACTGCCATGGTTTCATGTTTGGAGACATTGGAACCACGCTTGCATCGATATGGCATTGGCCATGGGCCCATCAAGGCCCCTGAGAACGGCAAAGGCCCCTCTTCCGGTGAGGCCTCAGCTGGGGAGTGCTAGGATCAACACCCATTGACCCATCCCCAAGAATTGTTTTTTTTTTTTCCCATGGAAAAAAAAACGCCAGGATGCTTGCTTGATTTGGATGCTCATGTTCTTTGTCATATTATTTGTCATTCGACTTTGGATCCTTAGGATTTCCCATCCCTTTGGGCCCCTTGACTCAAAGGCCGCCCACCGAAACAGTGACATCACTCAAGTCTGAGCCAACGGCAAGTCCGCCCTCAGGATCGGCAGATTGATGATTTTAGGTTGTGAAGTTTTTCGTGGGATATAATGGGATATAATAGGGATATCACCAGAAATATGATATTCTGGGTGTGTCCAAGAATGGGGTCTACTCCAATTTTTTAATAATGTTTCATTCGGAAAATGATGATTAAGCATAGGCTTTTGGGGGTATCCTATTTTCAGACGAACAGAAATGGGTCTTGCACCATAGTTTTGTTTCTTGGAATTTTTGAAAGGCTCACAAACGAGAGCTGTCTAGTGTGTGATTGGTTGGGGACAGACCCATGATTTAGTTGGTAGTTGGTGACACTGCCTGCTGTCGATTGATTGTCGACTGGATCTTCGATGTGGATGTAGCTCCAATCTGCAACGTCCAGGGACCACACCGCTGTAGCCCTGAACACAATTCAGTGGCCATTTCAGGAACGATTTATTGGAGGTACCTGCCATATACTTGCCATATGCAAGGTCTATGTAATGGGGTACCCCAAAAATATGGCTTTATATGGCACAGTACCTCCAATGACACACTATAGTTCAAGAACCACTCCCTCCCAATGATCCTGCAGATGGATTTCAGGCATATTTTTTGAGGGCTGTCAACTGCTGTTTGCACAGATGACGGGCTCAATGGAATTCGCAGGTGTTGAAACCATCAAGTGTATGGTCCCTTGGCCCCTTGGAGTTTCTGTCGATCCCTTGATGTCTCACCATCCAGCGCCACAGTGGGTTAAAGCTGAAACCTAGAAATGTATAGAAATGTGAGATCCGAGACCCCTCAACCCCCAACGAAACCCTTCAAAACCTCCCACGCTTCAATATCTCCAATAAAGTTTCTTTGAGGCAACATTTTGGGTATCCCGGTATCCCTGGCTTTGTCAACACATCGACAAAGTTCGAGATAGCTTTCACCTGCGGTGCCGTTTGTCTATAGTCGAGATTTGATCGATGTCCTCGATCTGGCGACTGGACCCTGCAACGGCCTAAGATACCCTCTGGTAATTTAACATAGCTATTGAAAATGGCCATAGAAACAGATATTTATAGTGGATTTTCCCAACAAAAATGGTGGATCTTTCCATCGTTTTTTCTATGTTTACCAGGCCTTTTGTATGTCAAAACTCAGCCTTTTCACCCGGAATCCAATGGATCCCCAAGGGGATCCACCCGTTGTTGACTCCCCAGAGATCCCGGTTTTGATAGTGAAACAACCATGATGACTTGGGGAATCTTGGGGATAGCTCCATTTTTTTCAGAAACCACCAAGTGGTGGTGAGGAGTATCCAGATACTTTAATGTAATCTTATGTAAGTATAAAATCCCGGTTAAATCACCAAGAAATCTCATTGAATCACCGTTTTGGTTGGATAAATCCTCTGAAATCACCCGGGTCCAGCATCGCTCCACGTCGCGTGCGGCTGCATCGGCAATTCCAACGCGGGTCGTTGCGTGAGAAAAGCGGCAGAACTCTCCGGCTGTGGTTGGATGGGGTTTAGGGGTCAATATAATTTACATCAAAATGACATCAACATGAATCTGGTTGGTGGTTTCAAACATTTTTTTTTCCATAATATATGAGATAATTCTTCCCATTGACTAATATTTTTCAAGATGGTTAAAACCACCAACCAGACATCAACATGAATGTTATCTAGATGATTAAATTAATGATGGAATGATGGCATTGACTTGATGTTATATCATCGTACAATTGCCGAGTTGAAGGACTTCAGCATCGCTGGTTTCACGCCATGGCCGACTCGCCAGATCATGCTGAAGGGTGCGTACTCTGGGCAGCAGTTGGCAGCTCAGAACGCTCGGCTTATCAAACAACGCTTCTTTGGTTTGGATAATTTAACAGAATATATGAAATACATTGAAATACCATTAAACGCCAAGTTTCGTTTTCTTTTTTCCGGATGAACATAGATAGCTGGGGTGAACAGAAAGGATATGAGGATTTTGATCCCTACCCAAAAGCATTGTAAAGAACGGATGTACATGTATCACGCAACATTACCACTTTGATGGGAATAGTTTTTTTTTGACCCACCCATACGTGCCATGGTCAAGAGTTGGAAAATCTACGTTTGTTGGAGGATGGTCATTGCATCAATGAGGGTTAAGATACTAATTGAAGGATGGATGACCATACCGCATATACCATGTTTTGCCTATGGCACGTGTAGTGAGGTCTAGTCTAAAAGACAAGGCTACAAACGAACATATGTAAATTTATGATAATTTATGAACAACAATATTCAGCCAACATCTGTGTCCCAAGAATATGGGCACCCAGAGTCCAACGCTTGATGATCGTGGGAGCTGCAAAAGGCAATGGGTTTCGAGGTATATGTGTTTCCTTGTTTGGGAATGTGAATTACATTCAGGTCGTTTGATGATCTAATTTTTATTTGAATCTGAGTATACTGTGTTATGAACCAATCTGAGATTGTTCATGTACACTCTGGTAAACTAACATAGCAATGGAAAATCACCATTTTCAATGGGAAAATCCACTATTTCTATGGCCATTTTCAATTGCTATGTTAGTTCACCAGAGGGTATTCCTATTATAAACTGCTTCTTATTATGGTTTTGACAGGAGATGCGGAGACTTCCCACAGCCATCACTTCCCAATTTCATTGCCGCTGGCCCAGTGCAGTGCTGCAGTCCGTGGCGGAAGAACAGCAGAGGATCCAGCAGGCGGAAGAACAACAGGGCTGGGTCAATAGAGCCAATGGATCAAAAGATTATCAATCGTGGTCAAGATATTCAATATATATTCAATATATATATATAGATGAATGGATCATTTTGTGACTGTCTTGTGAACATTTCTGAAAAACCATCTTCAACATGATGTGAAATCCATTCATTGTTCCATCATGGACCATGGATCATATTGATCATCCATTCATAAAATTCATCAACTTTTTTTTTCATTCACACATTCATGAAAATATATTCATGAAAACACACTCATTGTCATCCACAAACATGATACATCATGATTCATCCATTACCCTCTGGTAAACTGCCACATAGCTATTGAAAATGGCCATAGAAATAGTGGATTTACCCATCAAAAATAGTGATTTTCCATAGTTATGTTAGTGTATTTCATAATGAATCAACGGTGGAAGTCTTGAGGCTGTTTACATGGGCGCCCTCACGGACTCCTCCGATGTGTCGGAATTCTTTGTGTCGGCGAGCCAAAAAAACGGGGTGCAGCTAAGGAGGTCAACGATGAACTAAAGACCCATAAGTTGGGATATGGAGGTTTCTTAAGTCATGGAAGTACCCCTAAATCATCCATTAAACAAAATGTATATTTTCCATTATTTTCCATGATAAACCAACCATTTTGGGGTACCAGCATTTATGGAAACCTCCATATAAGCCCTATAACTCTGGTTATAGATCCACAAACATCACTGAACCTGAAGTTACATGAGGGGGAACGCCTTCTGGTACTGTTCTCGAGGATCCACCATGGAATAGTGAACATCTCCAATGAGTACGGGAGAATATGCAGGTTTCTTAAGTCATGGGGGTACCACCAACTCATCCAAAATTCACACCCTTTTAGTAGAATCTATGGTGACTTGGGGCTCCACCACTTTAAGAACCCCCCATAAATTTGGGCAATTGTTAAGTGCGAACCATTCAAGAAAAAATCTAGGATATGACAGGAGAATCATGGAATACTATATTAAATTGTTTGATGAGTATGGGAGAATTTCCTGCTAATTCGATATTTATATATTATATATATTTATCAGATAATTCTCGCATACAAAAATCAGATAATTCTCGCACCAAATAGGATAAGATACCACTGCTATTTTTCCGGGTAATCTGCCCCATTGTGGTTTGTGCTTTGTGGATTTGCAAACGGGATGATTCCACATTACCTGAGATTTAACTATGGTAAGAAGACATGGAGTCCCGAGGCAGATGCAGTTGGTGTGTTGGCTAGACACATCATATATATATATATAATTTATATGTATATATATATACAATTACATATATATAGAATTATATATAAAATTATATATATATAGAATTATATATATAGAATTATATATATATAATTATATATATAGAATTATATATATATACCCTCTGGTAAACTAACAAAGCTATTGAACATGGCCATAGAAATAGTGGATTTACCCATTAAACATAGTGATTTTCCATAGCTATGTTAGTTTACCAGAGGGTATATATTTGACAACCAGCACCACGGCAGCTCCTGAGAGTCGTCGGTTTTTTGAGGTCACAGGGGGTGCTGTCGGCCTATCATCCGGAGACCCGATGATTGCGGATGATGAGGGATGAAGATGGATGGAATACTGATAGTATTTTAGAGATTGACATGGATGTGACAGTATTTGCAGCTGCCATGCTACAGCAAACAGATATCCCTATTTTTGTCAGCACTTCAATTTTTAAATTTTATCTCACATGATAGATATGATAGGAGACATGAAGACAGCTTCGGCCCAGAGGTCTAGCAGCCTAGCATCCACCCTTGGCCATTGGATCAGCCGGCAGGAGATCTCCCCTGACATGGCGGAAAGTGGTGGGGAAGAAGGGATGAAGGAACAAATGAAGCAGGCCTGGAGATGCCGAAAGTTGCCTCAGGAACATCGAAGGAAGTCTAGAGTTGGGTGGCTTGCCTCAGGGGGTTCGAAATCCAGTGTTTTTCTTATGTTTTCTTTTCCCTCTACCCTTTGGTAAACTAACGTAGCGCTATGGAAAAGCACCATTATGCACCATTTTAATGGCTGATTCAACTATAAGCGAGCAATTGTCCAAAGCCATGTGAAATTACGAGGGTCCAAGTCCACGAAATGCCGCTTGTTGCCTCAGCTGGCAGGGCAGCTATCATCTTTGGGTACCCGAGCCGTTCCTGAAACTGACCGTCGCTTGGAGCACCCTTGTCATCACCAATCATGATCAAAATCATCACAATAACAAGTACTGTACAATAATCTATTATACACATATGGCTATGGATCAATACCTATACATATATATACATACCATTTTTAGGGGGATGAACATCCATTTACCAGCGATTTTGATGTTCACCAGGGGTACAAGGTTTTTACCCATCCCCATATAATTCATATAATATATACATGAGAAGAATAGTATGACAATCGGAAACGTCATCATTTTATGGAATCATGGCTATCAAACTGACCTCACCGATTGACCTCACCGGTTGCCATCATGCCGGCCATGGGTCCGCTGATCCGATGATCCACAACAGTTTCAGATGTTCCATCCCTGCTTTCCGTTTCTGGTACCCTCTGGTAAGCATACAAAAAACTATGGAAAATCAGCATTTGTGTTGGGAAAACTCACTATAAATGGCCATTCTCCATAGCTATGTTAGTTTACCAGAGGGTACCTGGCATGATGTTCAACATTAGTAGTTTCAGATGTTGACAACTTTCATATTCAGATTGCTGGGATGGTGATCCCCTTAATCGCGGGAGACAAAGATCCAAAGGACTCATCCCAAAATTGCTTCAGGGATTTTTAGAGGTATATCAAGTTGCATATTTAGATGGTGAAATGCCTGTGAATTCCTGTAGATGTTCCCAAAATCCATGAAGGAAAGCACCAACCAGATCCAAAGAGATCCTCAAATCGCCCAGTTCGTGTCCTCTTTAGAGCCCGAAGTTCCTGAAGTGGAAAGCGACCCCGGCGAAGGCCTGGTTGATAGATGTGGAAACCACATTTCTTTTGATAGGAAACCAACCATATGTGTGCCTAATAGATACATGCATACATATATAGTTATATATGTTATATATTGATATATATATATATTGTTATATTATACAGTATACATATCTACATTTAGAATTTTATACATCCCTGTTGGTGGTTTTCTTCTGATGGAAGAAAAAACACATGTTTTTGTCATAAATAAGAGAGCATGGCTGAACAATAATACGATCAAGTTATCCTTCGGGACCTGCTTGGTTCTCCATGTATTGCAGGGGTCATCGCCTTCTACCACGTCTTGGTTCTCCGTGGTATGGAGCACGTGTGCGCCAAACCAAACCGGGACAGAGGAGGCCCTTGTCATTAGCTGTCTATTTTTACAATAGATTTATAGATGATACATGTGCGGATCATGTAAATCATTCCATCTATAAGAATCCATATTACATATGAGATGTGTCCACATGTTTTGATGTATCTATTTGTCGCCTGGTTTTAAGGGTTTTAAGATGTTTTAAGGCCGAATGCCGTTTATGAATATCCCATCACTAGCCAACATCTCCAATTCCAGCAGATTCCAAGCAATAAATTGTAGCACGTGATGTTTTTCAAAACTCAGAAACAGTAGAGAAACCTTCGGACAATACCCAGTGGACATATTACTTGATCCATGTTGATCCTTTTTTGTTGAACATCGAAGAATTTCGACATCAAGCGACAACTTTCGCAGCATTTCAATGCTCAAGCCGCTGCGGGACCGGGGGCTGTGGCAGGCACCAATGGGGGCTGATGATTCTCGGTAAAACATCCATGACGCGGTGAAAATTGGAGTAATGTGGGTAAAAATGGTAAAACCATGTCATAAACGACCCATTTGGGAATGGTTTATACCACCTATAGTTATGTTTTTCTTCCTGAGTGTGTTTTTCTTTCTTGGATATGTTGTGCGACCCATTTGTGAATTTGTGTTCCTGATGGTATTTACATTTTACATCATGTAATTGGAAACAGTTTCGTAAGATCGGATGGACATGCTTCGGTCAAGACATATCACAAAAGACTCAATGCATACTCGTACATACACTAAAAAGGTATACTGGTGAGAAACCATGATTTTTTACCGTGAGCCCGTATTTGCCTTAAGAGTTTTCTTTGACTGCCTATCGTTTATATAATACTGTATCGTTAAATTGCATTCGTTGATTCGATATAATACGTATGTTTTTGTCTGGTTGGTGGTTTGGAATATTTTTTATTTTCCATGTCATATATGGGATGTCATCCTTCCCATTGACTTTCATATTTTTCAGAGGGGTTGGTCAACCACCAACTAGTTGTCCAAAGCAGGGTGCGAGCCTGAGCGCCACGACACTTCGTGGGCTGCTGAGTGCTTGGTCATGTGACGTGTTGCGGCTTTTTTGGATGCGCCATATGTCAACTATAGCTAGACACAATACATACCCTCTGGTAAACTAACATAACTATGGAAAATCACCATTTTTCATGGGAAAATCCACTATAAATGGCCATTGTCAATAGCTACGTTAAATTACCAGAGAGTGGATCTTTTTTTGGCTGATTTTCTATTCTATATTCTGGGCAAAGATGGGAAAAGTGCCCCGAGTGGCATATACTGTTTGTGTTCACAAACAAGGCTGTCTTTACTGGGTTCATGCCACACATGATTCATGTTTCTTGGGTGAGTCATTGGCGAACTGCAAATATTTGCAAATCCGAGAAGTTGAATCAAACAAGCACTAGGATCATAGTAGGTTCACATGTGTTATCAGTTTATCTTCCAGTTCTCAATTTGGTTCGAAACATCATAACTTTGTTGAGGTGAAACTACGAGGAACTTGGCCTTTTTACCCCTCCGAAAGGGTTTTATGCCTGGCAATTGAGTTATGCCGTGATGCCTGGTAATTTCACGCACACTCACTTAACCGCTGCCACCAAAATCGTATCTTTGAAATTCTTTGATAATGAATATTCAAAACATCTCATGATTTTTCCATCCATTTTCCCATGTTTTTTAAAAGAGGACAAGAAAACCAGTGTCCATTTGGCCCCTTTTGGCCCATTTGCCCCTTTTGGCCCATTTGGCCCTCGAGCCCTGCCATCGCCTTTTGGGTTCACAGCCCAGCAGAACTTTCGGTGCTGGGAGCGGAGACCTGTGTGCCTCCCACCGTTGCTTGGTGCGGCATGTCATGGGTGCAATTTTCAGCGATGTGACTGGGTGCCCCTTGAAACAGAATGAAACAGATTTGATAGACATTTTAGACAATGATGTTAATCATGTTCTAAAAAGTATTCTCTATATTTTGCAACGAACTTGAGATGAACCAAATCCGATGTTTTTTTTCAATTCTGAGCTGGTTGCTGTCTATCCGCGGAGCAAAATTCCCAAAAGGTCAGGTCAAAATTCCGCCCCCGGAAATCACATGACCTCAGGTTGAGACGCAATGAAGTGCCTGGCTGTCATGTTGCCAGGGGATCCTAGGGGTGTGGAAGACTGAGGAAATTTAGGAGTGCCACTTGCTGGGTAGAGTTCCACTGTCACAAAAAATTAAGTGGTTATGTATGATTCTATATGATTATGTAAGCATAGTTATAGGATGTTATAGGATGTTATGGGCGTTATATCCAAACTTAGGGGGGGAAATAGCGTTATACTCAGTAACACCAACTGCAGCCTCCATCTAGGCCAGCTGTGGTGCTGGCAACCATGGAGTCACCTGCCAAGAAGGCCCTGATTCTGCATGGATTCTGAATGGAAGAACTAGAGTTCAATGGACTATCCATGACTATCAACTTCAGATTTCAGACATCTCTTGAGCTCGTGTTTCATGGTGATTCACCAGAACCCGCAGATATTGCAGATTTTTCCAAAGCAATCCCTACCGTGCTCCCAGAATTGGTCTAAGGGAATTATACAGGAAACTCTGATTCTGGCATGTGGTCAGAGAAAATATGGAGATATGATTGGTGGGAACATCACGAATAGTAACAACAGGAACACTTATAAAAGATCAGATAATAACATCATGACACTATGGATTCAATTCCAATAGTAGTGGCAATAATATAAGAAATATAGTAAAACTGATATATTCATAGTATTAATATAATAAATACATATATATATATATATTATACTAAGTATCTAGCAGATAGAATATTCAAAATTTCTTAGACAACAGATAGAATGCTCAAATTCCATAACAGGTATAGTTTGACAGATAGAATATTCAAGATGATCACAATAGATCAAATAATTCCATGGTGGATTTCTTCATACCACCCAAAAAAATCAAATCAAATCTAAGTTTCCAGAAAATCATTTGCACGTTTGGAAACAAATTCATTCACTCATAATTTATTGACTGGCTTGTATGCCACTTCTTGCAATCAAAACGGTACAAAAGATTGGCTGGAGCCAGCAAAGCTGGCACTCCATGTAGCTGGAATATTCTATCTGTTGATTTTGAATCATTTTGCATATTAAAACATACAGCAAAATGTGGTTGATTAACGTCCTTTTATCAAACAATTTGAAAAACTCTCGCAAAACGCAAGACCAACATGAAACATGCACACACACACACACACCTAACCCTTGCTAACCATGCCTCATCAGACATAGTGCGTCGAATGTTCAGTTGCAATGCTTTCGACACCCATCGACACCCACGATGCTCTACACAAACACAACCTTTGCCCCTGACAAATGCATATAGTGCTTTGGAAACACACGATGTGAACAGAAACAACTGCAACTTACTATATGTTTCTCCTTCGGTTGGCGTGAATGTATGTTTTATCCATGCTTGGTTCAAACAATAATGTTCGGAAATATGTCTACCCATGTGGACACCAACAGATAGAACAGTCCAAAGTCAATCAAAAGATAGATTAATACAGAAACTATGATAAATGAAAAAATTGGAAAAAATCATCAAAATTATTTTTCCAGAAAATCATCTGCACGTTTGGAAACAAATTCATTCACTCATAATTTATTGACTGGCTTGTATGCCACTCATTGCAATCAAAACGGTACAAAAGATTCGCTGGAGCCATGTAGCTGGAATATTCTATCTGTTGATTTTGAATCATTTTGCATATTAAAACATACAGCAAAATGTGGTCGATTTACGTTCTATCCGAAAAACATCGAAAAACGACCGCAAACCAACATCAACATGAAACATGCACGCACGCACACACACACACACCTAACCATCAAACATAGTGCATCGAATGTTCAGTTGCAATGCTTTCGACACCCATCGACACCCACAGACGGACGATGCTCTACACAAACACAGCCTTTGCCCCTGACAAATGCATATAGTGCTATGGAAACAGACGATGTGAACAGAAACAACTGCAACTTACTATATGTTTCTCCTTCGGTTGGCGTGAATGTATGTTTTATCCATGCTTGGTTCAAACAATAATGTTCGGAAATATGTCTACCCATGTGGACACCAACAGACAGAATAGTCCAAAGTCAATCAAAAGATAGATTAATACAGAAACTATGATAAATGATAAATTTGGAAAAAACGAATCAAATCTAAGTTTTTCCAGAAAATCATTTGCACGTTTGGAAACAAATTCATTCACTCATAATTTATTGACTGGCTTGTATGCCACTCATTGCAATCAAAACGGTACAAAAGATTGGCTGGAGCCAGCAAAGCTGGCACTCCATGTAGCTGGAATATTCTATCTGTTGATTTTGAATCATTTTGCATATTAAAACATACAGCAAAATGTGGTCGATTTACGTTCTATCCGAAAAACCACCGCAAACCAACATCAACATGAAACATGCACGCACGCACACACACACACACCTAACCATCAAACATAGTGCATCGAATGTTCAGTTGCAATGCTTTCGACACCCATCGACACCCACAGACGGACGATGCTCTACACAAACACAGCCTTTGCCCCTGACAAATGCATATAGTGCTATGGAAACAGACGATGTGAACAGAAACAACTGCAACTTACTATATGTTTCTCCTTCGGTTGGCGTGAATGTATGTTTTATCCATGCTTGGTTCAAACAATAATGTTCGGAAATATGTCTACCCATGTGGACACCAACAGACAGAATAGTCCAAAGTCAATCAAAAGATAGATTAATACAGAAACTATGATAAATGATAAATTTGGAAAAAACAAATCAAATCTAAGTTTCCAGAAAATCATTTGCACGTTTGGAAACAAATTCATTCACTCATAATTTATTGACTGGCTTGTATGCCACTCATTGCAATCAAAACGGTACAAAAGATTGGCTGGAGCCAGCAAAGCTGGCACTCCATGTAGCTGGAATATTCTATCTGTTGATTTTGAATCATTTTGCATATTAAAACATACAGCAAAATGTGGTTGATTAACGTCCTTTTATCAAACAATTTGAAAAACTCTCGCAAAACGCAAAACCAACATGAAACATGCACACACACACACACCTAACCCTTGCTAACCATGCCTCATCAGACATAGTGCATCGAATGTTCAGTTGCAATGCTTTCGACACCCATCGACACCCACAGACGGACGATGCTCTACACAAACACAACCTTTGCCCCTGACAAATGCATATAGTGCTATGGAAACACACGATGTGAACAGAAACAACTGCAACTTACTATATGTTTCTCCTTCGGTTGGCGTGAATGTATGTTTTATCCATGCTTGGTTCAAACAATAATGTTCCGACATATGTCTACCCATGTGGACACCAACAGATAGAACAGTCCAAAGTCAATCAAAAGATAGATTAATACAGAAACTATGATAAATGATAAATTTGGAAAAAATCATCAAATTTATTTTTCCAGAAAATCATCTGCACGTTTGGAAACAAATTCATTCACTCATAATTTATTGACTGGCTTGTATGCCACTCATTGCAATCAAAACGGTACAAAAGATTCGCTGGAGCCAGCAAAGCTGGCACTCCATGTAGCTGGAATATTCTATCTGTTGATTTTGAATCATTTTGCATATTAAAACATACAGCAAAATGTGGTCGATTTACGTTCTATCCGAAAAACCACCGCAAACCAACATCAACATGAAACATGCACGCACGCACACACACACACACCTAACCATCAAACATAGTGCATCGAATGTTCAGTTGCAATGCTTTCGACACCCATCGACACCCACAGACGGACGATGCTCTACACAAACACAGCCTTTGCCCCTGACAAATGCATATAGTGCTATGGAAACAGACGATGTGAACAGAAACAACTGAAACTTACTATGTGTTTCTCCTTCGGTTGGCGTGAATGTATGTTTTATCCATGCTTGGTTCAAACAATAATGTTCCGACATATGTCTACCCATGTGGACACCAACAGATAGAACAGTCCAAAGTCAATCAAAAGATAGATTAATACAGAAACTATGATAAATGATAAATTTGGAAAAAAATCATCAAATTTATTTTTCCAGAAAATCATTTGCACGTTTGGAAACAAATTCATTCACTCATAATTTATTGACTGGCTTGTATGCCACTCATTGCAATCAAAACGGTACAAAAGATTGGCTGGAGCCAGCAAAGCTGGCACTCCATGTAGCTGGAATATTCTATCTGTTGATTTTGAATCATTTTGCATATTAAAACATACAGCAAAATGTGGTTGATTAACGTCCTTTTATCAAACAATTTGAAAAACTCTCGCAAAACGCAAAACCAACATGAAACATGCACACACACACACACCTAACCCTTGCTAACCATGCCTCATCAGACATAGTGCGTCGAATGTTCAGTTGCAATGCTTTCGACACCCATCGACACCCACGATGCTCTACACAAACACAACCTTTGCCCCTGACAAATGCATATAGTGCTTTGGAAACACACGATGTGAACAGAAACAACTGCAACTTACTATATGTTTCTCCTTCGGTTGGCGTGAATGTATGTTTTATCCATGCTTGGTTCAAACAATAATGTTCGGAAATATGTCTACCCATGTGGACACCAACAGATAGAACAGTCCAAAGTCAATCAAAAGATAGGTTAATACAGAAACTATGATAGGTGATAAATTTGGAAAAAATCATCATTTTTTTTTTCCAGAAAATCATCTGCACGTTTGGAAACAAATTCATTCACTCATAATTTATTGACTGGCTTGTATGCCACTCATTGCAATCAAAACGGTACAAAAGATTCGCTGGAGCCAGCAAAGCTGGCACTCCATGTAGCTGGAATATTCTATCTGTTGATTTTGAATCATTTTGCATATTAAAACATACAGCAAAATGTGGTTGATTTACGTTCTATCCGAAAAACATCGAAAAACGACCGCAAACCAACATCAACATGAAACATGCACGCACACACACACACACCTAACCATCAAACATAGTGCATCGAATGTTCAGTTGCAATGCTTTCGACACCCATCGACACCCACAGACGGACGATGCTCTACACAAACACAACCTTTGCCCCTGACAAATGCATATAGTGCTATGGAAACACACGATGTGAACAGAAACAACTGCAACTTATGTGTGGTTCATTGACAATGTACGGAAATAGCTGTACCCTTGGGGAAACCAACAGATAGAATAGTCCAGTAGATAAATCATACAAAAATATGCAAAAATCATGATAAAGGCGAATTTGGTCAAAGTTTCTGGAATATCATTTATGCCTCTGAAAACCCTATATATAATTATATATATATACACGGATTAACAGATAGAATATTCAATACTGCAACGAAACAGCAAAAACTATTCTATCTGCGAGTTTTACTGTCAACGTGTTTTTGGGTTATGTTTCCATTTTTAACTTACCCGAAAAAGTCATTGATATTATTCTATGTGAAATTGAACGAAAAATCCGTAAAACATTGCATATATGCAGACAAATCAACAGATAGAATATTCCCAACAACATCAAACCAACACTGCAATATAAATCTTTGAGACAACATGTCCAAACCTGTTATTGAATTTGCACGAAACCCTATATATATACACGAACCCACAGATAGAATATTCTAATATTCTATCTGTTATTTGCACCTGCAAACTCCGAAATTTTCGTTTTTGAAGATTCCCAGAAGTCTTGGATAATATTCTATCTGCTAGATATTTAGTATAATGGTTTGCTGTAACATTTTCGCTTCAAACTTAAAACAACCTTGTGATCTTCACTGGATTGCCATCTGACTCCCTGCGCGCGGGAGGTGATCCTGTTTATTGAGGAATTGAAGGCAGAGATCACGGCGGACATGGCCAAGGCGTGCAGTTTTATTCGGTGGTTCTTATTGATTTTTTGGAGTTCAGTAGTTGATTAAGTAGTTGATTCTGTAAAAAGTTGATGAGGTAATCAGGCAGTTATTTCGTCACTTAATTAGTAGATCTTGGAATTTCATTCATGGATCATTTCCGGTAACCAGGTAAACCCCGATGGCCTTTCCGATGGCTTGTCCAGGTCTATGTGAGTTTTTGCAAGGTAGGATATCCCGTTGGTTAAATCACCCATCTTTGTGTTGGCAACTTGGTTAAATCCAGGTAAGCAACCATTTTTCTTGGATAAAATATGATAAACTCCCGTTCAATCATTATTCTTCATCAGTATGAGGGTAGAAACTGAACACTTCCTCTGGCCATCGCTCTTGTTCGAGGAGAATAAGTCCTTTGACACCTTCAGCTCTTGGTGCAACGAGCCACTTCGCTGAAATAAAGAAAGCTATGGAAGCATTAGTTGCCGTAGGTCGTAGGGTGACCATTATGGTTTCCAGCAACTCTCGAATGTAAAACACTGTGAACACCAGGAAGATTAATCATGATCCGTATTTTTCCATCAGCTTTTGAATGAAAGCCAGGAAATGACCTATAGTTTTGGATCATTTTGGATCCATACCTTTTGCCATGGTTTTTGGGTCACAAAACTCCGGATGATTTCTCACGGACAACCTTGTCCGACAGCCCAGCCAGGACCATTGCAGCTGCCACTGCCAACATCAAGACCGGCAAGGAGACAATCGAGTCATGCAACCGCAGGAGAAGAGAGCCGATCAGCAGGTGTTGGTTCTCTCTTTCGGAATTACGACTCGTAACGAGATCTGGTAAACCGTTTTGGAGGATGAAATCCATGTGGAAAAACGCTTTGGTGTTGATAAACATCGTACTCTTTGTTTAACTGTGTAGATTCTCATCATTGTGGTTGAACAAAAATCCCTCTTTTGATGCTAAAATTCCTTTCTGTTGGACGAATTCATACTATAATTCCATCTAATTCCATCTAATTCCCATGATTTTCTGCTGGTTTCAACATGTTTCAACTATCTTCCAATATTGGCCAATATTTTCCCAACACGTCTGGGGAATGATCCCCACAGGATCGAAGAACTCTCCGGCTTTGAAGCAGCCGGTGAGGCAGAGATCAAGAACGCGGCTTCTGGGTGGCACCAAGTGGCCCAGGAGGCTACCCAATTCAAGTCGAGTTTGAACATCGCTGTTTTTTTTTTAATGTTTGTTGTAGCAATTTGATGCGTGTAAAAAAAAAGCAGCCAATTTTTGTGGGGTGAATATGTATGAATCTTTTTGTTGAAGCTGAATAATTTCTGTTTGACTGATACTTGTTACAATGTACCTAGGTGTGAGAAACTAGGGAAAGAACCAACCAAGGGAAATTAGCATGTGTATTCGTTTCCAACCAAAATAGAGATGTAATCATTGACTTACCAGAATGAGTCCTGATGAGTCCAAACAACTCAAAATTCCCCACATCCTTGGACAACTAGTCAGGTCTGCCATGGATTCGTTTGCACATCTGACCGAGTCCATGGAAATGGTTCAAAATTGGCCCCCAAAATTGTATAAGCTCCCAAAAAAGGGCCAACATGTTCAAGCCTTGTACCAAACATGTTCGAAATAGCAACCTGGCGATGGCACTGGGGATGGCTGAGGAAAAAATCTCAAAGAGAATGGCAAGCGCCAAAGCGAGGCAATTTGGGTGGATGTTGGCCGTCGCCCTTGATGTCCGCTTGAACCATCTTGAACCCCAAGTTGGTTGCTTGATTGAAACTAACATATTCTAACATGATCTAACAATATCTAACATGTGTGTGTACTTTGTTTATCTTTGTTTTTTTAACTTGGAGTAGAAGCAACAAACAGAGGGCTTCTAACTTTTAAGTGTTTTGATAAAGAATGGGGATGACAGGTAGCTCCAGTCGTTTGTAATCGATTTTCTAGCCACACCTGGGATGGAGTGGTACTGTATGCAGGCCACGAAAATCAGGGAGAAGGAGTTGAAAGCCTTTGAAGCTTCGAAATCGGAATTGGATTCTTCTCTGAAGGCCAGCAACGGGGTAGCGGCCAGGATTTTCGAACGACTTTCCGGAGAGTCACAGAATTGGTTCAAGAGAACATTTGCAGGAGCCCTTTGATTTTTTTTGGTAAACACTGTGGGTTCATGCATGTAAATTGTCCCTTCTCCTGAGGGTTTATATCGCTTTATTCTTCGTGTTCATCGTAAGCAGTTCAGACACCACGCCCAAAATCGCTGACACATGAACTACGGTTTTGATCCTTTTGGTGGCAGTCTGTGGATCATTAAACGAGCTCTTAGTCATGATATACAGTATTTGGAGTGAATATGTGGCTATACGTACTATATATAATCTTATATGATCTTATATTGTATTATTGCTTATTGTTATATGAATTTAACATCATTTAGCTTAATATGCATTTTACATATTTATGTGATATTTTATGTGTATATATATATACAATACTTATAGCATACTCTTAGCAGACTTATAGCAATATTGCTGCATCGTCATTATTGTTATTATTATTTCTTGTTCGCTAATTATATATATATAGGTAACACTACATAGTACAATAGTATATAATAGTTATTAGTGACGCAATGTGTGGCCAGTGGTGCTTATATTTTAATCATTTTTTTTTCCAAACAGGTTACGCACATTTTCCACGTCATGATTTTTGTTTCCCTTGAATTGACCCAGAAAATCGACAGGCAATGGATGAAGCACTGGCAGAGTTCAATAGCACTGAGGCGTCGACTGGGGTCGGTCGCGATGAGTTAATAGAAATCGAATTAGCATGGTGGCGTCCAGTGATGTTTGTTGGTTTTTAAAAGCCATGAAAATTAATATTAATAATTATGTCTGAATTATATCTAGATACCATACACCACAGTCTTAAGCCACAAACATATCTCAACTGAACGCTATCAAAAGGGGGGCCCCATCCTGTCCAATCCCATGAATTTCCCAAGACGCCAAGAACATTTCTGCAATAACTTGACTTAATATCAACACAAAAGTTTGATATATTGAACAAGAATTAGAACTACTAATAGCAGCAATAGAATATATATATATATAACTATTGACCAAAGTTTGGGTGATATTTCTGAAGCTAGGAAGCTGAGCCGCTCGATATTTCGTTTCGAATGTGCCAAGTGTTTCGATCAGAAATTGAATGATCCTTACAGTTGTGGCCCGGCCTATCAGTTATAAATCAGGTATTAGCATGTCCATTAACACAAAATCTGGAATGAGAAGCCCATGTATAACAACTGGTAAAGGGTTTTAACTGTAGGACTTCTTATGATTGAGCGCTTTAGCGTTGATCTCGGCAGCCGAGCAGTGTTTTTCCCCCGGATCACTACACAGAGATGTTTACAGAGTGTGACATAGTCATCACATGTCATCACTCTGTGGTGTGTTTGGGAGCGCAAGATTGTACAATGTGGGTTTGTCTGAAAATAGGGTATATTCCCAATGAAATAGCCATTTAATAGGGATAATGATCAGCAAAACCATTGGGTTTAGGGGTACACAACATTTTCAGACACACCAATGTGGCAATTGAATCCCTAGATTCGATTCCTGATTCTACATCTTGTGGAGGGTTTAACATTGCGAAGAGAAAACAAAAATCGGTCTCGAATGCTGGCCAGAGCAGGGTTCCCTGTGGCTTCCAATACGCAAATGGTGCCCTCCCGGTTAAATATCCCATGAATTTCCCATGGATTTGTGCATGGATTTCCCTATTTTTGATGGCTAAGATTCTACTTCAATGGTGGGTGAAAACGTGACACCCAGGGGACCCAGGCCTCAAGTGGCGCATTCCTGCAACGTCGTTCTACCTTGCCTGGAGGAGCTGATTTTGATCTGATCAACATTTTGGGAGAGAATTTTTGCGGATAGACATGGATAGACACATGGTTAATAATGGTCAATGATAGTTAATGATGGTTAATGATGGTAAATGATGGTTAATGATGGTTAATGATGGTAAAACAAAGGGTTAATTATCTGGTTGGTGGTTTGGAACATTACTTTTATTTTCCCCAATAGCTGGGATGATGATCCAATCTGACTTCATATTTTTCAGAGGGGTAGGTCAACCACCAGCCAGATTACACATTTTGAACAAGCCTTAAGTGATTTGCCAACGAAACATGTTGTGGTTTCATCTTTTTTTACTGTCTATCTGTAGAGAAAATGGATACGACCCACACCTGTACCTTGCATATTTTAGCACCATCAGAACTCTCATACCTCGAACCCCCACAAAAGGTGACATTTTTTTTTAAATAGTGGGATGGTGTTTTCTCAACATGACCAAAATGGGCCTGGAATTTTCACTCATCCCCACTGGTGACTGGCTCATTTGCAATGCCAGTCCTTCCAATCCGCAAGCTTCTGCATGTCAACTTGGTGAACAGCAAGATGGCACTGCAGGACTGAACACAGTGGTCCCAATGTTGTGATTTTGAAGGGGTTGTCTATTCAGATCATCTAAGAATACACTTAAACAAATGGCAGTGACATATCTGTTAGTTGTAGTGGTTTTGTTTCCTGACGTGAACAAAAGATACAGAAATGATATGTTTGAAAATAGGAAATCCGAGGAACAATTCAGTGACAGCTGGAACGAATCCTGAGTACTCCATTCTCGGAAGGGACAAGATTCAGCCAGGCCAGTTGGTGCTTTTATTTCGGATGAGAACTCCTGACACCAGCCCGTGTCTCCTTGTTCTTAGGGCCACCCTGCTGTTCTTTCCAGCAAAGAACTCCTGCATGTCTGAAGACCACCCTTTTTAATTGGCCATAAATAAACCATGGCAGCAAGGGGATGACATCCATCCCGTCCAGGACTTGCAGTTGCTCAGCAAGTTTGCATCATCCCCGACTTCCGGCACGTTGTTGCAGGGAGTGACTCAGCACAAAACAGGTAGGATGGGGTTTAAAGCAATGGAATATATGGAATGGTTTACCAATCATTCAAAAAAATGTGATTACCAACAACACATAGAAAAAGCTATAGTTTTCCATGTGACTGGGGGAATCAACATTGGAACTACAGGGTATACTAGGGTGAATTGAACCATACCCAAATGATGGGAGCTTGATAGCCAAGGGTTGTGCACACGGAAGTTGTGACGCTTTGACCAACAAAAAGAAGAAGATTTAGCCGCAAGAATGGGGAGGACTGGTCGTTTCAATTGCTCCTACTGGGGAAGATCCATCATGTGCTGAGCCGAAGCATGAGAGTGGTCGAATTCTTGACTCAACTTGTAGGTGATTTGACCATTAACACCTTCATTTAGTTTGGGGATTTGACGATATTTTACTGACTCTTCAACTAAACACTTAGCTCAGTCAGCATCTAAACACTGGCTGGATTGTGGTTTCCGGCAACTGATCAATGATCATGAGATGGTCACACCAAGCAGTGACCAACCAGCAGCTCTTGTATCCAAAAATGGTCCAATTCAAACGAAAAAACCGGGGGCAGGCTCTCAACAGGAAATTTCATGATGGTTGTCTTGTTTTTCATGGTTTTGTATGGTTTTGTAGCTTTCAAAGCATGTTGACAATTGCATTGAACAGGAAAATCCTCAATAAACAGGATAACTTCCGAATTCCAATGTTTAAAGTAGATAAAGCATGATAAAGCCCTCAATAAAAATATGGAAAATTATGGAAACAGAATGATGTTTGAGGCTTTCTCCATTGACAAAGTCAACCCAACCCATCGCCTAACAGCGCACCAGGACATCAATGGTGAGTACAACAGTGCCTCAGGGCAGCTTTGTTTGCAGATCAGTTGTGGCTCCGAATTTAGATATGGTTAAAAGATGTTAAAAGTTATATTAGAAAACCCACCCTCCACAAGGATTGTTTTTCAAACCAACCATGATAAAATGGTGTGGGTTCTTTGGTACTCCAATTTTGAGCCAGGCTGCTAGGTTGGTCTTAAAAATCCGGGACTTGCACTTGAAAAACATGACGATTTTAATGAGGAAACCTACGAGCAACTGTAGGTTTTTGGGAGACCGTTTGGTAGATTCCGTACTCCCTTTTCCCTTTGGAAACCCGAGATTGATCCTTGTGCACGGGCTGTCTTTTATGCTGAAAGTGCTTGGTGCATCTTGGTGCTCCGTACCGGTGTGCGTCCCAAGGCAAGTGATCGGCGTGATCAAGACGACCAAGACAGACTTCGAAGAGGACCAGCAAGAGACAAGTCCGGAGTTCCCCATGTCCTGCAGCACTTACCATTCCATCCAGCAAAGGTGGGAGTGGATTCAACCTTTTCTCGCCTTGCGCAAGCTTTCTGCAATGTAGTTGTGAATTGATCCGGCGCTGTCGCTCGGAATTCCTGACACTGCAGCTTGGATGCTTCGATGGCAAGTGTCCGTCGACCAGCTGGTAGAATTAATTCTAGGCCTAGCCATCAGCACAAACTGTTTCTCAGACGCTCAAGTCTTGCAGTATAGCAAGCCAATGCAAGCCAAAAAAAAGAAGGATATATATAAAAATCCAACTGAAATTGTATGAGAACATTATAGAAAATTAAGACCTTAGTTTTCTATGTTTTTTGTTTGTTTTTTGCAATAGCCACACCGACTCGCCGCAGTTTGGCTCTACGCATCGACTCATCGGTTTCGTGGACCGCGTAGCGTAGCGTGGCCATGCCAGGTTGCAGTCTCAGCCAAGCCTTGAACATCGAACCACCCAGTGGCAAGCTGCTGGACAAAATGCGCAGCAGGACGGAAAAAATGGGGTGCTACAGTTGTTGGAACCGCAAAAAAAAGGGAGTAGTGAACCCTGAACAAAGGGATATGATATAATTTCATATAATGTAATATTGAAAATGCAATTCAATTGGACATGATATGATAAACACGTGGATTTTACATAACTGTTTTTTAAGTAAATATATCCCTCACTTGTTGGGCAAACCTATGTGGTTTGTCGGTTTTCAATGAGCCAAGCAGCCCACAACAGCGATGGCTTGATAGACCCCGACTAGCAGAGACAATTGGTCGATTGATGCCACAGCCGCCACCGCCATTTTGGATGCAATTTTGGATGGGTTTCGAGAGATGTTTTCAATGTATTTTTTCAATATCTTCCTATAGATGTTCTATAGATGATGTTCTATAGATGTTCATTATGCTTGGGTAAATTATACCGACCCTAGTGAATGATTGAAATTTACCCAGGTCATGTTCATCTAGTTCTTCATCCAGTTCTTTATCTACAAAAGCCGTAGGTCCTGACGTATTCCTGGTATGATCTCCAAGTGATTGCAGGACAATCTCAGACGAACGACTTCCATTGCGACTCCCCTTGCGCCTTCCCGGCGGAACACAGCCCACGCAGCCCACCCGGTCAAGTGATGGAAGTGACGGGGTGAAGAGTGAGACCAGTCAGCAAGCTGATGCCTGAGCTGACCTTGATGTTTTTTCCCGAAACCTGATTAAGGGCAGCAGCAGGAAATTGCAACAGTTGAGAGATTCATATATATATATATATATATAATGTAACATGCATACACATTGTTATTCTATGTTATACTCCTGTGGCGTGTTTGGCACTGTTTGACATTGGTTGACAAGGTTTAACATGAGAGTGCCTAACATGCCATTGGCAACATGTTCGTATTGCTGCTGCCCAGCCAAGGGTGTGCCGTGATTGATAGTTCTTTTCAGTGCTCGGCACTGCGATGAAATCATGCTACAGGTTGCTTGATCCTGTTTTTCCACTGGCTTAATTGCGTGACGGTGATGATTGCTTCAACATGGCACAACAACTGTTCGCAAGACGAGTCAGTTATTTAAGATCGGAAAGTCTAAGAAAGTCCTGCCTTTTCGGGTTCTGGTTCAGATACATGAGAAAAGCGCAACACACACACACACTGTGTTTGGAAAGTGGACCGCGAGTACCATGGGTGGTTGCCCAACCCCTTATTTCAAGACCTATTTCAAGACCTTCCCAGCCCTAATGTATGCCTTTGACGGTCTACTGTGCTTCTGGGGTTCGTGTTGGACTGGATGCCATCAAGACAACCTTGCTGGGTTGGTGGGAGGGACCGCGAATCAGCCGATTCTCACGATGAGAAATCAGGAGTTTGCTATGGTTTGCTTCAAACTTAGTAACGTAGGGAAAATCCTGGAAAATTCATTTTTAAGTTCAGGCCATTCAAGTCCCTTTTTCAGGTCCAAGCACGATTTTGCACAGTAGCACTGACGAAGTGCAAATGTGGGTGTGTCCCAAACGAAGGGACTGAGGACCTACGGACATCTTCCACATGTAGTGACGGTGAATCAGTGAATCTTGGGCTCCTGGGGCTTCTTCGGAAAAGAAGTGCCTCAGAAGAGTCTGTACATCTGTACTTTATTCACCTTTATCCGAATACAAACTTATCCCCCAGTTATCTGAAAGTCTGGCGTCAGCAGAAAAATGGCACACCATGGGTCAGCCAACACGCCAGCAACCTTCACTGGCTCCCTGATTTCTGCCACGGCTCCTACATTGCTGCAGGATCTGAAGGAACTGACCGATGAAGAAGCGGAAAAGAAGAAAGTTCATGGCATCTCGGCGGCTGATGGCCGTGTCTGCCATGCTGTGGGTGATGGTGGTGGTGGTGATGATGATGATGATCATGATTTATGATCATCATCAGCATCACCATCATGCGGTTATTGCAGGTCCAGATAACTTCAGAGTTTATATATATATACACATACAGATATATAATCATATCTACTGTAAATGATTGAGATATGCAAAACATCAGGAATTATAAAGTACTCGACAAGATCCCTGCCGCAAAGGTCCAGATTTGGGAGGGCTCTGCCTTTTTCCAATCAGGCCAAGTGTTAATTAGATATAATTAGATGTTGTGGTGGAATTTACTTCCCTGAAAGCCAAGCAGAAACTTTGGGAGTCGGAGTTACTAGCACTTGAAATAAATGATTCAAATATAGGGATCATAATGAATAGTTGAGCAGGGTCCAAAGCCTCCCTTCATTTGCTCAGTAAGAGTTGTAATATGGCTGTCTGGCGTAAGCAAAACCCTGGATTTCGTAAGCTGGCGTAAGCATTTCGGTGATAGATGCATGGTGGAAGCCCATACATGTCCCCAGCGGCCACATAATAAGCAAGTAAGCAATTCAGGTCGCGTAAGTGTCGCGTAAGACTGTCTCACACCCCAACCCTCGCGTTAGTCAAAATTGTCATCGCGTAAGCCCGCGCGTAAGCTGCTCAATTTTCCATGCTTAACCATGATTGACCAATGGATTTTGGATACCCGGATACCCCTATTTTCAGACACACCCAGATATGTCCCCTAAACTTCCGAGTTCATCAGCGTTTGGTGATTTTAAGTCCATAGGGAAAAGACCTCTAGAACGGCACAAGGAGTGCAAAACATATACATACGATTACATACGCACAATTCAATCTCCCCTCAGTTTTCAAGTGGACATGAGGACCTTTGAAGTATTTTGAAGTTGTATTTCCCAGTTTCCGGGATATTGCTGGCGACAAATGGCACACATCAATCCAACTGTTGCCTTTGGTAATTTGATCCAAATCATCATGCGTCATCTACAGATATCTACAGTCAATAAATATAGCTGCCATGTCTTAAATTACACGTAGCTACAGGATGCCACAGGTAGCTGAAAGATGTTGAAGACAGTGGATCCTGAGGTAAGATGATGTCCACGCTGCAGAAGGAGCAGACGGATTTGAAGAGCTTCTTGGTGGAGCAGAAGACCAATGCTGGCAACTCTGTGAAGGCCAGAATCTCCATGGATCACCTTGGAAAAAAATCACCGTGGCCATCATCATCCATGATTTTCAGAATAAAAATGTCCACAATCATAATGATCATAATGGCAAGTAAACATATGATCATGGACATGCTGAAAAAAAAACACACATTTTATTGGCATATCAGGAAACTGTTTTTTTGCACAACTAAAGATCATGGTGACAACATCGTTCGCCAGCTGTCACTGCCAGGAACTCTCTGATAAGAAGACCCTGCGGGATGAGACCACTGCTCAGTTAAAGGCGGAGCGGGCGGTCGTTGCTGGGTGGAAGCATGATAAAACACTCTTAGTATCTCTTAGCATGAACGTGTATGCAATATTAATCAATATTATGCAACATATATATATATATATTATGGAATTATGTATATTAGATACATATATAAATATTAATATTATATGGGATTATAATGTTGTTGCCTTCCACGCCTGGTTCACATCCTTTTTCCAGGGCTTGTCCTCACCATGCGCGCTTTGCAGCGCTGGCTGCGAGAATTTGACCACGGGAATCCCCACATCAGGCAGATGAGAGCCTGCTTACAGAGACGGAGGATACCTGCAAGGCACGACTTTTTCTTGTCCAAAAATGATCAAACATGGACATAAGATGACATAAGACCCTGTATATGTAGTCATTTGTTTCAGGAACTTTGGGGCTGTACTGTTTTCTGACACTGAAGGTTTGGGATGGTCAAATACAGGAACCAAATTATACATAACACTCATGGAGATAGAATCCAAACATGATAGAAACATATGGAAACCATCAATAATATGGGTATTCATGGAACTACTACAGTTGTTTTCAGCGATTTCGAGCGTTAACCTCGTCGAGGTTGATGGTGTTGATCCCTTTGAACATTTCGATGGTTTCAAACAGTGGAGCGACCTGCCAGGAGAAAACCTACCAGTTCGGAGAGCGCAAGAAGCTCCGCGATCAGGAGACTGGAACCTTCTGCAGTGGCCTTGTCTTGTGTTATCCGATAATGTTGGTTTGAAATGTGGAAACGCAACTTTAAGCAATGACGATCCGATGCAATGTACAATACATTAATGTCCAAGCAGCTTTGAAGTAGAAACCATTTGGAACAAACATGTATTGAAGGCATGTCAAATACCGAATATATGTAGTATAATATGTATATATAGGTACACACACACACACACGCACTGAAGATTTCCGCATTTCCAAATAAACCCAAACATCTCAAAATGCAACATACAAAACCAGAACTATCATTGACGGTCTACTGTAGTAACATCTCAATGGTCATAAATGTAATAATGTTGCTAACAATAATACTGTAACAACCACAATAAAACTAACAACGACAACATTATATTATATATATATCATTATATATCATCAAATATCATTATATATCATCACATATCATTATATATCATGATATATCATTATATATCATTATATATCATTAAATATCATTATATATCATCACATATCATTATATATCATTATATATCATCATATATCATCATATATCATTATATATCTATCTAATCTATCCTATCTTACCCTATCCTATCCTATCCCACCCTATCCTATCCTATCCTATCCCACCCTATCTATATCATAGCATCATTGATAGCTCAAGCTCCCAGTGCCAGGAGTTGAAAGGCGTCACCGCAGCCTTGGAGGTGCTCAGCAGCGACGACGCCCAGGCGACCTTCAAATCGGCCCGGGCACCGAATGGCACCGATATCCCGGGGATGGGGAAAAGATTGGGGAAAAGCCGGTCAAACTGAATATACATTATCTGTTTCATATACCCTCTGGTTATTTAACATAGCCATGCAAAATCACCATTTTTAATAGGTAAACCATCTATTTCTATGGGCCATCTATACCATGGCTATGTTAAATAACCAGAGGGTAAATTCTATATGCAAAACATTGGAGTGCTCAATGAATTGTGCACAACTTTGTCAACCGATCAAATCTTCAAACGAATGTGGCTATTGCAAAAGGCGAAGAAATCGGCCACAGACCTGGGACGCCCAGCAAAATAAAACTATTCTCGGATTGATTACCCTCTGGTAATTTAACGTAGCTATTGAAAATGGCCATTTATAGTGAGTTTTCCCACTAAAAATGGTGATTTTCAATAGCTATGTTAAATTACCAGAGGGTAAAAGAAAGGCTGGACATATTTTACGATCGAACAACAGTGATCCCTTGAGGAGAATTGGTTATGATCCTAATTCAGCGGTTAACTACCATGTTTGGAAAAGAAGAGTGTGGGGTCCCAGGCAACAGTGGCTATCGTATACTAGTAGATCTGCTTGGGAAAAAATGACAGGAACGTTCGAACATACATTGGAACAAAACCACAAGTGGTTCCAACTTGCAAGAAGCCGTCAGTTTTGAGTATCGCCGTCGCATGCCCACGATTTTACCCATGTGCCATGAGTCTGGCACGGAACCATGGCAGTCAAAAAAATGAATTGTGCATATTCTAACCGAAATTCGGAGTGTCGATGAGTTCGGGCGTGAACTGTTTGTTTCTTTTAGTCAAGAACACCGATTTAGCCATTGGATAGTTGGATTGTCAATAACAATGTGCAATTAGCCAACGGCGTCTTCTCCCACAAACGTCGATTGAAGATCATTGAAATGGCAAACATGGATGATATACCAAAAAGAAGGGCGACATTGACCAACACAAACTGGGGACCAAACCTTGTTGGGGGGCATAAACTCATGGGGTGCAAAGCAGTTCCCAATTGGGAATCCTAAAATCCGCTGGTCCACTGTGGCGAACAACTGGTTCTGGGTATCCCAAGTCAAGATCTCAGACCCTTGCACCCGCAGAAATTGGTCGTTGTGGGTACCCAATGACTCATGTAAGGGTCAAAATGTTCAACCTGGAACATGGATATTCAATGATATTCATTGATGATTTAAAACTCTAGTTCCACTTTTTCTATTTCCCATATTTTTCATATAGAATTTCAAGGTGACCAGCTGCTTTGTGCAAGCTTCCACACCGAGGCTGCCTCCTTTGTGCAGCTGGCTGCCGCGCGAGACATGGAACCTGCAGAAGTGCAAGGGGTGCAGCAGGCGAAGGGCACATGGTGGTAAGGTTGGCAGCCAGGTGGAGATAGGATGAGATGGGTAACATTAATGTGCCATGGATATCAATGGATGCCATGGGTAAAAGATGGTGAATGTTTTCCCAGACAAGAGGATGGTCATCAATCCATGAACGATGAAATATAATGTTAGTAGAGCAAGAGGATTCACCATCCCCAAGTCATCACCATTTATATGGCTGGGATTCAAACCATCCAACAATGAATGTTTTTGTTGCTTGACTACGTAGCATTAATTTATATACACATGAAAAAAACAATGTCACTAAAGGTGTGATGACCGTGCCCCGTATACCATGCTGGAATCCTGGATCATTTGGGGGCATGTTTTTTTTTTTTCCCCGCAGCAAAATATGAGTCTTGGTGTCTTGGAACGGGGACATAAACAACATTTTTCTGGGGATAGTCACTTGATCTGATGGTGATTATCCTTTATATCCCTGGAATCAGGATATATTATCCGTTGGAATTGTTAAATAAACAACATCATCAGGATATTAACCAGGATGGTTCTCATGACCAAACACGGCATTTTCCAATGAACTCGAAAGCCGCAGCTAATCATCAGGTGGACTTTCCATGGACACCTGGACACCTGTTCCTGGATGTTGAAGACCTCGAACTGTAAACCGGCCCATGGAAAGCTGCAAAAAAAAATCGGGAGGTCACTTCCCTGATTTTCACTGATTCAGACATATTCAGACGAATCCAATCATGTATATGGAGTTACTATGAGTTACTCGTAAATGGAGTTCATTTCTTCAACAACCTTTAGCCACATGACCCTTTCACTGTTTGAAGCTGGGGAAAAAATCAGGCCTCCCCGGGACCTACCATGGCAGGCCTACCATGCATTGCAACAGACGGCCTCAGAGTGGCTCCTCTGAACTGGTGCTGGTTGAGCTGCAGTCGTCACCATAGGTCGTGAAACGACTAATTCGAATGGTCACCATGGGCTACGCAAAATGGATGGTTTATAATGGAAAATCCGAGAAGCAATTGGATGATTTGTCGTACTTCCATGTCTTAGGAAACCGAAATATAACTCTTATTTAACTATACAACCAATATATTGGGATTTTCACTCTCCATTACACAGGGCAATCCTATTATTTACCATTAAGCAGCCAGCAGAAGGGGAGGACAGCTGTGCTTTCTGCAGGTACCACAGCTTAAGCTTGGCCAAGTTGGCCGTTCAGTTGAAGACCTCCGGCAGTGCGTTCCGCAAGGTCTTGAAGCAGCAGCTCGGCAGAAATATGGCTTGCTTGTGTTTGTAAGACATAGCCATATTCTGTGTAATGTTTTATACATATATATATACACACACACGTTTTTACACTTACTACATATGTATATATATAGTGTGTATATATATATTAGTGGAAGACTAAAGTAGCAGGGGGTGGACTTGGGATGTTCAAATTTGTGGCAAAACCTTCACAATCGATAGGCAACCACCCACTTACCAATACCTTATTTTTACACATAGCATTGAAGTACAAACCTTCACAACCGATAGGAGACCACCCACTTTGGCCATGTCCATTGCGAGTAGTACTTACTTTGTCTGCCACTATATATGTATATATATACATGCACTTTTTTTTTCTCTCTCTCTCACATATGTATATATATATATTTACATACATATATATATATATTTGCACTATATATACTATATTTACATACTATATTTACACACTATATATTTACATATATATATATATTTTACATACTATATATGTACACATACATATACATATACATATACACATACATATATACACATACATATATACACATACATATATACACATACACATATATACATACATACATACATACATGCATGCATGCATACATCCATACATACATACATACATACATACATACATACATACATACATACATACATATATATACATACATACATACATACATATATATACATACATATATATACATACACAGAATGTTTGATACTCATGGTTCCCAAAGATTCTGCGTTGTGGGACCTTCAACTTCGCCGCCTCAACAATCAGCTCCACCAGCCGCGGCTTGAGGATTGATACACAAATCGAGTTCTTGAAAGCTGAGGGAGAAGAGGCAGGCCGTTGGAAGTTGGAAGTTGTTGGAATATGTCGGTCTGTTTCAAAATGTTTAGGACCAAATTTCAGACATTTTCAAAGTGCATCTGTTTTGGGGGATCACCACACTTGAGACCCCCTTGAACATCATTGGCTGGTCATTTGGGCATGGCTGAAATGATGACCAACAGGGGATTCTTACAGAGAAAGCACACGGAATCTTGGCTTCTTGGGCTCCATCCACATACCCCAAAGGGGCATTAACCCTATAAATCAACATAAATCAACCATTAATTGGGCAATATAAATCATATATAATCATATATAATCCATATTTAACCAATCTTTATGGGGTATGTCCAATTGGGATATATTAACATATTCCATTATTATGTGTATGTATATGAAGCATATTGCAACATGATCATCAAATTATCTTGTTACCCCGAGAAAGGATAGCACATTCATTTATCACTATTCTGGTTGGATTGTACTTTTCTATCTTGTTGGGCGTGCTATATCCATATAGTCTTCCTGAAGTAGAGAGAATACGGAATTTTCAACTATTATCACAATAGTGAGAAGATGTTGGGAATATATATATATGTATGTATATATATATATGTATTCTATCTTTTTCAGGATGACTACAATACACATACATGCGTGCATGCATGCATGCATACATACCTACCTACCTACCTACATACATACATACATACATACATGCATACGATGTACATACGTACGTACGTTTTCCAGCCATATGAGGTTCCACTCGGGATCAATCCAGCCAGAGTGTCAGAATGCTTCATCCAACATCTGGAGACGCCATCATCGATAGGTTGAATTCGGACAGGTCAACATGCATGAGATTGTGGACTTTGAGCAGTCACGTCAAAACGTCGAAGGAAGGTTTCCAATACAAAGCGACATGTTTCTTCTGAGTAGGATCTAACCACTCGCCAGGATTAGACCGGGAACGCTGGAGCAGAAAGGTCAATACTTTATCAGGGAACATGAACTTCTTATGTAGATAGACGCTAGCCACGCGATTGAACCCAAATTCGGACAAATGCAGCGATGATAGTGCACGAATTGGGATCTGATTGCTTTCAATACGTACGTACGTGCATGCATGCATGCATGCATGCAATTATACATAAAGTTAATGTGTGTATATATTTATATATACACAATTACATACATATAATATAAATATATATATATATGTAAATCTATACATCTATAATCGTTGTAAGCTGGCCTTGCCACCTCCCTGGCTCGTGGCCAGGACGTGAAGCACAAGGCGCGGTGTTTGAAGCAGATGGAGGACTCGGACAGTGCCATTGCCACGTTGGAGGATACCATCTCCAAGGCTCCAGCGCATGGGTTGTTTCACAACGGTCGAGCCGTGGGGCCTACGAACAACCCATAGGAAAAGGGCGAAAAACCAGAGGAAACATGGGGATTTGAAAGGATTTATAGCTGATTTATGATAGCTAAGTTGGTTGGTTGATTAGTTCGTCATTTCATAGGAGTTTTAACGATAAAACTGTGGGGATATAAGTGGATATAACTTAAAAACAAAATAAATTGGGGATTGCAAACTGTTTTTTTGCTGCTTAGTATCATGCATTACTATGGAGATGTCATACCTTCAATACTAGTATACACATATTTACCATTTAAAATAATGTGGTAAGCCCGAGAGTAAACCATGCCAGTAACTATCCATGTCAGGGGGTCATAGTAAACATTGGGACATCCCCAATCTCATGGGGGATGGTTTATTATTGGACTTACATGGTTTGACCACTGACCACATTAATATGATATACAATGTTATGATATGATATGACATATTTTGGGTGGTTGTTTGAGGTTTCAACCAACTGTCATTGGTGTGTTTCGTGTTGAAGATATGCAAACAACACAAGATTGTTATTTTTATATATTTTTATACTATGTTTTCTAACCATTCATTTCAAGTGCTCACATATTTCATTGGTTTTGGTCTCTTGGGACTCCGAATATTCGTGTTTCACTTGAAACGGAGTGCTGGCATGGCCAGGCCGGCACGAAAATCCAGCGGATGGAGGGCCGCCAAGCTGAGATGGAAGATGCATTGAAGACCTTGCAAGGTGAAATCAAGGACAGCTGATGGGGGATGAGACTAATGCTATACCAAAGTATACCAAGATGACAGTTCTGTGGAGTAGATCGTGTTGAACTGTGGCATCGGTTGCTGTTCTGGGAGTCTATGCGTTTTGTGTCATCGGTAGCTGTGGTGATGATACGGATGTTTTAGATGCAAAGTATACGGGGACCTTTGCGTATGTCAAGCAAAGAGCACCTGTGGCCGTTTCAGACAGGGCTATATTATATATATATGTGATATGTATATACGTCTGCGAAATTGACCAAAATTGTTGTTTCTTCAGACAAGTTAACCTACGTAGAATGGCAAAACCACTGGATGCTTCGTATTATCTACTGTATAGTATGTACAGTAGTATGTGTGGCGTCCTACAATTAGATACCTTAGTACCTTTGCAAGGAAAACAAGCAAACCAGTGGTTCAAACCAGTTTTGTGGATCAATGGGTACCACAGGTTTATTGACGCCCGGAGTGGCTGTGGCCAAGGAGACCAAGAAGGACATCGTGGACCGGCAAGAAGCACGAGATAAGGCCAGTGCTATGTCGAGCCATCGGAGGATTTTGGCATGGGAGAAAGATCTTAGGACGAAAAATGCAAGACAACTTGTGATTTTAGCCTATTTTCTTGTGCACATTACACAACAAAATAAGTGCGTTCCAAGTTTGCCAACTTTGATCCATTCCCATGCTACTGGCTGCAGACTGAATGTGACTGACACCCAGATGCATCGAAATGGGATGCCGCACAGCACAGATTGGGATCCTCGGGCAGGAAAGGAAGGATCACCTGGAAGCCTTGAAGCATGACCAGGTGGGAAGCCGGCGAAGCCATCAGCTTGGGGGAAACTGTGATGGGGAGAAGCCCAACAAGGTTGGAATATCATGGAATGTCATGGAATATATATATATATACATATGTTGGAATATCCGTCAGGATCCATGTTATTTTACTTTTTCCATGGGAGGATATTTACCTTGTGAATTTGCATCCGATTCGAAGATGTATCAAAAAAGGTTTCGAAGAAGGATGATCAGAGAGGCTGCGGGTCGGTATTCCTCGGCTTTTTCTTGGACTTTCTGAATCTGAGTGTTTTTTGCAAATATAGTTGGGAAATCCTTATGATTCATGGGAAAATCATGGAAAATCCACATAAGATGTATTGATGTTTATACATTCAGGACTTTCCATGGCCAGATTGGATCACCGATGGACTGCGATTCCATACCTGGCGAGGATGCCTTGGTCCTCCTTGAGACTGCGATGGAGCAGATTGGCAAGTTCTTCAAGGAGAACAAGCACCTGGGCTGAAAGAAATCGCAGCCCGCAAAGAATTGGATGGTTGGACCAGTCGTGTCCAGTCGTTATTATGATTAAACACCTTATAAGTGTGAGATTGTGAGTCCATTGGTACTTTGTGTCGTTTCATGTTGTTTAATACAAGCTTCACCGCCATAAGCCTAGCATGACTGGGATGGTTTACACCACCCATCTGACCCATCTTGGTTTAGCACAGGATCTGCCAGGATGGCCCCTTGGAACAGCGACTCGGCGACCAAGGATCGACACAGGTGCTGCCTTGATCCAAAGGCACCAAGCCGAGCCCGAGAAGTACAGAGACATGCCGGATGCTGGCTTCAAGGACCAGCCTGGCTGGTAAGTCCCCGATTCAGTGGGCTTATCCCTAATATGGAACTGGGTTATACAGTTATATACATATGGTTGTTATATGATTTTTATATAATTTTTATTTAAAATTTATTACTGTAAATGTTATTAACCACTAAGTTGGATGGTCCTCCAAGTACTAAGACACTCAAAGTACCCACAACACCGGTAAAGTGATTAAAACAGATACTCAGATCATGTGTAAAAGTTACCGTTTCTTTTTTTTAACGTTTTTTTTCTGGTTGGTAGCCGCGCAATGTGCGTCAGCCTCTTGGGTTGGCGAAGGATGCCGACTACGAGGGAGCCAAGGGTTCCACCAAGGGTCTCATGGCAGGGGAGCCCAACCGGGCGACATCCAGTAGGATCCAGCAATCGTTGCCTCCGTGAGGATACAAACGCCATACTTGCTGGATCCCCAACAGTCACTGCTCTCAGGGAATGATGGAGACCATCAAAGGAGACATGGAGGCAGAGATTGCTAATGGAAAGAAGCAGGACAAAGAGAACCAGGCCTGCCAAGATCAGCTTGTTGGAGACTCGTTTTGTGTTTCAACACCGTCAATAATGCTCATTTGATTTCGGTGGATATGGCTCGAAGTCAAAACCAATTGCCTCCAAACAGCACAGTTTAAATATGACAAGGCACTTGACTTGGAGGTTTCGTAAAATGGTGGTACCCCCAGATCATCCAATTTCTTCTCGGATTTTCCATTAGAAACCATCCAGCCATTGGGGTACCCCCATGACTATGGAAACCCCGCGATCCCCTCGTGTCCCCTCGGCCAACCGCCAGGCTCTCTACGAGAAGGACTATGGAGCCCTCAAGGAACTGCGCCTGTCATGTCTGGTGATTTTCAACAGCGATTGTGTCTGAGGAGGGGTTTTAATCGGAAGCCAGAAGACATGTTCCGGGGCAAGTGGAATTTAGGCCTCCACCTCTTTGCGGCGCTTGTAGCTGCAGAGTTTTTTTTGAACCCAGCCTGGAGCTATGCCTGCAAGATGTGGCCCCTTACTTGCTGTTTCCAAAATCCCAATGTTCCCCCAAGCGGTTCAGTTTGAAATCCACAAACATGCGGGTACCGTGATGGTGCGGCTGAAAATTAGTGCCCCCCAACTTGAGATGTTTCAACACGAGGCCATCCAGCGCAGGAGCTTTTGGACACTCAGAAGGAGCAGGAACTCACGTCCACGAAGGCCCCGGGATTCTTTATGCATTTCCTTTAGATACTCTCTAAGAATCCACAGATGAATCTGGCCAATGGAAACCATCCTGGCCCAGGCCTTGGCGGACCTGAAGTCAGACACCGAAACCAAGAAGGACACCACCCAATGGGTTGTCTCAAAATTTGGAGCCACCAAAAAAAACCCATGGTTTGGAACATCATGTTCCCCAGGCAAAATTGTAATCTATTTGGGTATGACTGTATGACCTATATTTTTGACCCAAACCCATATCAACATCATGTGTCATAGCCCTTTGCTTCTTTGGATGCCTAGCAATCCCAGTAGGATTTCAAGGCGGATTGCAAGTTTTTTTTTCCCCACCTGCCAGGTGAGTCCCAGATCTCAGAGGGCACTGCCGGACCTCAACCGTGAGCGTTGGAGCGCAGTGGGCAGAATAGATGCCGGATAGGATGCCAGAAAGAATGTCAGAATATATGACAGAAATTGCCAGAAAGTATGTCAGAAGAGATGCCAGATAGATCCAGATAGAATGTCAGATAGAATCTCAAAGTATATGCCAGAAAGAATGTGAGATAGAGTGCCAGAATAAAATAGAATAAATATGCCACATATACTTCCAGAATCTTCCAGATGGTACGTCAGAAACTATGTCAGAATATTGTTTCAGGGTGGGGTATCACTCGAAGAAAGTATTTTTTTATTTTTTTCCAGACGTGCGTGCTTGCAAATTCCTATTTCAGGTCACGAAATCTTGGCTTTGAAGTGGCAGATGTGATTCTCAGTGGCTCTAAGAGTTACTGCACAGTGCCTGCCAGGAGTTCAAGGACGACAAGGCACTGCCAGAGAGTTCTGGATGTTCCATTTGTGCCAGAAAGTTTTGGCCAGCTCCTACATGGGACATTTTTTTGTGCTCAGCTGCTTGAAAGACCTGTACATCCCGAGTGCTGTATAATAATCTAAAGGTCCCAGTCCAGGGTCCCTCAATTTCTTCATTTCAACTGTCAAAAATTGTAGGGATAGATGACTCGAGGATAGATGACTCGAGGGTTCCTCGAATTCTTTTCGCTTTCTTAATTTAGCAATTATAGATACCCTCTGGTAAACTAACATAACTGTGGAAAATCACCATTTTTGATGGGAAAATCCACTATTTCTATGGCTATTTTCAATAGCTATTTGACATAACCAGAGGGTAGATGCAGTGCCATAGTGCCATAGGCCCAAAATGGAACAAAACTCCGGCTGTTTTTGGATGTTTTTGGGGTTTGGTGGCTTCAGTACTGGCCCAAGGTTGCAAAAACGCAGTATGTGAAATGTGAATAACTATAGACAATATACCATAATATACCTAGTACCACAGTTCTGCAATACGTGGCCCAGTACTCCGACATACCGAGAATACAGCGTTTTTGATACACAATATAATCACAATAATAATAGGGGCTGGGTCAAAACCTATTTTTTGCCATGGTTGGGGGAATAATCATCCATTAACCAGCTATTTTAGAGCACCGTTCGCATGCCAGGGTTTTGACTTGTAGCGAACTCAGGAATTTAGTTGTGAGGGTCCCTCAAATTCCTTAGCCCCCTTCACCATCCGAGAAAAGACCATGCGTGTGTTGGGACACGTGATGCTTGTGACCACTTACGTGTCGGTGTTGTGAGACTGACGAGAAGACGGCAGCGGAGAAGAACAAGGAGGGACGGATGGCCACAATTCAGATGCAACGTGTTCTCTGTCAAGTGATGGGTCAATGATGGCTTAAAGGCTTAAATGAACCTTCATCATATCATTCACTTTTTGATCTTGTTGTTTTCCATCTTAGTTTTGATCCCATGAAGCAGTTTCTTCGATGGGACTAAAAGATGTGGTACAGCTGCAAATTATTTTCTAGGTTTTGCCAGCATGGCTCTGGCTCAAACTCATCTCCCCAAAACTGGATAGTTGAGCACCAAGACGGACAACAAAACGGTGGTTCTTCCATCAGCATCCTCAATTAAGAAGCAATGATCCAAATGGATTTGTCTGAAAACAAGGAACCCCCCAATTCCAATGGTTTATGTTTTATGCTCACTACCTCCATTAAGGTGTCATTCAGACAAACCCAAACCTGGCGAGCCAACAAAAAGCCAGGAGAATCTGAACACCGACTGCGCGTGGGTGAAGACCAACTTTGACTCCCGCAGAGAAAAACGCCAGGTGTCGCGCCGACACTACCAGAAGATCCGACTTTTTAAAGTGACCAATCTTAGTGTTGATATCTATTGATATGGACATATATTGGAATATGATTAATGGAATTTTCAACTGGAATATGAGTATGATAAGTGACTCAATATGGTTTACTACTGTCATTATTTTTTACGGCTCCCGGCGAAGTTTTTCCAATGCCATCTTCGGATCCCCAGTGGGCACCAGGCCGAGATCCAGGGCCTTGTGGAGGCCAAGGGTGTTCTCCAAGCCGTGTGATGCGCCGCCGCAAAGTGCGCAGCAAAAAGTGGCGTAGGCAGCTGCGGCGGGTACCGGCTGGTACCTGGCAAAAATGGCTGGCGAGGCTGGATGTGAATATTAACTATTAACTAATTTTCTATGGAAAAGAATGGACACATGATCATTTTTGATCAACATCCAGCCTCACATCAAAAGAATGATCAAAATGCTGGAACATGAATCCATCCCCATGTTCGCCTGGAGGATGTGAACTGGTATGATCGCTGTTTTTGCTTCAATACAGCCTATAGGGTGGTGCCCCCCCTATTAGTTGGTTTATAGCCCCCGTGTATACTGTAGACACTGTAGATTGGTAGTACAGTATTAGACCCTAGTTATCGGAGTTATTTGCAGCAACTTAACCGTGGGGCACCACATTGTAGTGAACGATAATCTTCTCATCGTCTCATCGTGTCATCGTTTGATGACCCCATCATCTCATCCCCCTCACATGTCAGCTTATCTCATATCATTTTGTATCACATCATATCGCATTATATCATATCATGATCGTGTTTATCTTGGACATGAGAACAAACATGACAGTTTTGGTAGTACTGTATTGATCAGCAAATGAGCATGATAGTAATACCGATGATACAATATGATAGACAAGTTACATCTTATTATGTATACGCATTTACTATGATTTTGTACATCCACGGTGAATTGATATCTCACCAACCAACCCTCTAGTAGGCACTCTCAGCTCAGGTGTAGATGCAAGCAGTGGGAAAGCCCAGTTGACTGAGACTGAGCTGGTCATTTTGTGACACGCAACATGATAGTAAAACGGAGGGTATCTATCGCCATGGTATATATATATACATGATATATTACCATTTCTTGTTGTTCAATCTTGTCACAGGGAACCTTAAAAACACGTGATGATCACGTGATGTCATACTGTTGATGACACCCAGCATCCTTCCTTGCCCATCATGGGCTCCCTGGTGTTACACATGGGCTCCCAGGGCTCCCAGTGGTGGTTGTTTCTTGGGATTTCCGCCACTGGTCATTACTGTGTAAAATCATACATTTCAAGCCAATGTTTGTTGGTGGCGTTGTTGGTTAAACGTAAATCACCCTCAAATTAGCATTGTTAAATCCTCACTCATACAATTCAATCACTTCTAAAAAAAAAGTACTAGATTACTTAAATCCATATAAATCCATATTCTCATCATCAAATCCCCATGGTGTGTTAAAACAACGCCGCTTTCAGCCTGGAATTCTCCAGGCCGCGTCCAGAAGCCGGAGCAACCGCAGACACAAGAAGAGGTCGGGATGGCATGGCGCCAACGGCTACAAGTACCTGGGGTAAACATAGAAAAAGATGTGGAACCCCCCGTGGGGAAACCCTAAATGATCGACAAATGATGGGTTTTGGACATCTAATTTAGTCGACAGGAGGGTAATCCAAGTAGAGACTTGAGAAATGTTCTGGTAAAACCTAATTAATGGACGTGAGAGTGTACTTTCGCTTTGATGTTCATCTGTTTTATATCCATCATGATTTTTATGCTTGATAGCTGTTCAATAGCCATCATTCTACATTCTGTATAAATATAAATGCAGTGCATAGTACAGTGCATAACTGTTGATGATTCAGATATGATATATCAAGATATCATGAGAGAGAGAGGTCAAGAACACCATGTCATGTTACCAATATCAGTGTAGAGGGGTCCCGACCTCCGGCGAATTTTGGATGAGGACCAGGTCGGCTGCAGGAATACCACAACTCCGGTGGGAATGTCCCCATTTAGAATCATGGATATGCAATGATATGCATTTATCATCATTCAGCCAACCCAATTATGGTCTGGATCAACGGGGATTACAATCCCCATTCTTCGCATGGATCCCCGTTTACAATTAATCGGATTAGAACAATAATAAAAACAATCCCCCAGTCATCACCATTAATAGGTGCTATAAACCATTCCCAAATGGGTGGTTGATTATTGTTTTAACCACATTGATGGGGACTATCATGAATGTTAGGATTACCCTTTGGATCCCTTTGGTAATTTAACATAGCTATTAAACATGGCTCATTTATAGTTGATTTACCTATTAAAGATGGTGATTTTCCATAGCTACTGTCTACCAGAGGGGAATGGGGATCATGATGATCGTCCCCAACATACCACAAATCCCAGGCGTGGTGAGGGCAAGAATCGCGAGCGGCGGCGGCGAGGCAGCCCACCCCGCAGCTTGGGATGTGGAATTTGGAATGAGATGTACAGATGAGCAGTTATATGATTTTATGGGATTACCCTCTGGTAAATTAACATAGACCCTGAAAATCACCAATTTATAGTGAAAACTAATCTTCCAACCCCTGTCTGCCAGGGTCTATGTTAATTTACTGGAGGGTACTATGGTTGGATACTGTGGGATTACTATGGGATTACTATGGGATTACTATGGGATTACTATGTTCAAAACCCCCCTTTTTTTGTTGATGATTGATGATATGGGATTATACTATATAACCAATATCTTGGAAAATATTACGGATACATATACGGAAACATGTAACGGATGGACATGGGCGTTCAAGTTGGACAAAAAGGAGGTAATCCATGGGAGCTTCCCAAATAACAATACCTCCTTTCAAGGTTATGTCGTGCTTGTGAGCTTGTGCACATGCTTCAGTTTCTTTTATATAAGCGATACTGCGATACCCCTCAAATTTGCCACGCATCATTTCTGTGCAAACGTGGTTTAAGCGATGAGACCTTCCCAGATTTGTTGATTTTGTTGTCGTGAACATGGAGTTTCCGACATTGCTCATATGATTACTGTATGTATGCTGTATTACCGAGCTAAATGAATCTTTAAGCACTCTTGGGGAAGGTCAACTGCACTCACCATGTCAAAGACATAATTCTTTTTGAATATTTTTGGGAGCTGGTTGGTTTTGACCCATAGCTGACTTTGACAGCTGTTGGGATGGACATGCAGTGTGTTAAGCCGACCGCAGCAGGCGGCGACGGTCAAGTGGATGTGTCATGGAGATCACTGTACTGTCAACGGTGGATTGATAAGTGGGATATTCCGGTCCAAATCAATTTTTGCAAACAGCATCTGTGTATATCTGTGTCGTGTATGTCAGTGTATGTCATGCATATCCCCATATATCATCGTATATCTAGATAATTATACGTATAATATATATATATATAGAGATGGACTTATTTTCATGCCAGTTAAACATCGCAATTATGACTGTAATTATCTCAACCATGGTTCCAAAAAAAACGGACGTTTCCAGGCGGCCCTCGTGACGATGAGACTGCTCCACCCGGGTGGGGCGGATTTTTGTTTGGGGCTATGGTGGAACCAGAATAATGTATAGTATACATACACATATACCAGTGATACTATAATGTATACATATATTGTAATACATTACATGGTGATGTATATCTATATGTATATGTACTATGATATATTATAATGTAATATCACCATATATTATGATTCTTTGGCTATGATATTATTCATATTCTCACCAGGCAAGCGAGTCCGCTTCCTACAGTGGTCCGTTGCACGGCTGCTAGACATGGCCAGAAGATCATGATTAATTTTGGCGTCTGCGCAATGAAGCTCTCACGCTGCGGCGCTGCAAATGAATTCAAATCATGATTACTGTAATATATATATATAATTTCTTGGATGTAGCCAATTTGTTCATCAATTAAATTAGCCAAATAAAATATGGCTATGGATCAATACCTATAGATACAGTTTATTAGGGGATGAACATCCATTTGCCACCTATTTTGATGTTCACCACGGCTACATGGTTTTGACCCATTCCCATATGAACATGAAATAACATGAAATAACATGAATAACTAGCTTTTTGAGGTGACCCATTCGAAATATTCGTCCCCCAATGGAATGATCGGCATTTGGCTGGGTTTTGGGGCATGGGAAACAGACTGGGGACCACCACAGGGGGTTCACCACAAATGAAGCAACAAGGATTAATTTTGATATATTAATATGTATATATATATATAATTATATGTATATATATATATTAATATTATTATTATTGTTATTATTATTATTGTTGGCAAAGCAATAGTCAGTAAACTATCTCCAATTTTACCATAAACGGGTGCTATAAACCATCAAATGATGGGCAGTGGTTTATGACATTGCAAAAAAAAACAACATCAATTGAACTGCATCAAGCTGTGGACAACATACACAACTTTTTATACAAGGTAAAATATAGGTACATTATCTATACAGATGGGCCACACAAATGGGCCCAGGCTCCATAGATACTTTCCAGGCTCCAAATATCTCCAAGCTTTGTCCATGGCAGGTTCTATGGCGCCTATGGTTACGGAGGCTCCGGATGGTGCTTTCCATGTTTCGAGGTTTCCTCAGTCATGGGGGTAGCAGCAAATCAACCAATGGATTTTCGGATGTTCCAGTATAAACCATCCATTTATCTGGGTAAATTATAACGACCGAGCCCTGTTCTCCCGAGCCCTGTTCTCCCTCACTGGAAATCATAGTTAGTAAGGGGAAATCATCCCCAAATGTTAGGGTAAATTACCCAGATTAGGTAAATATCCCCATAGTAATAACGACATCATAACGACCAAATGGCCGAACCATTCAGGTTAGGGAAATATTTATTATCATCCCATGATGTAACAGAATATTATAATGGAGAAATGGCCTTAATATCATCCCATTTATGAGTAATGGAGTGGGGAAATATTACAATTTACCCAGATGGCACATGGTCCCTCCAGGTCATCCATGGCTGCCATATGGCGTGGATGAGGGTGTGGATGTGAAGGCGACTGGTGTCACTGGTGGATTTAAAAAGAGATTCTCTCCCTTCAACAAGCAATAGGATACCCTAGGATAGACTAGGTAGATTATAGATGATAATAGATGTTGATAATGATTATAATTCAAGTAAGTCATCAGGTCCTAATATTCCTATGATTGGTAGATTTAATAGTAATTACTCTTATAATACCAACTATAGGATGAGAATTGACAATAATAGTCATTACCCAAAGGGCAAGCTTGATCCCCACCAGGTCAGTTCGAAGTTTTTGACTCGGAATGACTACTGTTTGAAAGCTCAGTCATGGCTTGGAAAGGAGCAAAAAAAGTTGGTGTAGCATTGCGGATCATGCATGTTTGGTATATTGGCACATCTGTGTTTATCCATGTATCGTATTTTGCATATAATGATATCAGATACATGATTAATACAATATTGTATATATATACTTGTGCCGTGTATATATCTGATATTGTGTATTATTGTGTGTTTGGTTATATTTGCCTATATATGTGGTTCATCACAGTCCAAACAAATAATATTATATATATATATGTGGAGGGGACCTTTATGTATAGAATGACGGGGTTCTGAAACCACAATACTGGCACCTGCAGCTCACTTTTTTGGGAAACAAATGTTTTCACAAATGAACATGGGTCAAATTTTAAGACTTGAGGGATCACAGGTTTTTAGTTATTGTCAGGTGAAGGTCTCTAGACTTCTCCACAGCTTCTTGCCCTCCCCCCTCTCCACCTACAAAGGAGAAAGACGTAGAAAGGGGGTGAAGCAGGTGGAAAGTTGTGGGTGGAAGGGTAGGTGGAAGGGGTGGATATGGTTGGAGAGGTTGGGTGAAGATGATGCTAGGGTGATGCGAGGGTGGAGCGAGGTTGGAGCGATGGTGGAATGAAGGGTGGGGTGTGGAGAAGGTGATCAAAAATTGATACCAAGTACAAGGATACATCTACTGTATTTATTCACATCCTTTGCGCGATCCACTCCTTGGGATTCTCTCCTTCCCTTTTCACTTTCCAGCGGCTTTTTCTCTTCTCTCCCCCTCTCCACCCTTCTACATGTCCATCTCCGCTCAATACCCTCATTCCTCTTTCCGAAAAGAATCTTAGGGGCAGAAAGTGTGGAGAGGAGTGAGCAGGGATGGAAAGCGGAGAGAATTAAATGAAGTTGGGGTGATGGGCGGGGTCACGATGAAGAGTTGGGCGGTGGGCGTAGCGAAAGGCAGATGGATGGAGAAAAGGAACATGTACATCAAATAGATGCAAGCAATTCATCCTGACTGCTTTCTTATCTAGCCGTTTCTTTCTTCAAAACTACTTTAAAGTTCAATTGTGATTGCCTTTTCCAGCTCCATCTTATATTTGCTTGCAAAGATCAAAATTAAAATGTATGTCTACTTTCTTTTTTGGACATACTTTTCAATGTGCATTGGAACAAGTCTCTTAAGACATGATTCAAAAGCAGCAGTGCCATTACAAAGCATAGGGTGGACTAAGGCATTTTGCCTCTCAGGCAATGTAAAAGTGCATGCTTTTTGTTGCTTTTTCTGTGAGGGGGGAGCGAGGGCGGAGCGAGGGTGGAGTGAAGGGTGAAATGAAGGGTGGAGTGAAGGGCTGAGAAGGTCGCCAAAAATTGATACAAACGATAAACGATGCATATTTATTTCGTTTTTTGCTTGATCCACTGCTTGTGCTCCTTCCCTTGCCTTTTCACTTCTCCGCAAACTTGTTCTCTTCCATCCCCCTCTCCACCCTTCTACATGTTCATCTCTGCCTCCACTCAACACCTTCATTCCTGTTCTGAAGATAAGGTGCTAGGGGACAAAGGGGTGAAGAGGAGTGAGAATGCATGGAAAGCGGAGAGGGTTAAATGAAGTTGGGGTGATGGGCAGGGTCGCGATGAAGGGTTGGGCGGTGGGGTCTAGTGAAAGGCAAATGGGTAGAGAGAAACAAAAATACGATACATACATAAACAGTTCATCCGGAACGGAAAATGCAAAAAAAATGCAACTTCCAACGTTGCATTTTCTCCGTTGCATTTTTTTTGCAACTTGCGACGTTGCATTTTCTCCGTTGCATTTTTTTTGCCACTTTAATCAACTTTTGTATTTTTTTTACGAAAAAAAATACGAAAAAAATGCAAACAAAAATGCAACGGCATCAAAACAAATGCAACGGAGAATGCGAAAAAATGCAACTTCCAAAGTTGCATTTTCTGAGTTGCATTTTTTTTGCAACTTGCGACGTCGCATTTTCTTAGCTGATTTTTTTCCTTTTCGAAACTTGCGACATTGCATTTTCTAATTTGCTTGTATTTGGAAAGCTCCTCCAACAAGCAACACATTTAGGGGCTGGCAAACTGAGAAAAATCTCACTCCCAACCCTGAGTCTCCAAAACTAGTAAATTAACTAATTTAGTAAATTTACTAAAAGGGAAGAATTTACGTAATTGTTTCTCCAGTTTTCTTGATGTTAGTAAATTTTGTGAAAAACCAAAAGTGCATCAAAAGTGCATCGACCGTGCATTTTTTTCTTAGCATGTTTGATTGAAATTGTGATTTTGTAACACAAATGCAGCAGCATTTTTTAGATTTAGTGAATGTCGTTTTAGTTCACAATGTGACAATCCATTTTTTCCATAACAAAGGATTGGTTTTGTCACATACTTGTATGTTTAATGGATATGGCCAAGTAAAGCCAGAATCTTTGCAAGTGACCAGTCAAGTAAGGGCTTTTTATAGATTGCCAAAAGTAAAGTCAATATTCTCAGCACAACCCATCTCAAGTAAATTCTCTGATGGAAACATGTCTACCCTAAGTCTCCAAAGCTAGTAATTTCACTAATTTAGCAATTTTACTGATCCAGAAGATTTTGCATAATTTTTTTTGTGGATTTTTGCAGAATTAGTAAAATGTAAAAAAAAGGAAACGTGCATCAAAAGTGCATCAAGAATGCGCCAAAAGATGTGTGATAGCTTTTCCGAATTTCCGTGAATCTGATAGTGGAGACAGAAGGAATGTCCAAATGTTGTGAGGAATGTGAAGAAATTAGCATGTGGAACCTGTATAAGTTTATGTCCTTTGAGTCCTTTGCTGCAAAATGTAAATACCATGAAAGAAAAACAAAATTTCTCCCAGTGACTTCTCAGGTAAAAGTAGATGTTCTGAAGTAAAGTCATCTTCGCAAACGATTTCTGAAGAAAACAAATTATGAAATAAATTCAATGTAATACATATTGAAGGTATATACTTGACGTTATTTTGGCTCGTTGGCTTTTGCGGTTTCTTGGTTTTTGCATTTTTTACTTTTGAGTTTATTTGCATGCTTTTGTGAGAGGAATTGACATATGTTTTCAACAAGTGTCCTAATTAGCCCTTTTTTGGGCTCTGAAAACAGTATTTCAGGACACTTGTTGAAACCTATTCTCCCACTATATCTACTTGATTTGTGTTTCACCACGTTTTCCATGACTGTCACGGTTCTGCCTCAACATACGTTCCATATGGTCACAAGATGCATGTTGCCCAGTATTTTTCTCAGCCAAATCTTCTCCACGCGGACCTCCAAAATAAAATAAACATAAAAAAAAATAACAAATAAAAAACATAGATATTTATTTTTTTCATTTTAATTATTAAAATAAAATAAATTAAAAACAACAATTTTATGTGTTTTATTTATTAAAATTTGGAGCTCCTGAGAAAATACATACAATAAATAAAATAAATATTAGTTTTATTTATTTGATTTATTAAATTTCAAAGCTTCTGAGAAAATAAATAAATAAATAAAATATATTTTTTTTTATTTTATTTATTTTCTCCGGAGCTCCAAAATTTTAATAAATAAAATAAATAAAATAAATATTTATTTTCTCAGCCAAATCTTCTCCACACAGACCTTCAAAATAAAATAAATAAAATAAATAAAATAAATAAAATAAATAAAATAAATAAAATAAATAATTATTTTATTTATTTTATTTATTAAAATTTGGAGCTCCTGAGAAAATACATAAAATAAATAGAATAAATATTTATTCTATTTATTTTATTTATTAAAATTTAGAGCTCCTGAGAAAATAAATAAAATAAATAAAATAAATATTTATTTTATCTATTAAATTTGTGAGCTCCGGAGAAAATAAATAAAATAAAAAAAAAATATTTATTTTATTTATTTATTTATTTTCTCAGAAGCTTTGAAATTTAATAAATCAAATAAAATAAATATTTATTTTCTCAGCCAAATCTTCTCCACACAGACCTCCAAAATAAAATAAATAAAATAAATAGTTATTTTATTTATTTTATTTATTAAAATTTGGAGCTCCTGAGAAAATAAATAAATAAAATAAATATTTATTTTTATTTTTATTTATTAAAATTTGGAGCTCCTGAGAAAATAAATAAAATAAATAATTGTTTTATTTATTTTATTTATTAAAATTTGGAGCTCCTGAGAAAATAAATAAAATCAATAAAATAAATATTTATTTTATTTATTTTATTTATTAAAATTTGGAGCTCCTGAGAAAATAAATAAAATAAATAAAATAAATAAAATAAATATTTATTTTATTTATTTTATTTATTAAAATTTAGAGCTCCTGAGAAAATAAATTAAATAAATAAAATACATATTTATTTCATTTATTTTATTTTTTAAAATTTGGACATCCGGAGAAAATAAATAAAATAAATAAAATAAATATTTATTTTATTTATTTTATTTATTTTATTTATTTTATTTTGGAGGTCTGTGTGGAGAAGATTTGGCTGAGAAAATAATTATTTATTTTATGTATTTTATTTATTAAAATTTGGAGCTCCAGAGAAAATAAATAAAATAAATAAAATAAATATTTATTTTATTTATTTTTTTATTAAAATTTTGAGCTCCTGAGAAAATAAATAAAATAAATAAAATAAATATGTATTTTATTTATTTTATTTATTAAAATTTGGAGCTTCGGAGAAAATAAATAAAATAAATAATATAAATATTTATTTTATTTATTTTATTTATTTTATGTATTTTATTTATTTTATTTATTTTATTTATTTTATTTATTTTATTTATTTTATTTTGGAGGTCTGCGTGGAGAAGATTTGGCTAAGAAAATAAATATTTATTTTATTTATTTTATTTATTAAATTTTGAAGCTTCTGAGAAAATAATTTTTTATTTTTATTTTATTTATTTTCTTAGCCAAATCTTCTCCACGCAGACCTCCAAAATAAAATAAATAAAATATATAAAATAAATATTTATTTTATTTTTTCAAAAATTTGGAGCTCCTGGGAAAATAAATAAAATAAATAAAATCAATAATTTTTTTATTTATTTTATTTATTAAGGTTTAGAGCTCCTGAGAAAATAAATAAAATAAATAAATATTTATTTTATTTATTAAAATTTGGAGCTCCGGAGAAAATAAATAAAATAAATAAAATAAATATTTATTTTCTCAGCCAAATCTTCTCCACACAGACCTTCAAAATAAAATAAATAAAACAAATAAAATAAATAAAATAAATAAAATAAATAATTATTTTATTTATTTTATTTATTAAAATTTGGAGCTCCTGAGAAAATAAATAAAATAAATAAAATAAATATTTATTTTATTTATTTTATTTGTTAAAATTTAGAGCTCCTGAGAAAATAAATAAAATAAATAATATAAATATTTATTTTATTTATTTTATTTATTAAAATTTGGAGCTCCGGAGAAAATAAATAAAATAAATAAAATAAATATTTATTTTATTTATTTTATTTATTAAAATTTGGAGCTCCTGAGAAAATAAATAAAATAAATAAAATAAATATGTATTTTATTTATTTTATTTATTAAAATTTGGAGCTTCGGAGAAAATAAATAAAATAAATAAAATAAATATTTATTTTATTGATTTTATTTATTCTATTTATTTTATTTTGGAGGTCTGCGTGGAGAAGATTTGGCTAAGAAAATAAATATTTATTTTATTTATTTTATTTATTAAATTTTGAAGCTTCTGAGAAAATAAATAAAGTAAATAGAATAAATATTTATTTTATTTATTTTATTTATTTTATTTATTTTCTCCGGAGCTCCAAATTTTAATAAATAAAATAAATATTTATTTTCTCAGCCAAATCTTCTCCACACAGACCTTCAAAATAAAATAAATAAAATAAATACAATAAATAAAATAAACAAAATTATTTTATTTATTTTATTTATTAAAATTTGGAGCTCCTGAGAAAATAAATAAAATAAATATTTATTATTTTTATTTTATTTATTAAAATTTAGAGCTCCTGAGAAAATAAATTAAATAAATAAAATAAATATTTATTTTATTTATTTTATTTTTGAAAATTTGGACCTCCGGAGAAAATAAATAAAATAAATAAAATAAATATATTTATTTTATTTATTTTATTTATTTTATTTATTTTGTTTTGGAGGTCTGCGTGGAGAAGATTTGGCTAAGAAAATAAATATTTATTTTATTTTTTTTATTTATTAAATTTTGGAGCTCCTGAGAAAAAAAATAAAATAAATAAAATAAATATTTATTTTATTTATTTTAGTGATTTTCTCCGGAGCTCCAAATTTTAATAAATAAAATAAATAAAATAAATATTTATTTTTTGTTTTTTTATTTATTTTCTCCGGAGCTCCAAATTTTAATAAATTAAATAGATAAAATAAATATTTATTTTCTCAGCCAAATCTTCTCCACACAGACCTTCAAAATAAAATAAATAAAATAAATAAAATCAATAAAATCAATAAAATAAATAAAATAAATAAAATAAATAAAATAAATAAAATAAATAATTATTTTATTTATTTTATTTATTAAAATTTGGAGCTCCTGAGAAAATAAATAAAATAAATAAAATAAATATTTAAAATTTGGAGCTCCGAAGAAAATAAATAGAATAAATAAAATAAATATTTATTTTATTTATTTTATTTATTTTATTTATTAAAATTTGGAGCTCCTGAGAAAATAAATATAATAAATAAAATAAATATTTTTTTTATTTTATTTATTTTATTTATTTTAGTTATTTTATTTCGGAGGTCTGCGTGGAGAAGATTTGGCTAATTAAATAAATATTTATTTTATTTATTTTATTTATTAAATTTTGAAGCTTCTGAGAAAATAAATAAAGTAAATAGAATAAATATTTATTTTATTTATTTTTTTTATTCTATTTATTTTATTTTGGAGGTCTGCGTGGAGAAGATTTGGCTAAGAAAATAAATATTTATTTTATTTATTTTATTTATTTTCTCCGGAGCTCCAAAATTTTAATAAATAAAATAAATAAAATAAATAAAATAAATAAAATAAATATTTATTTTCTCAGCCAAATCTTCTCCACACAGACCTTCAAAATAAAATAAATAAAATAGATAAAAAAAATAATTATTTTATTTATTTTATTTATTAAAATTTGGAGCTCCTGAGAAAATAAATAAAATAAATATTTATTTTATTTATTCTATTTATTAAAATTTAGAGCTCCTGAGAAAATAAAGAAAATAAATAAAATAAATAAAATAAATAAAATAAATATTTATTTTATTTATTAAAATTTAGAGCTCTAACTTAAAGGAAATTCAGAAGGAATCTTCAGCCGTCAAATAGTACAGAAAGGTCTCTCTAACATATATATATATATAGTCCAGACACGGTAAAACCATCCCTGTTTCGGACGTATGGAGGATCATGACTCGAAAATTTGAAGGCCTTGGCACTTCATGACTGGCTTTGGTGATGCTTTTTTCTGGTATGAACTGGGATTGTTGAGAGCCAGCAGTCATTTATGAAATATATATATATATATGCCATATTCTATCCAGCAAGTGTGGATTACTATCCCTAAGACACCAGGTGCTCCGACCGCAAGTTCAGTGAATCTAGGTCAGACCTTCATTGACACCGGCTTACGACCGCCAGAAGCATAGCAGACCAGTGGCATGGGACTTTAAAACGTGGGCAGACATGGACCATCTATCTTGGTGCTAGCAGGTGCTTCTAGATGAATTTCTTGAGGTGTAGGATTTTTTCGCGGCCGCTTTCATCCAATATCATCCAAGCTTGTTAGATCTGTCTGTTTTTTTAAGATGCTTTCATACCCCATAGGATCCATGTATGCTATATATGGTAACATTTACCATCAATATACCCCCAATGTTAGCATATATAGCATACATGGATCCTATGGGTACCAGAAATCCAATCAACCTGTAACTGATTGGAAGTGAGTCCACCGATGTCCACCCATGTCACCTTTTTCGTGCTCCTTCGGATGCTCCCGAAGTCTCGATTGAGGCAAAACTTCATCCGAGATTTGGATTACCAAAACCGTTACTCGGAATATCCCAAGATTCAACGTCTCATCAAACTGAAGGCCAGTGGATGGGATGATGTGGTTAAAGGCCGACCTTTAGGACCACAGAAGACCTGAACAAAACATCAAAGAAACGCCGTGTCGGAAGAAAAAACACATCTGGACTAGCTTCGCCCATGGTTTTCCATGGTTTTTCCCAGGTTCTTTCCACGTTTTTTCCCAGGAGAAGTCTCCCAAAGATGAGGTTCCGCTGTTGCCATGCCATCAGGATGATATCCTGGCCAAGCGCGCCTCCCCTGGGATGTCCCTGAAGTGCGACTTGAAGCGCCTCGGTATGGCATTTAATTGGCGGTGAAATGGAGAGTCAGGTGGTGAAGTTTTTCAATGTTTTTCATGGATCTGATCAAGTTGGGGATTTGGCATCTTTGGAACTTTGGAACTCTAGTTTTGGAGTTTCATACTTTGAAGTCTTAGCGCCTTGTGACGAGAGAAAACTGCACCGCGCTTCGAAAAGCCGGCAGGACTTTCGATCTTGCCAGCAAGGGCGGCTCAGTGGGGTGTGTTTTTTACACATTTTTTTACGCACTTTTTTATCATCCAGGGCACTCCGAAGCTTGATTGCTATTGATTGCTATAATCCTTGGGTGAAGACTCCGAGGTTTAGGTACCAAGTTCGATGTGGTTCTCTTGGATCCTCCATGGGAAGAGTGCAGCTGACCTGTTAAGCTGACCCCTGTCGCTCGCTGTCAGCATCTCATTGCAAATGCTGACATGTGTTACCCTCTGGTAAACAAACATAACCATGGAAAATCACCATTTTTAGTGGGTTATAAATGGCCATTTTCAATAGCTATGTTAAATTACCAGAGGGTATGTCCCAAAAACCAAGACCTCTATTTGGACAGACAATGGTTGTTCTGAGATGTTCTGAGATAGTTGTGAAAACACGCATGCTTTTGGAAGCTTGGCATGTCAAGAGTGCTGTGATCCTTTATGATTAAAATGATTAAACTATATATAACTACTGAGATGAGCTAATGATCAAACTTGGTGAATTTCAAAAATCGGTCACTGACTGTTCGTTGTGTGATTTCGCCTCGCGCAGCCAGGTATCAAACCCGTGTTGCGGGCATGTACGTTCCTGATGAGGACTGTGGACATATGTGGACACCGTGCCAAGTAGGGAGCACTTTTTTGTGTCATTTGATATCCACTTGATTCACTTTGCAAAGTCAGAAGTCTATAATCTACTATTGTGTATACATATATATATATATGTGCCTAAGACCCAAGATGGGACTTCAAACGTATTGGCCAACTCTCCATATTACATATGCATACACAGAGAGAAGGAGGACAACATGAAGATCTATCTTAAAAAAGCATAACGACCAATTTGATCACAGATACCTTACATTTTATGCAATTAAAAACCTATCACGCTTATCTATATACTTATCTTACATTGATATATTATCATATATTATCATATTTTATCATATTATATATATATTATCTATATATTGTCATATGTCTATGATGGATGTTCTTAAACATGTCTTTTTTTCGTATCTTTCTGAACCAATCTCTAGGATCTCTCCACCTGGACACTGGATGAGCTGAAGGCCTTGAAGGCGAAGATGAGCTGAAAGCACCATTTTTGTGGGCCATGAGTCCATGGTAACTAAGATGGAAAATTCTGATGGAAGAATGATATCAGAATATTCCATCAATGATGAAATCTAACATTTTCCATAGAATATGTACATGTGAACATCATATGGTATTAATTATTTTGACATATCAAGATGGACTATTTTCATGGAATTAGCCTCCAGTATCATCATCTCCATGGCAAGCTGGGAATTCCCCGAACTAAATGGAGATTTTAGAGCTGGGACGATCAACTATGAATGTTGGATTTCCCAGCACGCAATGTGATTGATTACCAAAGGGTACAGAAGATTATAGATTTAAGAAGGATTTGATATATATGACAAGTGGAGATTCACTTGGATTCACACAAACAACATGAGATTTCAATCCTGAAAAATGGATGGGTTCATTAATAAATTTAGTAAACATCCACTTTCCGATGACCCCAACTTGTGGTCTCCCCGGGCTGTCTCCCCTTAAACTCCGCAGTTGGATCATGGGTTTCACCTTTTTCCCGGCCGCAGGTGGGTGAGGTTGCTGATCACCAGTCCTTTGTTTTCCTTTGGTGTGGGGAGACGTGTGAATCCTCAGGGCTTTTTTCTCGTCGGGGGATGTCGCTGCGACTTTTAAGGAACCCCGAAATCCATCAGAGTTCCTGGTAAAAAAGAACAATGTTCCCCACTTACGGTTCGGAATATGAATGTCCCATGTTTTCTATACCCTTTTTCAATGGCCTCTTTTTTTGGGGGGGGCCATGACTAAGGCACTTGGAGCACGCCAGGGAGCTCTTCAAGAAGTGGGGCTTCCGGCGGATTGAGGTGTCATCAGCTCCGCTGGGACAATCCTGGGAAAACCATTGGAAAACCATTGGAAAACCATAGGACCTATTGGAAATCCCCGAAGTAAATGGAGGTTTTGTTCGCTGGGAAAGTTTCATCGGAATTTCTAGCACGCCATGTTTGATTGAGGGATGGTAAAGTGACGTTCTCCTCGGGAAACACGGCTTGGGAGGTTTTCATGCGCAAATCATCCAGATATTTTGTTTTGTAAAGTCATTTTAGATTAGCACTGGATGTTGCTCCCGATGCAGTTGGGGGCCGCAAAAATCGCAAATCTGTTGCGATGATGAGAATCCTGTTAGAATCGGTATTTAGTAGATACCTTTGGTACTAATTACTATACCAGAAGGCCGAGAAAAGCGGGGGGGGGTTCCAGTCAGTCGGGTTTGGTTGCCATATGAGAACATCATGTTACCATCCGGCAAAGAAACATGGCGTGATAGAAAATCCGATGAAACTTTCCCATCGAACTAAACCTCCATTTACTTCGGGGATTTCCCATCCACCGTATGTCATGGTTGTTCCCATGGTTTTCCCCATTTCTGCTGGGGTTTCCCATGGTTTTCCATGGTTTCCAGGTTCCATGGTTTTTCCCATGGTTTTCCTATGGGTTTTCCATCCCAAATCCCACTGCCTTCAGGACATTTGCTGGGTCAAGACAAATCGGCTAGCACCATTAGATGCTCGCGGCTCTGTGAAGTCGGGGCGCGCAGGGTCAAATTGGAGCATAGAACTGACAGAAGAGTCCTATTTTTGGTAGATATACAGTTTATGGTTTAATTATGGTTTTGTTATGGTTTTTAATATTGATTAATTGGCAGATTTCACATGATTCAATAGTAATTCATATGGTTTAATATTGTTTAATTGTCAGATTTCATATGATTCAATAGTAATTCATATGGTTTAATATGGTTTAATAAGGTTTAATAGTTTAATATGGTTTAATTGGTAGATGTCATATGATTCAATAGTAATTCATATGGTTTAATATGGTTTAATTGGCAGATTTCATATGATTCAAAAGGAATTTATATGGTTTAATATGGATTAATATGGTTTAATTGGTAGATGTCATATGATTCATTAGTAATTCATATGGTTTCATATGGTTCAATATGGTTTAATCGGTAGATTTCATACGATTCAATAATAATTAATATGGTTTAATATGGTTTAATATGGTTTAATATGGTTTAATTGGTAGATTTCATATGATTCAATAGTAATTCATATGATTCAATATTGTTTAATATTGTTTAATTGGTAGATTTCATATGATTCAATAGTAGTTCCTATGGTTTAATATGGTTTAATTGGCAGATTTCATATGATTCAATAGTAATTCATATGGTTTCATATGGATTAATATGGATTAATATGGTTTAATTGGTAGATTTCATATGATTCAATAGTAATTCATATGGTTTCATATGGTTTTAATATGGTTTAATTGGTAGATTTCATATGATTCAATAGTAATTCATATGGTTTAAGATGGTTTAATATGGTTTAATTGGTAGACTACGGTAGATTTAATATGATTTCATAGTAATGACTATTAGAATACCAACTATATTCGGACAGAGTATGATTGAATTAATAGGAACTACTATTAGAATGCCAACCATAGACTATAGTTAGATAATAGTTGATCGTAATTAATGGGCTAAACCCAATGCCATAAAGATCATAAAGCATTCCCTGGGATTCAAACCATCCCCAAATGGCACATTGTATAATGGGTTTATAAATATGGCTTTCCCACATTGTAGAATCCATTCCCCTGAATGTGTTATTGACAGGCCCCCAGAAGCCATGATGGTCCATAGGATTGATTCAAATCAAGCGACATGTTCAGGGTTGCTCCAACCTACCAAAATCTACGAAATTTGGAGGTAAATGATAGCCGCAAGGGGGGAAGTTGATGAGTTTACCATAGTTTACCTTTATATTTGCCCAATTTACCCCCCTGGTATCTGGGTATGGCAGGCAACCCTGAATCATTGAATGCTACCGTCAATACTGTGCTTCTATCATGTTTTCTCTTGTTGATACTGGAAAACTGTGGAAAACTCCTGAAAACTCGAAGTGTCAAGCTGCGACTCAGCAGCTCGATTTGAACCACACGTCTCCCCCGATGGCTGAGGCAGCAAAGTGTCATGTATGGCGATTCATCGATCATCCAGCGCACCAAAGAGCATTGCTTGGTTGGAGTGAAGGCCCTCCGAACACCCAAATGTCGATGAATGTTGACAGCATGACATCGTGAAAGAGATACCAGGCTGCCTTGGAACCTTGGGACCTTGGGACCTTGTACAATGAGATATTGCCATCAACAACAAGCACAATTCATTGCTGTATCTCGCGTGTTTTTCCGAAAAGCGTGTCTCAAATGGGTTTGTTTGGAAAGAGGGTACCCCAATTTTTGATGTTCATAATATTTCAATATATTTCATAATCATGTTCCCCAATTTATCCCAATTTAAACTCAATTAAAAATGGTTTTGCAGGTATACCCCATTTTCAGACACACCCCAAATCATGCAGCGACTTTCCCAAGCTGCTGCAACGAGGGCACGGTGAAGCGATCCGTGGACACGCACTTCATCCATGCCAACTGTGATGTAGATCTCATCATGGAGGACTGGGAGGATGAAACAAAGGCTGGTGACAGGATCTAACAAACACATTCAAAAACTATAAGTCTACTCATTTAATGTACTATCATTGCATACGTATCAACTCATATCAATATATAATAATATATATTGCATATATGTGTATGACACATAGTAAAATATGGTGTGTAATATAATATATTATAATATAATATATATATATATAATATAATATGATATGATATGATATCATATGATATCATATGATACAAGATAACATTATACAACATAATATAATGTAATTAATATAATATAGTATAATATAATATAATATGTTATGATATTATAGAATACGATATAATATTATATGACATGATACAATATAATATTATACATCTAATATTATATGCAGGATGCCTATAGATATATGCTTATAATTATTGCTTATATTTCTATATACATGTTTGTTTGCCTCTATATCGTATCTTCGATACACATACCCTGCAGGAAGAGAAGAGCTTTGGCTCGACTCACAAGCCTATCGAGTGTGCGCCCTAGCGCAGTTCCAACAAAACCAACAAGAATGGTGGGGATTGTAACCAACAAACATGCAGGATGGGCCCCCCCAAGATAGCTACGTTGAGATATAAGTGGCTTAACTATGGTTTATGGATGTTTATGGTAGATATAACTATAGTCAATTGGGTTTATAAATCAACAAAAATAACCGGGGGGGCACCATCCTGTATGACGGCAGAAACGCGTTTGCAATCACCCCGAGGTTGCCATTTGAGTGGAGAACCATGGGCCGATTTAGGATCTCTTTTTAGACCGGCCTTGATTGGGGATTTGATGGGGGAATTCATTCACAACTGTTGGTGGATGATTCGGGGAAATAATTACTACCCAAGATAGTGGAGATTCGGAGTGAGATTCTCATACATCCATGAACTTGGAACCTGTCTTCAACCATTCCAGTACAATATGCACAATGGATTTTCCAATCGGTTTTTGACTGACACCTGGGAAAGTATGACTACCTAAGTAATGAAACCACTGGATTTTGGGTTGCACTCTCCACTAGTTATGCTTGGACAAACCCATATCCTCCATGGATGAAGTATTTACCTACGTGACTGGACCATTCTTGGGGCCGTCTTGGGGTACAGGAAACGGTGATGAGATTTTTTTGATTTCGTCAGTTGGTGGACTTGCTTGACAACTTACAGGACAGCCGCATATCTTTTGGTAAAAACATGTAAAAACTCGGGTTGAACCTGTAAAGTTTCCCTTAAAACAATCCAGAGATTAGTGCATTTAGTTGTCCCGTTGCCATGGTCGCGTTCGCCCACCTTGCCATATACCTCGACATTCCAAGACGAGGCTTTACGAGACCATCGAGCATTTCTGCCTAGGAAGAAGGCCTGGGTGAAGCAGGAACCAGCGGCTTCAAAACCTTGGGGCCCGAGAAGCCAAGAATTTGGTGGATGCCCAGTTTCATATTCTTGGGTTGTTTTCTTATGTGTTCTTTTTCAAGAATTACATCGCAGTTGGTCAGTTCCGAATCATTTCTCATCAAAAACCAATTTGACATCAGGTGAACCAGGTCCAGTCAACTTTTTTCAAGCCGTGCCGAAATTGCGGCCTAAATCATGGTAAAAACAGCTTTGAAGCTGTTTTGATCCAGTTGATCCAGGCATGACTTAGGCATGAGGTCGTTTTGAGCACCTCCGTAGGCGCTTGGAACTCTTTGGTCGCGATCGGAACCTCCGTGACGGACTGGCCGTGGGGAAGCTCTGGCGGAAGATTCTAAATCCATCCAAATCCTATATCATATCTCCACGTCAATAATTGAGTCTATACATGATATATATATATAACATAATTACATATACACAATTATATACATATAATTACATATAATTACATATCATTACATGTAATTACATATAGTTATATATAATTACTTATAATTACATATAATCACTTATAATTACATATAATCACATGTAATTACATATAATTTATTACATATAATTAATTACATATAATTAATTACATATAATTAATTACATATAATTAATTACATATAATTAATTGCATATAATTACTTATGATTACATATAAATACATATAATTACTTATAATTACATATTATTACTTATAATTACATATAATTACTTATAATTACTTATAATTACATATAATTAATTACATATAATTAATTACATATAATTAATTACATATAATTACATATATTCATTATATACAATTACTTATAATTACATATAATTACATACCATTACATATAATTACTTTATTAACAGTACCTATTATTTACATTATATATATATGATATCCTATGGATTTGGGGCATTGTGTTTTTTTTTTTAAGAACGGACGCAGGATGGCTGACCCTGGGCACCGGCCTGACCAACGACAATTGGGACAAAGAGGCGTGTTTTATACAGCGCCTGGCGTCGTTGAAATTGCTGAAAAGTTGGTTTATAACTCCAATAACTATGGTTTATGGTACTTATAACTATAGTTAATGGGGTTTATAAACCAACTTATAACTGGGGGGCCCCACATTGTAGTTATAGTGATGGTTATAGATAAAGATCTATGAGTATGTTATTTCTATCACTATTGCAATAGTAATCACTATAGTGATCTATAACCAAGATCTATGATAGCAATTACTATCATTACTCTAGTGATCTATACCGATCATCACTATCTATGATAGACACTATCACTAATTATAAGATCCTATGATCTAGGTAAGCACTTCACCTGTAGCAAAACACTAGATAGGAAGCTGGAGAGTTTAAAGGCACCAAGGTTTGGGATAGGAAGTGCTGAACTCCGGCGTGTCCAGACCTACCTCAAGTGGTTTGAGGGCGAAAGCCAGTGGCCAGAGGCGATGCCGGGATCCGGTGGGCTGTGGCAAGGTAACTACAGTAGAGCAACATAGAGCAACTACAGTAACAGTAACTATAGTGGCTATAGAAAGTGTAGAAAATATAGTGACTATAGTAACTATAGTATACTATAGTAACTACAGTAGAGACCGGAATCACTTCAGCATCAGCTGAATCAGCTGCAGCTGAGTTTTCCAGTCGCTTCGCGACTTCGCTTTCTTTCGTCTGTCGCAGGCGAAAGACTACAAGGGCGGCAAGTTGCTAGGGACCGCCATCCACTCGGCGATGTCGTTGTTTAAAACCGGTGAATTTCAAGATCAATGGCCTTGATTTTCCATGGGCTGAGTGGTGACGACAGTGATTTTCAATGGCCTTGAGCCGCATTCGATCTTTTTCAGCAAACCCAACTAATTACTCCGTTTTGTGTGCGCAATCCACATTGTCTAGTGGTGAAATTATCATGTTCACTCTTCAATCATTCATATTGAATTTCCAGTGTTTCTGGGCAAATCCGCATTCTTGCTGGTCCAACCAAGCCATTTTGGGAGATACAGTGACCATTTCGAATCCATTCGCCCCAAAAAGATAGAACAGATCGAACCATGAATCAAAAGCAATTTCATTAGCCCACATTAACCATCATGAACCAGGAACATTAGTCGACATCAACCATCATTAACCATCATTAATCATCATTAACCCTCATTAACCATCATTATCTATCATTAACCATCATTATATAACTTTCATTAACATTCATTAACGCTAGAATATGCCACATTAGCCCCACATGTTCGGTGGCATTTTCCTTTTCGACCAGGAGCGTGGCCGAGATCGAAACCTTGAGGCCAAAGAGCCCTGTGAGACCAGGCCGCGCGGCACGGTGATGTTTTGGGAAAGTCGTGGTGATCCAATGGAAACCATCCCAAAATCAGCCAGAAAATCATTGGTTTTCAACATTGGTTTTCCCATGTTTTGTTCCATGGTTTTCCATGGTTTTCCCATGTTTCGTTCTATGGTTTTCCATGGTTTTCACATGATAATCATGTTTTTGTTTGGAAAACAACAGATTGATTCATCCTCATTTTTACTGGGAAAAACCATGAGAATTCTCCCAGTTACTGGTGGTACGATGTGGTGCTGGGAAAAAGCATAGGTTAGGTGTACCCAAATTGCAGATGAACCCCCAGGTAGCACCCTGCTGGATGTTTATCCCTTATTTCCGCTGGCATAAAAGGGTGATCCTCAGAGCCTTGCAGGTCGAAAACGCTCCAGATCCTTGTCGCCACGGAGGCGTATGGCTGGTGGTCCATGCCCAAGAGAAATACGAGAAAAGAAAACTCACCATGATGCATGCTTGTTGAAAAAGTCTAGGATTTGTTGGGCTATGTAGGGCTATATACTTGTATGATTTTGTATGATGTTGCATGATACTGCAGATCTCCATGACTTTTTGTTGTGAATGGACATCAGCGACACAAAGAATTCTGTGGCCTTCATGGCCCCATTTGTACCATTTTGTATCCCATGTTGTAACCATGAAATTGCCATCAAATCCCCTTAAGTGATATTAAATTCCATTAAACCCCCATTGGATCCCGTAACATTTCCAGTAGATCCTCGTAAATCCAATGAAATCACTATTAAATCACAATTGAATCCAATTCAACCACTATGAACCCCCATCAATTCCCAGTGAATTCTGGGTAGCCAACTTCCAAAACGCTCCAAGGTCCAAGTACTGGGGCTGGCGGCTGGAGAGCAGCGCGTGCCTCCCGGGATTACGTGGGGGATCCTAAGTGACTCTGGTTTCCTGTTGATTTTTAAAACATAAAACATGGATGCTGGAAATGCGGATGAACATACTGAACAGACGAGATTCTTTTCCCGAATGCGTAGCGAAGGGTTCTTGTTTTCTTTCTTGAGGGTCTGGGGGTGGTGGACTGTTTGCTCGTCGTTTTGGTTTTTTTCTCTAATCGCGTCGTCCCGCTGCCTATGGGGAAAGTGAGAAAGGGTGATGTGTTGTGACGTGTGAAAGTGCATTTCGCATGGCAGGCGTGGGACTTTGTGGCACTCAAGCGAAAGTTGCTTCGCGGCTCTCTGATGTTTACGTCGCTGCGCTGTCTATGGGGAAAGTGAGTAAAGGTGATGTGACTGTGAGAAGTGTGAAGTGTGGAGTGTGAAGTGTGCAGTGGGGAGTGTGGAGTGGGGAGTGTGAAGTGTGCAGTGGGGAGGGTGGAGTGTGGAGATTGAAGTGTGGAGTGTGAAGTGTGAAGTGTAGAGTGTGGAGTGTGGAGTGTGAAGTGTGGAGTTCATGGTGCCAGGTGTGAAATGGAGTGTGAAGTGTGAAGTGTGAAGTGTGAAGTGTGAAGTGTGAAGTCTGAAGTGTGAAGTGTGAAGTGGAGTGCGAAGTGTGGAGTATGAAGTCTGAAGTGTGTGGAGTGTGGAGCTAGAGTGTGATGTGTGGAGTGTTGAGTGTGAAGTGTGAAGCGCAGAGTGTGGAGTGTGGAGTGTTGAGTGTGAAGTGTGAAGCGCAGAGTGTGGAGTGTGGAGTGTGAAGTGTGCAGTGGAGAGTGTGAGGTGTGAAGTGGTGAGTGCGAAGTGTAGAATGTAGAATGTGGAGTGTGAAGTGTGAAGCGTGAAGTGTGAAGTGTGGAGTGGAGAGTGGAGAGTGTGAAGTGTGAAGTGTGAAGGGGAGTTCGAAGTGTGGAGTGTGAAGTGTGGAATGTGGAGTGTGCAGTGTGGAGTGGGAAGTGTGAAGTGTGGAGTGGAGAGTGTGAAGTGCGGAGAGTGTGGAGATTGTGAAGTATGGAGTGTGAAGTGTGCCGTGAGCAGTGCGGAGTGTGGAGTGTTGAGTGTGAAGTGTGGAGTGTGGAATGTGGAGTGTGAAGTGTGGAGTGGGAAGTGTGGAGTGTGATGTGTGTGATGTTTGGAGAGGTAAGTGTGGAGCGTGGAATCTGGAGTGCGAAGTAGTACTGGGAAGTGCCTTGTGCAAGCTTTGTAGTACAAAGTATTACTGGGAAGTGCCCTGTGCAAGATTTGTTGTACAAAGTAGTACTGGGAATTACTCTGTGCAAGATTTGCAGTATAAAGTATTACTGTGAGGTACCGTGTGGACGCTTCGTAGTACAAAGTAGTACTGCGAGGTGTTCCAGATGTGTCAAGCAAGAGTGTCCAACAAGAGTGTCTTACAAGAGTGTGCCACAAGAGTGTCACGCAAGAGTGTCCCATACGATTGTCCAAGAAGAGTGTCAAACAAGAGTGTTCTGCAAGAGTGGTTTTTAATGCGATCAAGCACCTCCTGTTCGCTTTTTATTGTTCTGTAGGAACCCTTCTTCTACGTGAACTTTTAAAAATGCATTCGGGTTCGTGGTTTCTATCAGGTTTCTGTTATATAATATGATGGTATATTGACTGATAGTGACCCCAAACAACCTCTCATAGTTGATAATGAGGAATTCATCAACTTGATGGCGTCGAGACAGCTTCGTGACCTCTTGCAAATTGGTACAGGTCAGCATATCAGACACAACCGTGACCCAGCGGATGGAAGTTTCAAACTCGCATTTTTTTCCAGAATACAAGTCCGATAGTCCGAGAGTGGAAGATGCCAACTGACTGACATCTCTTGATAATGGTCAAATTTGTAAAGATAGACGGACAGATCTTTCGGAGGAAGAGGCTATTTATTCGATTGTTGTCGCCAGCAAGAGGGTGTTGAAGGAAATTACTCTCAGATCCGATTGCACCTTCAATAACTTCATCATATCACCAGGTGAACACCCTCCAAAAGACAGTCACCAACAATGGTTTTCAGGATTACGAGGAGGATGAGAAGCCTCTTCCAGAAGACCTGGGCGAGATGGCCCCTCCGATTCCAAAGGAGGACGACTGAGGTGCGATCTTGGGGTGATGTTTGTCTTCCGGATCCATCACAGTCACTCTTTGATTTGTTTGTTTGGAGTCAAAGGATTTTCAACACTTCCAAGTTCCAAGCGATATGATGTTTATTGATTTTTGTTGATTCTACACACCAATCAGTTGAGATTCATGACTCCTCAGACAAAGTTGCTTGGAGATTTAAGCAGCCCCCAATTTTCCTTGTTTTTTTTACCAACGCGGGGGTGCGTTGGTACATGTTGGTACAATACTCAGTGAGAAAGGACACCACATTTTAAATATAAAACTAATATAAAGTCGAAGCATGGGCAAATGGGCTCCTTGGTTGGTTGTTCCATTGTTTATTCTGTCCTATCTCCTTTTGGAATTATGACCCTCTTTTGGAGCCCTTTGGACATGTTTGGGGGGATGGGTGGCTCAACAAAAAACTACCAGAGCCAGGTGCAATTCTGGGCCTTTGATGAGCTCTGAATGCACTTGCGATGCAAAGGATCGTTGCAGATGCTGTGCGGCGCGGCTGATGGCACCGGAGTTTTCGTCTCCCCGTCTATGTAGAACCATGTAGAACTTTGTAGAAACACGAAACACGCATTTCTCATTGATTTATGCATACAATATGTATGTTGTTACCCGTTGATGCTGTTTGATTCCCTCTGATATGTTACGATAGTGGGAAAATCCTTGCTCGTGCAAGACCAAAACCCTTCCTTGTGTTCCCTCCGTTTTCCCATTCTTGGCTGCAGGAGACTTCCGGTATATCAGAAGAAACAGTTGATCGAAAGGATGTACTGCAATGATTCCACGAGTTTGGCCTGCACCTCGCTGAAGATGCTTATCATTTTGAGCCGTAGTAACATGCAAGTCTTAAAACTCAGATAGTCATAGAGTTCTTCAACTCCAGCCACAAGTTTTTGTCTTATGACCGCTGCACAGGTCAGCCCCCCAAAATAAACACCCATGCAATTCCCCAACCGCAGCCATGATGTATTTTGCCAACCAACATCAACCAACGGCTTTCCCCACGGCGCCGACGCCGGGAATGGAGTCCGCCTTTGAGTCCGCAACTCAGTTGCCTGGCGACCTCTGGAAGGTGGGCAAACTGTGGCAGTGACGTCTACTAGGTCCAAGGTTCGGCACTGTATAATATCCATGATTGTTGCTTCAAGTTGTCTTTGTTTCATATATGATTAATCATATGTATAATATATATATATACACACGTATATTATACGTACATAATGTATATATATAATATACATATATATATATATATCATATTATATACATATAATATATATAATATAATATGATATAATATGATATGATATAATATAGTATAATATAATATGATATAAAATGATACAATATCATATAATATATAATATAATATAATTTATTAATTATAATAAATAATATATAATATATATTATAATATCCCCCCCCTTTAACCCTGGAATATTTGGGGGGGGGTAAGGCAAGAAATTTCTGAGAAATATTTCACCTGACCACGTGAAATATACCCCCCCCACGTATTTTTTTGGGCTTCTAAAAGACGTGGGGGGGGGTTCCTCCGGATGCCACATTTTAGCCCAGAAACGGTATGACACACCATGACACACCCTTTTATTTTGAACATACGCGGGTAGGGCCCACGCGCAAACACTGACAACTAGGTAAATGGTAACTGCTGGTTTCCAAGAAAGTAAATAAGAGAGTGAACTTGCCAAACAGCCTTCAGAACATGACGTTCAGCCTTGAATTCAACCACGCCCGAAGCCATTATAGACCAGAATTTTTTAGCTGAAATATTTCACTTTAGGGAGGTGAAATATTTCAAGGTGTGTGGGGGGGGGAGACCCCCCCCTAAAGTGAAATATTTCAGTTTTTACCCCCCCCCCACCCCGCCCCCCTTAAAGGGTGGGGATATTATAATATATAATATAATATATACATACATATATGTATATATGATGAATCTTGATCATTTACCAAAGTCTCAGACTGTCTCAGACTGTCTCAGACTGTCTCAGACTGTCTCAGACTTTTAGGCAACGTCACAGGCAGGTCGTTTCTGAGGCCGGTGGACTTTGCAGACCTCCAGGAACTGTGAAGCTGGCCTGCCCTTGGTCGAATGGTTTTTCAAGGGGACCTACACATTGGGGGTGGTGGAACATGAAAATCTGGTGAAACGGAAATGGAGGTTCCTAAGTTATGGGGGTAGTTCTCATCCATTTGATTTTCGGATTTCCCATTATAAACCATCCAGCTATCGGGTATCCCCCATGGAAACCCCCAAATCTCAGGAGACTGGTTGTGGAATGTTAAAACCTTGCTTAAATGGCACCCTGTCACCTTGTATTGTCCCACCGGAACTGGATTCCTGGCAGGTTGGAAGGCGTTCAAAATGGCACAGTGCAGGTAGGCCAGGGAAAGCTTCCAGTGGTGGCAGAAGGATCAAGGCAAATTGATGAGAAAGTTGCAGTCATCTGAATCATCAATCAGGTTCGATCATTTTTAGTCAAAGTCTTTGATAGTAATATTTGTTTGAGATTGCGGTGGAAATGCCATATGACACCTTCTTTGTGCAGCTGGTCAGAAACGATTTGGATACGACCGGAGTGGGTCCATGCCTAGCGTTGGGGGGTTGTTACTTAAAAAGGTAATCGTAGATGGTCAAGACCCAAAGTACAGTAGCTACCCAGCAAGTTGGTGTAGATGAGTAATGATGAGTATATGATTTTGGATTGTTGCATGTGTTTGCACGATTTTGCTCTAGTTTAAGTATAAATCATCCATAATAGCCTATAGTATAGATAGTCTATAGATGTCTATAGTCTATGCCTTTTACATATACTCTATATATGAATATATGAATATATATGAATATATATGAATATATATGAATATATATGAATATATATGAATATATATGAATATATATGAATATATATGAATATATATGAATATATATGAATATATATATATATGAATACATATGAACATATATGAATACATATATATATATATATACATATGTTTATTTATCTATTAATAGCAACAATTCATCATACATCCCGACGCGCAGTCTATTCTTCGCCAGGATCCTGTGGCTTCAGCTTTGGAGCAGGGCGTTGCAGAGACGACGCTTGGCACATCGGAGAATCCAGGGGATCAGAGGCCGAAACAGAATGGAAATCATCCAAAAGTCTTGGCTGAAGGATCTTATATAATGATTATATAATGATTATAAGATATTAATATATATTATAATGGCTGACATTTCCTGTGTAAGTAATCTATTGATATAAGATCCTATATATATATATATTCATACATTTATATTAGGTCAACGGCCTGAATAAGATCTGTTGATATGTGTGGACATATTTAGGCCGATGACTTGACACAAGAGCCTGAGTTCGATCGCAAGTGGGTCGCCGTGTCCTCGAGATCCAGCAGTGGCACCCCAGGAAGAAAGTGTCTGACAGCATCGACAGCCAACTGGAGCTTCTGGAGGAAGAGAGCGTCTGCCGGACCCAGGGGACTCAGGGGATCCAGGGGAACCAGGGGACCCAGTTTTAGCATGTTTTAGCCAGATCTTGTTTGGGATATTGGAAATCTTAAGCACATGTTCATGCGACTGGAAAGGAATGGAATGCCAAAAGACCATTACACTCAGTACAGCTTAAGATGTAGCACCCACCACCTATTTTTCCGTTTGGTTTCACCTGCATGGAACGCAATGGAACCCTGGCTTTTCCATTTAAAATTCTGTAGATTCCACCGCCCATGGCCTCCTGGATCATCTTGTCCTACTTGCAGCTATCGGCTCTTGGATAGTTAGGAACCACAATCAGAATCATAGTTATACCTATATACGTATATATAGAATATACTATATATATATATATTCATGTACTTAATAACAATATCAATTTATTAAGAATAAAAATACATTCATAATCATACGATGGATGTCGAAGAAGAGAAAGAAGAAAAGAAATCCGAGGAACCCTCTAGGGACAAGATGATGAATATCGCGAGACTGTCGAAGGGGCAAAAGGTGAGGCTGAGAACAATGATTATGACTTCGACGAGAATGAGGTAGATTGGGATGAACAGGAAGGTGATCAGCCGATGGAAGTGGACGCCCCCGACAACGTCGATGAGCCTGAAAATGAAGGAGAAGATGAAATCAGAAAGAGGGAGGAGCTCAAGCAGACCCACCAACAGAAGATGGAGGAATATCCACTATGGGCACGACCTCTCGAGACTGGAAGCAAGCAGGTCCCTGAGCTCAGATTGATGAACGTGGACCGAGACGAGGGATCAACGAGAATCTTCGGCAATGCATTGGTGAACTACATTTGGAGGAATTGCCCTGACTACAGGAAGTGGCGGACCTTTAAAGCGCCGGAACAATATTTCAGGGAGATGATCTCACATGAGAATGGTCGAATTGACATGGATGGAATCTGCCCATACAACTCATCCACCGATGGAGTGCTAGACTTCCCAACTATGGGACAGATCCAAGCATGGTGGGAAAGAAGGGCCAAACCAAATGAACACAGGCCCGAGAACACCACATGTGCAGGGCGAGATTTAGAATCGATGCCGATGATCATCCGAACAGCAATGAAAGTCGAAAAGATGATGAGGTTCATGGTTGAGGCAGGGTCTACTCCGGAGGACATCAAGACTCGGACGCCCGCCGCGGAAGATCGATACATCAGGATTTGGAGAGTGAAGATGTGGGGGGTCATCCAAAACTTCCCGCGTCGCGTCCTGAAAGGGACATTCCCGGACAAGGAGACCTCCTCGTATTTCCGCGACGAAGATGAATGCAAGCATGGGTACGGGAACTCTACAATTTCTCTCCCTGCAGTAAGTGTGATTCTGATTGCCCGGGAACGAAATCGCAACATTGAAACATCCATCTGCGCGATTCATTGTGGAGTGACCTTGCCGGCGGAGATGCGAGCTCGAGTGGAGTACGCCTGAGCCTACGCCAAGCTGAAGAAAGACAAAGGGCACAAAGGGCGTGTCGATAGAATGCAGCCCAGGATAGGATGGATGAAGCAACTCGACAGAATGCACAGCAAGATGCAGGACTCTCCTCGGCTGCAGCTGCATTCGCCGCAGAAACGCGCTAGAGCGGCATCGAACAAGAACATGCCAAGACCATCAGCCGGGTCTGAACCTAGCAAAGCCGAGAAGCCAGGAAAGTCGGGAGGGTGAAAGATCATGTGCTCGTGGCCACGCCCGCCTCATGATCCAGATCCTATGGATGAATGTATGATGGATAACCTTGCTACGCAAGCCTCCTGATTACAAATCCCATTCTACATGATGGCCTATGACTTTGCAATGGTCAATGTGGGCAACGTCATTGAAAAGACCAACTTTTGAGAGGACTCTGAGCGAGGCATCTTCTTTAATCCCCAACGTGTAAAGACGGGATTCGCTGTGTCTCACCTCTCACGAAGATGAATTGCAATTCGAACTATTCCACTCCAGTTAGTTTGGTAGGTCTCATAGCGTGTAGCGTAGAAATAGGAGATTGTAATAGCTCCATCGGGTGACTCACACTTTCCCACGCTTCGCGTGCATAGTGTTGAGGATCCCTTCCTTTTGATTTTGCCTGCCGCTGTGTACAAAGGCTCAGCTTCAATTTCATATTTTTCGAACGAGCATACCTATTCTCTTGTGGCCGACATCCTCCATCCGTCGGCCATGGGGGGTGTCAAAGGTATGTAGGCGGTAGTGCATGTGTATATATGCATGCCTTTGCACTTGAACATTGGCTCAAGACCGCCATTAGCGCAGGAAAAGTGATCGCCTGCATTGCACGCCATTTGCCGTTGAGATTGTTGTGAAGCACTACAGGCCCTTAACCGTTAACCAGTACAAATCATACCCGGAACAGGGGTCTTTCTGTTCGCATATACACATATATATATTTATGTACGTAAAGATAATGCAATATATGTAATACAGTATATATATATTTACATTATCATATGTATACATCCATATTTTTTTGATGGTACATCACCATGTGGATATCCGTAAATGACACATCTTTCCGTCCCGGGCGTTCGACCGAGGTGGGGGACTACGTGAAGAGTTTCGACTCCTTCCAGGAGCTTCACCAGGAAATCGTGGCCACAGATTCGTTGCTGGAGAAGATGCTTGGGCTGGAGGATGGATTGATGGCTGAGAGACCACTAGTATGATATTAGTTAGGTTTTCAGATGGGTTGGTGAGAAATCACCAGTATTTTTTCTTGTTAGGTTTTCGAGCGTTTAAAATATGTTTATCTACAAGAATAAACATTTTATATTATAAGGCCATGTCATGTCCGATGAATGAAAACTAGTTGGCTTAATCACTCCGTTTTGGGGGCGATGGTTTGGATTGTTTGCAGCAGAGAAAACGAAAGTGCCAAACCGCAACCAGAAAATGAACATGTCTCATTGATGACAAATCCTTTCCATAGGAGATCAAATGGATTGTAATGATCATGTTGCAAAAAATGTTTTAAATATATATATATGCTTATATAACTATCTCAGTCATTTGTGTTTCAATGCTGCTGATGCTGCTGCTGATGATGATATCATATAAACTATGCATGGTTCAGTTATGCTCATAAATGTTGAGATTGGAACATCTACAACATAATATGGGATATATTTTGAGAGACGATTTTTTTTTTGAAGAGATGCCGCAGGCTCCAGGTGCTACCCGGATTAACATAGCCCAAAGACACTGCCGAGGATGGAGCGAATGCTGGTGACGTCGGAGTCTGAGTTGGCTCGAATTCGGAAAAAACGTGATCGGCTCCATGTGGCTATGGGTCGACATTAAATATCCCAAGATGCTAATCAAATGGGTAAATGGTATATTAATCTGGTAATTTTACAATTAATTGATATATATATATTTAACATATATATATGGTGCAAATTCCAATCATGGTCTGTTGAGATCTATTCAAGTCTGTTCTACCCATATTTAATTCATTTCTAGGATGGCCACTCTTATATGAAAGGACCCTTTGACGCCACGGTGCCGTGTGCGCCGTGAGCAGCGTTCTTGGCCAGGTTTCAATCAGATCTGTCGAGCATCTCAGATGAGATTCGCATGTTGCAGGTGAGGATGCAGATCCGGTAGACGTGGGTTCAGGTTCTGTTGATCCAAGCCCTTCACTGTGCAAGATTGAGGAGAACTCGGCCTTAGTGCAACAAAACAGAAGTCACAGAAGTCCAGGATTTCACAAATCCAGGAAGCTATTGAAATACATCAGCAGTTGTTAGGTTGCTGGACTGCTTTGGAGCCTGTGGTCTCACCAAAATGAATAGATCCACTGCAGGGTCAGTCCTTGCAGATGAATTTGAAACTGCCCTTGCCTCAGCCGACCTGAACGAAGAATAGAAGGATCAGAACTTTGATGTCCTCTACAAAAACATTGGCACAAATACGTGTAATTGTATGTTTTATATAGACATATAAGATATGATATTCATTGATATTCTACTTATACTTACTCCAATTCAAGAAGAGTTGCGTTCAGGACCCAAAGCTTCATCAACCCTTCTCGCAGTTGAAAATCCACGAAAATCCGAAAACGCTTGAGGCAAAACCGGCGGGGCCTCCAGACGTTGATGTCAGAGTATGTCTGGATCCAAGGGCCCTCATCCACCCGAAAGGAGCTCCGGGATTCTGACCCCACTCCGGTGTAACACCCGAGATTGAAGTGGCTGGAACATTCCACCTGAATCCAATGATGTTTGTATACGCCAAAACAATCCAAAACAGCAGTGTGTTCGGAGATAGCCGCACATGGGCATATCCAACACCTGTGAACCCTCAACATTGTGAACCCTCATATCCAAACGAATGGTTTAATTTCTAGATTGTAGGTGCGAAATCACTGACATAGCCGTGTTGACTTGGTTGGCGCCTTCCATTTCATATTCATTGTTTTTTCCTATGTATTTGTGGATGATGATCCCCAATGACGAATATTTTCGAAGGGGTTGACGTTAAAACAATCAACCCATCTCAGCAGTGACAATCAATTTCACAGCTTTGGGAAGTGTTTGATCTCCCCTTGCAGATATCCCATCATGGATATCCCTATATAATTACAGTATACACAGTATACAGAAGTAAAGCATATTGACATATGGCCACGAGTCCAAACTCTGGGACCTTAGGTACCCATCACATAGCTGGTATAGCTGGTATAGCTGGTATAGCTGGTATAGCTGGTATAGCTGGTATAGCTGGATATTTATTGCTTCAGTCATACGGTAATTTCATAGGTCTTTGACCCATTCCATCATGATACATCATGGATATCCCTTATTACACAGAAAGCATATTACTACATATCACGATATATTAAGATGATTTAAGATGTATTGAGATGTATTAAGACTAAGATGTACTAACATATCTTAACATAGATCAAAACCTTATTTGAATGATTTGTTTGGTAAACCCTCCTTCGCTGCGGGGATAGCTGAGCACCTGAGGTCAGCTCAGTAGTAGTGAGCCCTCAGCTGGTGAGACAGATTTGCGAGGAGGAAATCAATGAGGCGCCTGGCTCAGCTGGTGCCGCCTGGCTACCAATAGCTATGGGCCTACGGATATATCATCGGGGAAAATGAGGATATGCTGTGATATCATATCACATAAGATAATACAGAATAAGATTACATGATATGATGCAAGATCATCTGAGATGATCTAAGATGATATGACCATCGACTGTCAGTTGCATCAGGCTTATTTGGGCTATCTGTCGGAGCTGAACAAAAAGTCTGGTGCTCATTGGCGTTGGGGTGTTCTCATCCGGGGTTGGGATATTCCTCCAACAACCATGGCGCATTCAAGTGTAACTTTTGGTTCATCCTTATCCATCCTGAAGGCAATCGAACTTGGGATGGGCTTAAACGTGTTCAAAACAAGCAATCAGTTGTGGAACACTATACTGAAGCGCTTCTCGAGCTGCTTCTTGGCACAACTCGGAATCACATTGGAATCACTATACTGACTGCACTTCAAGCAAACAAAAGGCGAACAACACTGAGCACTTGTGGATTCCTTGGAGTACATACTTGGATCAAAAGCATGGCTGGGATGAAATCAAACACTTTGCAGTTTGCAGTTTGCGTCATAAATGGACGGCGTAAGCCACTTAGGATGGTGATTGGATTGTAATCATATTGGAATGAGTCAAAAGCCATTGGAATCCCCTGGTTGAAACCCTGTGGAGACCAAGCCCCAGCCAACTCAACAGCCGACCAAACCCTGAATAGAAAAGCGATCGAAAGTTGGAAATATGAAGTACGTCGTCCGTCATTAATCTACATTAATCTACTGTATAACATCTTGGAAAGCCTTTTCTATCTGTGGGGCAGGTGGAAAGCTCTTCATCTGAGGTTGGACCATGTGAAACAGCAGGAGATGCAAAAACTGTGCATGCCTTAGTCGCTTTAGCAGACCGCCAAGCCGCAAGTTCTTCGGCCTGTCAAACAGCAACCATCCAAGGTTCCAACAGGGACGCACAATCATCAATTCAACATATATTATATCAATGTATATATCTATATATGTTATCATCAATAATATATGGGAATACTTGTAGTGGATATATCATGGTTTCAAACATGGTATCAACATTTCTAAACATTTTCTAAGCCAGATCTCTTGAACACAACCCAAGAGCAACACTCCAGCGCACCGCGCCTAAACACACACCACGGACCATGCGGCCAAGACCCTCCTGTGCCCAGAGTGCGCCAGAGCTCGAAAAGCTCCGAACGAAGGCGAAGCCGGTGATTTTTTTTTTTCCAGCTGTCAAAGTGGCCGTTGTCAAGACTCAAACATCCTGCTGGATGAACTTTGGATTCTGACATATTTTCGCATGTAAAAGAAACATGATATGATGTGAAACATGATCAAAAAAAGGGTGAAGCAGGAGGAAACCGGCTGGAAGGCAGTGGCACGCATCAAGGATTTCCTACTGCAGAAGGTGAATTCCTTGAAGAAGCCAAAGCCTCCTGGTTGCATCATGATGAGCCTCCAAACCGTACATTGGTAAAGGGAAGATAGGATTTTAATGGCATCATATTCATCATTCTTGTGTTTTTTCATTCTTGACTGATTTAAGTTCCATGTGATATGATAATATATGATATATATATACCATATGACATACATATATATATATGACAAGGGTATTAGGGAATATTAAATTCCCACCCCCGTTAAACTTTACATTCAATTGGGAAGATCAACAAAGGTATTAGGGAATATTAAACTCCCACCCCCGTTAAACTTTACATTCAATTGGGAAGATCAACAAGGGTTTTAGGGAATATTAAACTCCCACCCCCGTTAAACTTTACATTCAATTGGGAAGATCAACAAGGGTATTAGGGAATATTAAACTCCCACCCCCGTTAAACTTTACATTCAATTGCGAAGATCAGCCAGGGTTTTAGGGAATATTAAACTCCCACCCCCGTTAAACTTTACATTCAATTGGGAAGATCAACAAAGGTATTAGGGAATATTAAACTCCCACCCCCGTTAAACTTTACATTCAATTGGGAAGATCAGCCAGGGTTTTAGGGAATATTAAACTCCCACCCCCGTTAAACTTTACATTCAATTGGGAAGATCAACAAAGGTATTAGGGAATATTAAACTCCCACCCCCGTTAAACTTTACATTCAATTGGGAAGATCAAGATGTTGATGTTGTTGTTGTTGTTGATGATGATGATGATGATGGGGGTGCGTGTGTGTCTCCACGTCCCCAGGGGGTGGTAGCCCTGGGAGTGCGTGTGAGTCACCACGTCCCCAGATGTATGTTGATGAGGATGTTGATGTTGATGATGTTGATGATGTTGATGTTGATGATGTTGATGATGTTGATGTTGTTGATGTTGATGTTGATGATGTTGATGATGTTGATGTTGTTGATGATGATGCTGCTGCTGATGATGATGATGATGATGTTGATGAAATGAGGGAAAACATCGTCATCCGTTTGCCCAAACGAACGACACGGGGAATCTCACAAAACATTGGCCCTGCGCAGTCAAAACGCACTTTCCCGGGCGGCACATCCGTCCTGGCCGTATCATTATATTTGAACATGTTGTTTTGACCTCAAGTCTATGTTGTTTCTGATGTATCCAACATCTCAAGTTTCAGGGGCGTTTTCCACTTCGACCGGCTCCATCTTCCTCTTAGGACCAATTTGCAGATCTTGCAGCGCAACGTCTTGGTGCGATTCAAATCCATGACGCAGTCGGGAGCTCGGCGGAGCCCGGGAGCTGTGGATCAGGCTGCAGAATCTGGACCCTCGGGAAAATAATGGAGAATAATGGATAATAATGGATAATAATTCACGGAACATAAAGTATTATAATGGTTGATAATGGTTGATAATGGAACAATAGCCAACAGGAATGGATGAATAATGGATAGTTGTATTACCCTCCTGGTAATTTGATACCGTTTGCTATTGAAAATGGCCCATAGAAATAGCTGATTTACCGAACTTAAAGCTGGGTGGATTTTCCATAGCTATGTAAACGTTTACCAGAGGGTAAGTTTGGGTGGTGCCTGTTGAATTATCTGGCTATGTTTGGCCCGACCCGACCCCAATTTGAAGGGATACATATCAGAATTTGGATCAACATGGACCCATGGCCCCAGAACTTGGCCCACAATTAATTACTTTGGTTCAACCTGTAGGGAGCCATACTTGGGTAAGAAACACACAAATCCGCAATACTACATAGAAAGTGGGACAACCATTGAGCTCCCGACCATCCCTGCAACAAGTCATGTTTAGAACCATTGCAAACTTCGGGATACATACACTCATCTCACCAATTTTTCTGTTTCAGTAGACTGATCACCGCCAGAGGTGTCCTGTTTGGAACCATGAAAAACAACTCAGGCCATTTTCTGGTTGGTGGTTTGGAACATGTTTTATTTTGTCCATAATATTTGGAATAATAATCCCAACTGACTAATATTATTTTTCAGAGGGGTAGGTCAACCACCAACCAGTAGGCCTGTAGGCCATTTGAGTAACCTTTGATCACCCCCATTGGATGTTTTTGGCATCTCAAGCCTGGAGGTTTTTGGCCGAGCACCATGGTGCTGTTGCGGAGGAGGTGAAAGCCCACTATGTGGGCACCATGAGTGCGGTCTATTTGAAGCAGCAGTTGTCTCAGAAGGGCACCAGGTTGAAGATGTTGAAGCCTCTGTTGTAATGTTGATTTCTGACCCCCATGAACTGTAGATAGATATATGGATATTTGTTTAATGAACATATATATATATTATTTATCTTATTATTATTATTATCATTTATTATTATTATTAAGGGGCTACGCCCCCTGCCGCCGACCCCTGGGAGAGAGTGAGTTTGGAACCCTTCCTGCAGTGAACATCTTCCACAGTGATGGCGGCCGAAGCTCAGTCAAAGTCGCTGGTCTGTTTTCATGTGTTCCATGTGCGCGGAACGCAAGCCACGAACAGAGTTTACAGCTTGGCAACAAGGTCGTGAATACACTCAAGACGGCACACAAGTATGCAACGCATGCACAGCCTTTGCCTTCGTTTGCCGTCTTGCTCATCGCACGAATCAACGCCTGGCCCGCTTGCGCCAACGCGAAACCCGCCACCGGCACGCAGCAATCCTAGAGGACATTCGCAAGGAAATTCAGGAAATACACGAAGCAAGACAAACTTCCACGCGAGCAGAAGGTCCCAAAACGGACACTGCCCACTCATCGAACCAGCAGCTTGCTGTCGGGCCTGACACAGCACCGCCACGACTGCACATATACATCTGCCCGTACTGTGCTAAGTCTGTGCAAAGCCCTGTGGCAACAGGGCGCGTCGATCACCGCCGCGGTAATGGCTGCGGCAAACAATTTCGCGTTGCCAATGGCCTGCTCGCAGGTCGCACATATTCGCATGCATGTCCAACATGCGGCACGGTGGTGCACTCAACACTAGCTTCCGGCCGAATTCGGGTAACGCATCGCAATCCCAGCGGCCGGCAGTGTCGCACCAACCAGTGGCGCGTGCATACCTGATGACGTTTCCAGCTTAAGGTTGCCACACCGCACGGCAATGCCCCACAGTGCTTTCTGAACCTACAAGAAAAGTAGCCGTCTTCCAGCTTTCCAAGCTCAGAAACGGCGCCTCCGCCACGCCCAAACAGCAGGGCCCTGAAGGACGGACCGAGCCTCCCGGCAACGGCTCCCACTGCCTAACGTTGCTTTCTGAACCTACAAGAAAACTAGCTCTCTTCCAGCCGTCAAGGCTCACAAACGGCGCCCTCGCCACAGCAAAACAGCAGGGCCCTGAAGGACGGACCGAGCCTCCCGGCAACGGCTCCCAAACTAGCTCTCTTCCAGCCGTCAAGGCTCACAAACGGCGCCTCCGCCACGCCCAAACAGCAGGGCCCTGAAGGACGGACCGAGCCTCCGGGCAACGGCTCCCAGTGCCTAACGTTGCTTTCTGAACCTACAAGAAAACTAGCTCTCTTCCAGCCGTCAAGGCTCACAAACGGCGCCCTCGCCACAGCAAAACAGCAGGGCCCTGAAGGACGGACCGAGCCTCCGGGCAACGGCTCCCAAACTAGCTCTCTTCCAGCCGTCAAGGGTCACAAACGGCGCCCTCGCCACAGCAAAACAGCAGGGCCCTGAAGGACGGACCGAGCCTCCGGGCAACGGCTCCCACTGCCTAACGTTGCTTTCTGAACCTACACGAAAACTAGCTCTCTTCCAGCCGTCAAGGCTCACAAACGGCGCCCTCGCCACAGCAAAACAGCAGGGCCCTGAAGGACGGACCGCGCCTCCGGGCAACGGCTCCCAAACTAGCTCTCTTCCAGCCGTCAAGGCTCACAAACGGCGCCTCCGCCACGCCCAAACAGCAGG